CAATTTCTTTTTTTGCTTGGGTTTTGCTAGCATGTCTAAGAAACCATTGTTGAATTCACACTCATGTCTATGTTGTCTTCTGAGATTTTAATAGTTTAGGCTCTTGCATTTAGGACCTTGATACATTCTGAGTTGCTTTTGTAATGGTATGAAGCATGCATCCAAATTCATTCTTTTGCAAGCGGATATCCAGTTGTCCCATTTGTGGATAAAGTATTCTTTCCTCCATTGCTTGGCATGTTGATTGGTAATCGATGGACCATAACTGTGAGTTGTTATTTCTGGACTTTCAATTCTATTCCTTTAGTCCCTGTCTGTCTTTATGCAAGTGCCTTGAATAAAGGCACATTCTTGAATACTGTGCCTTAGTAGTAACTTTTGAAATCAGGAAATATTAGTTCTTCAACCTAGTTCTCTTTTGAGATTGTTTTTGGCTGGTCAGATTCCCTTGATTTTCACATGAATATTAGCCAGTAGCATCCATATTATTTCCATATGGGTAAGCCTGTCAGTTTATATTAGAAAAGCAGCTGGATATTTAACAGGGATTGCTTTGAATCTGTGGCTCCATTGTGAGAGTATTGCCGTCTTAGCAATTCTAAATCTTCCAATCAGTGACACAGGATGTCTATTTATTTAGGTCTTCTTTAATTTTTTTCAATATTTTATAGTTGTCCACATAGAAGTCTTACATTTATCATGTTAAATTTATTCTTAAGTACTTTATTCTTTTTGATGTTATTGTAAATGGAATTACTTCCTTAGTTTCAGATTTATTGCTCATATATACAAATATAATTGATTTCATATATTTTGTATTCTGTAACCTTGCTAACGTCTTTCCTTTGCTTTAGTAGTTTCTTGTGAATTCCTTAGTATTTTCTGTATGGGAGGTCATGTCAACTGCAAGCAGAAATAGATGTATTTTTCCTTTCTATGCTGGATACCTTTTTTATTTCTTTTTTTTTTTGCCTAATTACCCTGAATAAAACTTCCAGTACAATGTCAAACAGAAGTGGTGACAGCAAACATTCTCTCCTGCTTCTCCACAACTATATTACGATGCCTATTTATTAAACTGTGCAAAGGAAACAGATTGAAATCCATGTTACTCTGCTATTTGAAATCAAACATGAATATACCTTATTTTAACCCTTCTACTTTAAAATGTCCTAAAATATTCATTAACTTTCTGTTTTGGTATTGGGAGTATAAATTAGAATTTGAAGATCCCCTTAAAAATTAAATATTACATAAGTTCATAGGACAAAGTTGTGTGGCACTATTAGGAAAATTTAAGTAGGGGATGAAACTACGAGCCTTTTTTTCTTGAGATAAGAATTATTAATAAATCATGATCCTTCTTCCTAAGTAAGGCAGGCCTGAGGTCCAGGTGACTTTCTGGAAGACACCGAATGTTTGCCTGCCCTGGGGACCACACATCTATAGGTTAGAACCCATTTTGTTTAGGGGAATCATGCTTCTTGTTCTTTTTATATGTTGCCTTCATGAATAAATTAGTACCCCAATTAATGTAAAAGTGGCTCATAAGAGGATTTCCCCTTTGGCCAATAAATTCTTCCCTCTGAAAAATGAGGATAAAAGGGTCAAAGCACACCCTTTTTATGCTGGAAATTTTGCCTGGATATGGCTGCACAGAGATGGCTGGGAGGCTGCAAGCTCCTCCCCCCCCTGAGCAGCAAGCCCAGTTCTGGGGTCCAGAATCCACCCAGGAAGGGAACTGCCTTGTGATTGTACTTGTAGGTAGTACTGGAATGTGTCTGACACTGCATTTGATTCTTAGAAAGAGGATTATTTTAGTCTGTTTGGGCTATTACAACAAAATGCCACAGACGGGTGGCTTATAAATATCAGAAATGTCTTTCTTCCAGTTCTGGAGGCTGGAAGTCCAAGATCAAGGCCCCATCCCACTCAGCGTCTGGTGAGGACCACTTCCTGGCTCACCTGGAGAAGGAGAGGGAACTTTCTGGAGCCTCTTTCGTTAGACCGCTAACCCCATTCCTGGACGCTCCACCCTCATGACCTAGCCACCTCCCAAAGGTCCCACTCTTCAACACTATCACGAGGGGATTAGATGTTCATATATGAACTGGGAGAGGGAGGGGACACAAACATTTAGTTCTTAGCGAAGAGGCCTCTTCAAGCTTGACAGCTTCTAAAACGGCTACTATTTGTAGTTAAACTACCTATTATGGAGGTCTGGGGAGAAGTGCCTTCTGTAAGCTATCCATTTTGGTCCTCAAACAATCTTCTCAGTAGGCACTATTATCAATCTCCATTTCTATTTGTAGAAGCCGGGGCTTAGGGATTACAGAGGCATCAAATTTTTTTGCCACTACCCAAGATTCTTTCTCCCCATTTTCTGTTAACATTCTCAATCCTTAATGCAAATCGACCTGACTCCCTGTAACTCAGGTATGGTCACAGTATCTTGTCCTGCTGCTCAGAGAATGTGAACAAGTAACCTAGGATCAGGTAATCTCATAATGATGATTTTAATGGGGTTATCATAGATTTTATATCCAGAAGTTGAGGGAGAAGCTTTCTTCTTCCCTTACATTTTGTGGGGGATCCTGTAATCCAAGAGAATGAGACAAACACACTGAGAGAAGCAAAACCAAGAGATTGAGAAAAAGATACTGCTACTTTTTGACTTTGAGGCCAGATCCTTCTCTAGAGTGGATAGTGAATAACTTATCTTTGCCAACTTGTTTGAGTTTTGTTATTTGCAACCAAGAACGCTAAAGAGCTTACCCATAATTATACAAGTAAGAAGGTTGTGAAGCTGGTTTTAAATCCTATCTGGCCTCAAAGTTTGTATTTTAGCTTCTATGGCAATGAGCCAGATATTTTATGTTAGTCAACTACCAGAAAGAAAGGGTATGAAATGTGTATGATCACAACTAAGAGACCTACTGTATATAACCCCAAGTATTAAAATTCACGTGTAAGTTGTGGGGAAGAGCAAAACTGCACATCTTTTCCAAGAACCAAATAAAGCATTTCTTTGTCTCCGAGAATAAATCACCACAAACAGTAATACGAGTTCGTAGCAGAGTAACTTAATATTTCCTATGACTTTGGGTATCAATACCTCTATCTAATCTGAATGATCTGATATAGCAGATGGAGGCAATGACTGCCAGTGATTTAAGGGTGAAAAATAATTGAGAATGAAGTGGCACTTAATACTTAGTAGAATTTGACTTGTGCTCCTAGGTCCACATATTATTCTTTATGTTGCTGGTGATATAATATTGCAAATCTCAAGACGTAAGATCTCTATCCTTCACCCCTTTTATGATCCATATATGTATCTCCAGTTGAATGACTATCATTTGCAATCATTTAATATTCAAATGTTCTATTATAAGTTAACATTTAAATAAATATAACAAAAACAATTGTAAGTACTAGTAGAAAAATACAAATACACATATACATACAGTTTCCATACATTCATACCAGATATCTATTACCTATTTTCTCAAGTAGTCAGGCACCACATAAAAATTTACCTTTAAGTCCAAAGTTACAAAAGCCCAGTTGCTGTTTGGGGTGATAAAAGTAGAAATTAACAACTAAAGCATATTAAATAAAGACTTGATGATTAAAAACCACCTTGCTAGATAAATCTTGGGCAAAATAGGAAGTATCAATAGCAATTTCAGGATGCTTGAGCATAACAATAGAACATTATAAATCTAAATTCATAATATATGATTAAAGCTTTTCTTAGATGCAGATTCATGGACTTAAAATTCTGTATAACTAAGTAGGAAGGAATGAAAACAAAGTAGCAAAACCTTTAGCTCAGGGAGTTGGAAAAGAGAAAACAAACCTAAGGAGGAACAAGAAATTACTGATAATAAATAAAAGCACAGTTAATACATTAGAGTATGTGCATTTTTTAAAACAGAATTAATAAATTGAAGATTGAGTCTTTGAGGAAAGATAGAAAAATCAGTACCTAGTCTAACAGGAAGATGATATATAATTTCTTTGCTCTAAATGTAATAAGTACGACAATGATTTTTGTCTGATTATAAAAGCAATATACGTTCAATAGTAACAATGAAAATTAGAAAATAAAAGCAACATAAATGAGACACTTCTTGATAGCTGGTAACTAAACTTACTGTGATGACCATTTCACAGTGCATATTAATATCAAATCATTATCTTGTATACTTGAAACTAGTATGTCAGTTATACCTAAAAAAGAAGAGCTCATTTCATAGTTTGACCCCCCATTTTACTTTCAACATGCTTCTTTTCAACTATTTTTCTCCCACAGCATCATCACCCCTTACCCACTGACATGCCCAGTCTCTCATCAGTTAAGACTCTTCATCTTAAACGTAACCTTGAAAAGCTATTTCCCTCATTCCTCTGTGCTGTCATGTCTATTTTGACCTTGACACTTCAAATCCACAGCTTTCAAATCCTAAACCTTCACACCTGGATAACCACAGAAACTTCCCAGCTGGTGTAACTGCTTCCACTTTTTGGTCCATCTGGCACTCTGTCCATCAGGAGCTGTCACCCTAGGGTTCAGGAACCGAGTCACTGTTAAAATCTTGGCCAGGCAGGCTTAGGTGTGGGCTAGTCGAGTCTTGGTTAAATATCCACACCTCTCTTTCTTCCCATGCTCCAATTTCCTGCTCCTGATGCCCACTGGTCAGATGCCACTGGAAGCCAGGGCGTCTGGATGTTCCCATCTCTTCATCTGTACAGTTACTGCAAAGGCCGGCAGAGCTGGAAGAGCAACGGGAGGGCCAAACGGAGACTGACCAGCCCAGCGTGCCAGCAGCCCCCTTCCTCTCCCTCTCTTCCTCCAGAGATAATTTGGCCACAGAGAATTTCTTACTTTTTCCTGACTATGACAAACTCATCCTGAATCCTTGCCTTTTCATGTACTGTTTTCGGTGGCGGGAATTCCCTTACCACATTTCTTTGCCTGACAAACTCCTACTTACCCTTCAAGATCCGGCTCAAATGTCACTACTCACTTTCACTTAGAGACATGCAGATGCAGCAAAGTCCTAAGAGCATTACAAATAAAAATAAGGTCAGGTCCTCAATCTGCCTCTTACTGGCTGATGACTTTAAGTGAGGCACGTCTCTGAGATTAAATTAAGTACACCTCCACCCTCCTTTTTTGTTTTTTTTTTTTTGCAAAATATAAATGGGAATACCTGTTTTACCATCCTTTTCTCTGGGAAATTGAAAAGAACAGTGAGATAAAATGTTCTCTAAAATGCAAATCATTTTACCAATTTAATTTTGTTGTTGTTCTTACCATTGTTTAGAGATTTTCCCCTTTTTATTGAGATCAATCACAGAGCAGAAGCCAACTTCAGTGGAACTGACATACTAATCCATACCCTTACCCTTTCCCTCCCCCGTTTTTTTTCTATAGCTCCCTTTTTTCTTTTCTGTTTCCATCCGCGTTTGTGACTTACTTGTTTATACACTGAACTTAGGTATCCCGGGACACTGCTTGACTTTGCAGGTACATTTCACAGTCAAAGAGGGTAAATCATTTAGTAACGGGGGTGGAATCCGAACAAAACAAAACTCTGCAATCTAAATTGTAAAGTTTTGGGGATTTTACAAGTTGAGAATTCAGTGTTAGGGTCAAAACAAAATCCCTTGCTGGGTTGGGCTTCCTTTCCCTGGGAAGCCCGCGCCAGAACCCGCGCTTGGACGCCGGAACCCTAGACGGGCGGACGCGGTGGTGTGCCCGGAATTTCGGGAGAAAGTACAAATGGGGAGACTACAACTCCCGACGTGCATGGCGGCCAAAGCCCATTTTACCCCGCTTGCCTTCTCATTCTTTTCAGTTCTTAGGACAGAGACAGCTGTCTAGGAACTGCGTAGTAGTAATTACAGAGAGACTGCAGGCTTCTGTGGGACAGTGGACAGCGCACGGAAGACTTCGCGGTGGCTAGCTCCGGCATTGCGGAACCCGCCGTCCGACTGGCGAGGTTTCTAGGGGGACACTAATTATGGCTGGACGCCGTGGCGCGGCAGTTTAATTCTCCGGTGGCGGCTGATTGAGCCGGACGCGATGGTTCTGACCGGGCTCATCAGGAAACTCGGTAATAGTCTGAGTAGCTCCTCGCGCGAGTCGCCCTCCTGCCGTGGCCGCTTGCTGAGAGTGGTCGCGTCACGTCCTCGAGGCCGGGCCATTCCGCGACGGCTTCCTTTCGTTCTGGCCGGGACCCAACTCTGACTCGGTGTAAACTCTGCAGTTCGCTTCTCGAATGCTCCAGCGGCCTCTCTGTGAAAAAAGTGCTTTATTTCGTTCTTCACCCCGATCCCCGCGTAAATAACGAAGTTTTAGGGTGAATTCCGGGTGGGCGTCTCTTTGAGGTCAGGAAATAGCTTTGTGCTGTCCTTTTTTGACAGGTCATCAGCTGGCCGAGATCAGGGAACGCGCTCTCAAAAATATCCTCTGCAAGGTTGAGCACAACTTAATCTGCTGTGCTGATCTGATTCAGGAGAGGCTGCTTTTTCTCCATTTGCTGGAATGGTTCAATTTCCCGTCCGTTCCAATGAAAGAGGAGGTTCTGAGCCTGTTAAACAGATTGGTTAAGGTAGGTTCATTTTGAAATAAAATCAGAAGAGTGTTTCTTAGTCAAATAATTGTAGCATCTGTTGAGAAGTTAAACAGTTAAAAATAAACTTAAAACCACCAGAGATACCGACTTTTATTTCATCTGTGTATAGGATGCTCATCTTCCTTTTCTGTTATTTATGATGCCGAATCTCGCATTGTCTCTCTTGTGCTCTGAACTCACACAGGACTTAGAGATTCTGGTGTGTTCTGATTTTTGGAATCTTCTTTGGAGATTGAGATTTTTCATTCTGTTTTCCCTTCTTTATGTTCTGTTATTAACATGTTAACAAATTAGATGTATCTGGATGAAAGAGAACATAGTTGAGATAAAGTTACAGACCACGATTAGTAGACAGCACAAGTAAGTTGCTTTTCCCATATCTGTTTTTCAGATTTATGTTCCTCAGAGTAGTTAATCATCAGGGTCAATGACAACGTGCAAGTTTAACTTTCAAAACTGTAAATCACTCTGCAGTCCTGTGGGGTTATTGGGCATCCGTTGACTGCATACAAGTAGGAGAGGATAGGATGAGGCAGTGGGTGAAGTAATCCATTTACTAAATCAAAGTGGGAATTGATAGAGTGCATTTCTAGTGTTCAGGTCTGTGCTTTTCTCTCGTGTTATCAGTATTCTATGTATGCCTCTATAAATCTTTGTCCCATTCATGGAAGTTCTTTTCTTTTGGGTATATTGATATAAAATTTATTGTTTAAAAAAGAAACATCTGGTATACTAAAATAATTTCATGTTTTGATGGCTGTCAGATAAAGTCTAGAGATTCTGATGTTTATGTTTATTCTCGAGCCTCTCTTCTTATTTCAGTATCCCCCAGCAGTCCAGCATTTGCTTGATCTGGGTGCAGTCGAATTTTTATCTAAACTTCGTTCTAATGTGGAGCCCAATCTACAGGCTGAAATTGATGGCATTCTGGATGGACTTTTTATTCTTCCTTCGGAAGATCCTGTACTACCTTCTGCATCTTTCCAAACCAATCCAACTGGTAACTCTTTGGAACCAATCTTTTGCATTGTTAAAATAGAAATATATTGGGTGTAGTGGCCCATTTTAAGGAAAAGGACCTTAGATAAAACAATAACAAAAATCAACTTATTTTTTTGTGTTAACTGACGTGAGCTCGACCTTTTCCTCCTCCCCTACGGTTATTCAGAGTAGGGCGTTGCTGTTTATTGCTTTTTGGTCAAGGGGCCTGGAAGATGCCAGTGATTTTCTCTTGGTGAGAGATTTATCTACTAGTTTAATAGATTATTTCCTTACCAACAACAACAAATTTTCACCAAGTACTCAGTATTATGTGCCAGACCTCATTCTAAATGTTTTGTACTTGCATTTTTGGACTGTGTTCTTCACGTTGTTATGGGCATGATGAGACTTGCTCTAGTTCAGAATTCTGTTGGGCTCCAAATCAATATGCACGATGCATGGTACACTGGTTAAAATCAGAGTCAGAGAGACATGGGTCAGGTCTCAGTTCTGTCCCTAGCTGTGTGACTTAACTAAGGTACATCATCCCTCCAGGTTTTAGTTTTCTCATCCAAAAATTGGGACAATAAAAGGAATATTTTGCAGAATGGTTGTGAGGATTAAACAAGACACTTCCTCTGAAGTGCTCAGAGTAGGGCTCAGCATATACGCAGTACAGAATCGTTGGCTGCTTTTGTTGTATTCTTGTTATTTAATAGTATAGCTCACGCAGGGCATCTGAGCTGAAGAAAAAAATGCCCATGAAATTTATGTGACTGAGTAGTAAATGTATAAAAAAGTGTTTCTGTTTGCTGAATCTGTTAGAACAAATCTCTACCAACGCAGCAGTGCTGCCGTGGCGCTCCGCGTTAACGTTAATGAGAACCTCCCGCAGCTGCTGGCCTAGAGTTCTTGTGTGATTATGATTCTTAACAAGGTGTTTATAATTTCTGTCTAAGCTGTAACAATTCAAGTAGCATCTTAAATTATTATTTTCCAATCTGGTTCCTTGTAGGTGAGATTGGAGGTATGGTCTAGTTGTAGTTATCTGTATTAGTATGAGGAACTATTGGCATGCAAACAGAAGATTACAAAATTCGGTTTTAGCTTTTTGCTCATTTCATTCTCATTGCAGCTGCACTGCTGACTGTGTAACTGTGTGTGACAGAGACTCATCAGAAGGACTGAGAGTGCTTGGCTCCTTTGCTCCTGACAGCTTTTAAAAAAGACATTAATGGAAATTAAAGTGATCAGGAACTATATAATTGGAGTAAAAGAGGAGGGAGAGGGACTAAGAAGCAGATATGAACAATCCTTGACTAAATACTTTGTAACAGGCTCTTTATGTACATTGCGGACATTCTCATTCTAATAAACTTATTAAACAGTAAAAGAGAGAGGGGGAAGAACCTCTCAATCCTAAATTGGCTCAGCATTCTTTTTTTCCTCTTGGAAGGCAAGACTATTCACAGAAAAAAGCTGGGTTATTTTTCTAGTTTTCTAAATGATTCAGAAACTTAAGAGAAAACATTCATATTTAAAAGAGTAAGTTTCACTTTGAACAAATAATGAATCAGTAATACAGTAATACTTATTTTCTTTTACAGAATTGCCACAACAGCCTGAAAACTTAACAGGGTATTTTCCTCAAGGCAAAAGTAATTTTCAGCAGATGGAAGCGCCTCCCCAGCCAATGGGTGTGTATCCGCAGGGAGTAGAGCCTGTTGACCTCATAAATTGGTCAACTGCTTTTCCTCGTTGTTGCGAAGACATGTGGTCAAACTTGAATGTTTCAGGACCACACTAAATGTTCAGTTTCTTCAAATTAATTTAGGATACAGTCTAAATGGTAAAATTTTATGTTATGCTGAGTGCATTTGAGCGAGTGTATAGGTAGGTGGTAGCAGCGGCCATCGTCCTTGGTACTTATTGAACAGAGATTCATAGTCTGGAACTGAGCCTTGTACTGGACATATGTCATCTCACTTATTCTCCAGCTCACTAAGTGGTACCATCCATCAGTTACTCAAGCCAGAGACTCAGAATCATCTTTGTTTCTTCTTTTACCTTTTCCCCAACATCCAGTTGATTGAAGAGTTGTGTTTCAGAGTCTCTCCCTCAGTCTCAGCCTGGTGTTCTTGTGTCTGGCTGTGTGTGGCCTTTGCTCGCATGCCACCTCCTGAGAAACCTTCCTGAGGACTAGCTAGGGATCACTTTCTTTGCTGAGCTTTCTTCTAACACTATCATGATCTGAAATTACATGTTTATTTACTTCTTGTTTGTCTCCCTCATGATAAGCTTAATGATAGCTGCAAACACTGCTTTATTCCCAATGTGTGAGCAATGCCAAACACATTAGACACTCAGTATATAGTCTTTGAATGAATGAATGAATCCTCACGGAGTCCCAGTGAGATTGACCTGTTAGTATCCCCCTTTTCCTGATGAGGACACTTGAGGCTTAGAAAGGCTAAATCCTTTGCTCTACATGATGCAGTTAGGGAATGATTGTGTAAAGCATGTACCTCACATTTTATCACCTGTGGAGTTGAAATGAAAAGGTTGTGTCTGAGGTATTCAGTGTAACTCACTTTGGAAGCCCTCTCATTAAAAAGCTTTCATGGAAACTCTCAGGTTGAATCATGCGTAAGAAACTATGGAAAATTTGTTCACCTGTTAAAATGCGCTACCTTTCCTTTCTGGAAGTTTCGTTAGGTTTGTAGGGAGCTTTGGTCCTGAGACGGTAGTTCTTTGTGCCTGTGGCTGAGAGCGCCGCTGAGTGACAGTGGGAGTTCTCTGAAGGGGGGGAGTGGCTCCAGGGCTGGGGAGGAGAGGTGCCTGTGTGAAGCTGTTGAAACGTTGAGGACAGTGGAGGCGGGAATGCTGTATGTGAGCTGCAGTTTGTGGATTGGTGGTGTGGCTTATTTGGGACACTCTTTATGTGTGCAGTGTAAGCCTGGCCCTCTCCTTCCCTCCACCCACCTCTTGCTCTTCTCTCAGCAAGTAAACTGCTTTTATGTTAGCACTTTTGAAGGAAGCCACTGTGCTACCTTTGGGAATCTAACAATCCTGTTACTTGAATTTAACGATTCCATGCTCAGTTTAAAGCATTGGGCAGAGACTCTGCCATTTGGAAGGGCCTGTGTTGATATAACTTGTATGATATAAGATCTGTTAAAAAATCATTTGAATGGGGATGGTTTAGAATTGTGTGGCTTCTCGGGTTTCTTTCAGTCTTGTTTGAGCGCTGATACTCGATCTTCAGCCTTATGGTCTCCAAGTCATCTGCAAAGAGATTTAAACATCTAACACCATTTAGGATATTTGAACTTGACTAATTATAGTATATTATTACGTTTATATCACTTTAAATTTTTACAACTAAAGATTTCCAAATACCTCTTCCTTTTATGTTCTGTTTAAGTTCTATGTTGTGGTTAGTCACAGGGCAAAATAGAAAATGTAATTGGAACACTTAATGTCATTCAATATTGATTTGTTTTCTAATAATCTATGAGTTCTATGTAAATTATGAAAAGAGAGTTTTGTTATTTATTTTGTGAGGGAACAAATTTGCAGCTGACTGTATTTCCTAGACTTTAGGTTACTGTCAGATGTAACTTTATTTGGGGACTTGTTTTAAAGGTGAAGCCTTACTCTTAAAACTGTCAACATTGTCTTCTTTGATTCCTTAAATTTTCCTATATTCCATTAACAGTAAATCAGACTGTGAAGTGTTTGCGGTTTTCTACATTTCCTTGGCTCCCCTTGACCACGACAGACAGACATGTTCTCTCCTCCAATGAAAGGTACAGTGCCTGACGCATTTAAGGTATTTGGGTTCATTTATAGCCATTAACTCTGGTAGTTATTATGTTTTCTTTTCACCAGGTAAAAAAGATACTAAGTGGCTGTGAAAGGTAGTGGTGGGAATGTGTGAATGATGCCAGAATGTGTGAAGCAAGCCAGAAAATCCCTTGCCTTCAATCAGCCGACACGTCAGGTTTCTTTTCTGGTTGGAACCTTCTGTACTCCTTGGTGATGTGAGACATCTTGTATTGACCAGATTTTCTGATTGGCCATTGCTTATGCTCTTGGTTAATAAAAATGGAAAAATTAAATATAAATACACTCTTTGTAGAAGACACTATATTTCAAAACCTGGGCTCTGTTAGGAAAAGGTTGGGGACCACTTATCTAATCTTATGTCATGTATATTAATTGGTCATTACTCCCAAAAGTAGGTAGCCCATGTACAGAAGTTTGGAGAGTATTTTAATGTTTACTTTCATTTTTTGCTGAAACTGTATTTTCAGTGAATGCAACATTAACAAATGAGTCACCTGTCTTTTTTGGTGAGAATCTGGTAAATAAAAATCAACTTGCTTGAGTTTGGGCCAGGTGCAGGCAGATGCTGTTTAATGATTTGAATGATGGCACTTGCAAGCATCAGTAAATTCCCTTAGAACAACATATTGGTGAGGCAGTATGGACACGCGAAGGGCGCAAAGCATGGTTTTGATCTGTTGGCGTTGAAACCTTCCCTGAGGAAGAGGCATGGTTTCTAGTGCGTACCTCCGGGTGGTGACGGTGCACCGGAGCTGGGCTGAGGGGGGGGTTTGGTTCCCTGGGATGGAAGGTGAACGGCTTCTGCATACCTGGAAGGGCAAACACTGTCTGAGAAGCTGAGGGTGTCCTCTGTTTGGGATAAGAGGGGAGTCCCAGCTTGATTCGCCTTGGTTAGGAAGAGCAGTAAGGAATCTGATTCCTAGAATTTAACTTGGTATTTACTATTATTTTTTTCTCTTATCTCATCATTCATTTAGCAGATTTCACTGACTTCTGTGCCCTTTGACCTCACTGATCTCATTTTGTACTGTCATGTGACACAGTCTGGGCATATGGTGGTGGACACCATGTAGTCCCTGCTCTGGAGGAGGGTCTAGAGGGGCATACGAAGTTGGCACCCAATTACATAGTGCCGGATACAGGCAGGTGGAGGACGCGCCTCCCTGAGTTGTTTATTGATTAGGGGAAAGGCTGACCTGAGGGCCTGTGAATCGGGTCCTTTTGCTTCTAGGTTACTTAGAATCTGAAATAGATAACTTGTAAAAAGTAATACTGTATTTTGTAGCTCTTTGAGAAGTAGTAACCACACTTTAATCTGGAATACCTGTGAGCTGTTGAAGGATGTTATCATGCAAGATTTTCCTGCTGAGATTTTCCTTCAAAGGCCAAAAATTGTTCAGGTGGGTAACATCTGTAATCATTTTAGATTTTGAAAAAGAGAACTTTTTACAATGAAACATTTTGCAGAGTAGAAGTCTTTGGAAAGAAGATGTGCATGACTACATTTAAATAAATGAAGTATTTGGTTATTTAAACCAAATTTGGCTACTTATTCTCTAATTTATTTGGAAACTGATAGTTCTTCTGATAGGAGGTAGTCTCATTCAACACACACAGTCCAGTTTGAGCACTTGAATTGGCCATTTCCTACAAGGGTCATGTAGGGTAGTATAGGGTCACCTTGCCTACAAGGTAGTATAGGCTGAAAATTGAGGTTGGGCAGCAGTAACCTTTCTTAACAGCCAGAACATTGTCACTTTCCGAGTATCTAGTATGTCTAAGGCACAGTGCTAGACACTGGGGAACTGTGGTAGTAGTGAACAAGATAGATTCTTTGCAGTCTAGTCTATTGCTTGCATAGTGGAGAGATTGGGATCGTGCACATCTATATATCTCGTGCTGCCACAGCAACCTTGCTCCACAGTCATGGCTGGAATGGACAGCCCTGAATGGCAACTACTAACATATACTGTTGTCAAATGATAGTGAAGGAAGGGCTGTTAATTACCTACAAGTGTAAAATTGATTTAGCTGTTTGAAATGTAGAAGGCTTGCTGTGATTTTTAATAATCCCTGTGTAACTTAATGCCCTGGATGGGGAATAACTCCTGTCTTCTCTGAGAATAGGTACTCAGCTAACAGATTTTAGATATAAGAAACACTGACTATTCTAGTTAAAGTTTATTATCTTATTTTGCCCCACTGTCTTGCATTATGCTAAGTCAGTTTTGCCCATTTCTGTTTCTTATGTCTTATATTTAGCAACTGACTTTATCCCTTTGAGGGCTCATTTGACCTTTCTTAAGTTCTGCATCCTTTAAAGTTGCGCACTTGTTCCCTTGACCATTTTCTTTGCTGTTACCTATTTCAGAGCCTTCTATCTCTGTTGAAGCTGCCCTTTGGAGGCGATGGGAAGCATCGCCTGGTGTTACAGTCGGTGTCCTGCTTGCAGCAGCTGTGCACGTATTTAAGAAACAGACTTAATTTTCACCGAGATCCAGGTTTTTTCTCTAGCAAACAAGGTATTTATTCATTAGTCACTGGCGGTATTGGCAGATTCCTCTGAGAATCCCCACTCCCCCCAGACTTCCTGTGAGGCTCCCTGGCTGTACACTTTGAGGACATACACTCCCCATTCCTAAGCATAGTCAGATTATAACCTCTGAAAGCAAACTGTCAGTGACAGACCCCTCAGGATCCCATCATCTCTTTCTTTTTGTTTTGTTTGGTAAGGAACCTCTGCAAAGTGTTTCCTTTCTCCCAGGTGTACAGAGACACAGAGTATTGGTGGAAGCTCGGGACTGGGATTCTATGTCCAGTTTTCATGTGGGGCTTTGGGCATTTTAGCAAGTTGTATATAGGTTTGAAAAATACCAATTTGTATTTTATGGAAACTTTTTATGCAACTTGAGGTGTAGTTGGAGTGTCAGTACAGGAGAGCAGTGCCAGACTTTACAGGGAAAAAGCACCACCTAATGGCCGAATGTAGTACTGACTGCTTTGTCACGGTGGTATTTACAATTGAGGATTTCTCGGCACTTCCACAGTATGCATCGGAAGTCAGTTACTAAGTTACATTGATTTGTCCTCATGCTTCACAGTTAATCACTGTTTTGTTGAGAGTTTCACTGATCCTGTGCTACTTGAATTTATGCTAGATATTATCTTTATAATAGATCTCAGAATGGATGAGATGTCCTCATTGACGCTAGAGAGCTGTAGATACATTTCATCACAAAATGAGTAATAATGTTGATGAAATAATTGATATTTCTGAATATTTATTTATGTATTAAATATTTATTTATCAATTACTGTATGTCAGCTGATATTCTGGTCTTTGGGGCTGTAACCATGAATAGATAAGGTTCCAGCCCTTATGAGCTTCTATTTTAGAAGGTTGGGGACAGGTAATAAACAAATAAGCAAGTTTGTTTCAGATCAGGAGAAGTTCTTGAAGGAAAATAAGGGTGGTGTGATGGAACATGGTCGGGGCAGTGGGGTTCCTTGGACAGGGTGGTCAGGGGAAGCCTCTCAGGGAGAGACCTGGAGGGTGAGTTTTAGGAGGTCTTTATGTGTCCTGGTTATTAAGTCCTCATCAGATATGACTTGCAAATATTTTCTCCCATTCTGTAGGTTGTCACTTTCTTGATAATGTCCTTTGAGGCACCAAAGTTTTTAATTTTTGATGAAGTCTAATTTTTATGTGTTTTCTTTGATTGTTTGTGCTTTTGGTATTGTATTGAAGAATTCATCGCCAAGTCCAAGGTCATGAATATTTACTCCAGTGTTTTCTACTAATAGCTATGGTATTAACTCTCATATTTAAGTTGTTGATCCATTTTGAGTTACTTTTTGCATATGGTTTGAGGTAGGCTTTCTTGGAGAGGTTTAGGCAAGGGAGTGCATATCTGGTGTTCTGCTTTAGCACTCGCTAATGTTTTCATAAATAATGTTGGCTAGAAGGTTCCATATAATCAGGTCAGTTAGATATAAACCTAAATGTGCTAAGTGAATGAATACTTGCAGAAAAGTGACTTTTATTTTTACCCCGTAGAAGCTACTATCTTAATTTCTACTATCTTAGTTTTGTTAAATGTTTTTTTGGAAGAATGAAACACACATACAACATAATAAGTAATCTGTCTCTACTAAGGGATAATTTTATTCTTTTTTTTTCCCCTAGATACAGTTTCCCAAAATTCTTCTTTATCTTACTGTCATGAAATGAGAGTTATTCATCATTCCCAGAATCCTTCTCCAGGAAGCAGTAGTCCCCGGCCTTCTGTGGTTGGACGCACAGGCCAGCGACCCAGAGGAGACGGCCAGGACTGGGATGCAGTGTCTTCCAGGTAACTGGAGAAAAGCCTGGTTAACTTGAGTGTATGTTCTAATTTCAGAAGGTGAGCATTATTTTTCTGTCTCCTCTTTTGAAACATTGCCATAGGTATCGGCCTTGTGTTACACTAGTGGCTTTTAGGCTTTTTTGCCCATGACCCAGAGTGCGAAGTAAATACTGCATTGCAACTCAGTACACAGGTAGATACTGTAGGTGTGTGTGCGTGTGTATTCATGTGTGTACATATGTGTGTGCCTGTGTATGTGTGTTCACAAAATAGTATTCTGCTTCGCTGTGCTGTACAGTGAACTCTATTTTCTCTTCCTTTCTGTTTCATTAAAAAAAGAAACATGGTTCTGACCCACTCAGTTGTTCTTACTAGCCATAAGTGGAATGTGATCTAATTCCAAACCCTAGCTTTAAATGACATAAAACATACTTTGATAATGACATAAAACATATTTTGATAATGTTTTAAACCCATTTTTTAAGTTGGATTATAATTTAAGTGCATCAGTGTTTACCATTAAAAGGAATGATTTGGAGAATCTATGGAACATAGACTTCTTCAAGGTGCACAATTATGGTAGTTCACTTATTTGCATAACTACAGATTTTTAGGTATCAAATTTTCTTAAAGGTAATTGCATGGTATTTGTTTCCTCATCCTTAGGCTATAAGTCTCTTAAAAATACCTTAGTCTCTCTTTTAGTGTCATTCTCATAAATGCTCAGGAAGATGAGCGCTTGTTTGCTGCTGGGGTGTCTCCTCCTGACGCGGCTACTTCAGGCTAACGCCGGTCCGTGTTTGCTGTGGCCTCGGTGGGGTGTCTAGTGTGCATGAGCCTTTGGCCTTTGTTCTTGTGGCAGGCCGATAATAAGATTGGTGTTATTGTCGTCATTGTTTTACAGAAGAACCTGAGGTTTGGAGAGGCTGCGAGCCTCTCCCTGGCGTGTACAGCTGGTGAGGAGCAGGCCAGGGCTTCGGGCAGCGCGGCCCGAGAGCCTGCGCTCCTGCGCCTCCTGCGGCGGCTCGGGCTGATCGGCGCAGCTTTTCCCTTTACTCTTACAAGGCCATCTGCCTCATCCTCTGAGCTGTATCTGTGTGCTCCATGCTGATGAATTTGCCCTCCTAAGGGAGCAACTCCCTCACGGGGCCTTTTAGAGGCTGAGAAAAACTCAGCCCATTTCCCTAATTTGGAATGTTTGGTGTACTGATATATTTTTCTGGTGTTTTCTAACATTCTTCAGTTGCTAACATTGGCTGACTTAGAACGTTTGGTGAAAATCACAGAAAACCTAGGAAACTGTGTAAAATATTTAGTTTTGCCTTTATAAGTTGATTACAGAAGAACTTTGCTATGAATCTGCTTGTTTTCCTGTAGAAATGAATGGGTTATTAGTGCTAATGTTGATTGCCACTCTAAGAAGTTGACACATTTCAAGAACATCAGTTTGAAAAGCAAAATATAAATGCGTTTTTGGAGTCATTCATGATTATGACCCATCTTTATGGAATTTAATGTCAAATTTGTCAACGTTCCTACAAATCTGACCAGAATTGTGTCATGAAGCAATATAGTGTGTCCAGTGGGAGGCTCGTAGTATGCGGGGCACATGTAATGCGGGGCATCTGCTTGTGGGCTGGCTGTTCCGTATTCAAGGCCTACCGTTTGTTCATTTTACAGTGGAAGTAGTGGCCATGTCCACATAAACTCCGGGGGACCGGGCCCTTCCCCTCTGGATATGGCCTATGTAGACCTGCCGGAGCTGGAAGCTGAAGACCCGCTGGAACTGCAATTCCAGCAGCTCAGCCTCCCCCACTTCTGTGTCTCCATTCTGGAATCAGCAGTTCCTCTCTTAAGAACAGGTTAGTTGTATTTGAAGTCACAGTTCTTTTTACATAAGTTGTGTTTGTTTTCTCTATTTTCTCAGACTCTTATTTTTCTTTTTTTCCCCTTCTCTCTGTGTTAGGAACTTTAGAATCTGTATTTCTCTTTGGGATGCAAATACTTCAGAACTTAATAAGGTCTTTGTTGTCTCCTGATTAACCGTGGCTGCCAGGGAGCGCTCTTCAGTAGGGTGTCCCCTTTTCGCTTGGGGGTGTTTGTTGCATAGGCTCGCACTTCTCTCTGGCTGTGTTGGATGTAAGCCCTGAAGGGACAGTGCACCTGGAGTAAGTTTGAGAAGGTGGACTGGCATGAAGAGCAGGGCAAAATAACCTTTGGCTTTTTGAGTTGCTCTCACTTGTTCACTCTTTCCATTTAGTTCTTACTTAAGCTATGAAACATGCAAAAAACAAACATAAACCTAAAACTGGATTCTTACCTTTGTAGTAATTTCTTTATCTTAAAACAAACAAACCCAAAAAACATAAAACCACCAAGAAACTCAAAAGACCCAAAGATTCTTGACTTACATTTTCTCTCAAAAGTGCTCGGTTAACTTAATTTCAAAGAAAAGAAGATGTGCTGTTTTGGTTTACACTGGCTGACTAAAAGATCTTTCCTGTGTTAATGGTTCTTTCAGTGTAATTTAAGACAATTTTTTGCCTGCTTGCAGGTGATGGGAAGGAAAGCAGGAAGTAACCATGTATTTTGGAAACATTCAAAATTTTTGTATTCTGAGGAAAGCTGTAGACCATAGCTTCTCACTGACCGAATAACTGCTTCTGGGAGTTAGGAGTACATGTTAATTCATGTTCTAGAACGTGAAATGAAGGAAGATCTGAACTTTGGCCTCAAAAGGATATATGTTTATATGCACGTCTGAGAAGAAGAGTTCTAAATTAAATGATTTTGCATTTAACCTTAATTTGCTGTGAAAGGTCAGATTGATTATTATAAAGCTGTGTCTTTGTACGTAAATTTTCTAAATGTTCTCCTGCCCTTTTGTGGTAAATTAGTACATAATTTGTAGTTGCTCAATATTATAAGAGATTTCTAGGAGGACTTGCTTCAGCTGTTCTAATGAAGCAATTAACCTAGACCCTTATGAGCTGGTAGTTTGTCCTTTATTCATTAGAAGGTGACCTCTGGTATGTGGGACAGAAAAATCTTGATTGAATGTTCACCTCACTTAGAATTACAGATGGTGGAATTCCTTTGATATTCTGGCTCTTTGGGTAAAGGAGATTGCTTTGGGGGTGTGACTCTGACAGCACAGTTTCTTTTGGAGTTTAATTTTTAGAGTCCTAAGGTGGGTGTAGGCTTAAGAACCTGTTGCATGTGGAATTTCTTGAAGTTTCTTCAGCAAACACCAGCATGGACATTTGTTCTTTCAGTTAGTCTAGCCAAGCTCAGCTTTCCAGGCAACTTGTGTGGGGGAAATACTAAGTTATGACAAGTCCTAAGCCTACTAATACTACATAAAATTATTAGCATTTTCTAAACTTACTTTGTTGCATATTACATGTAACATAGATGGTCTCTGAATTTGGAAAATCATTTTAATGTATCTCATAGTACTTTCAGTTTGATTTTGCTACTCTCTTCTTGGGTATATTTTTTCACTTACGAACCTATTTGATTTGTTGTAGTTAAATAGTATTATGATTGAAACAGAAGTCTTTAATGGTGATTGTAGATTGCAGCTTTCCTATTCATTTCTTTCAACAATTCTAAAAATATCAAAAAAATAAAAGAGAAATATGAGTTTGGTGGCATAACCAACTAGAGGATTGAGCAGTGTGATATTCAGCTGTTTATTTGAAAGCTAACTTTTTTCCCTTCTCTCTTTCCTATTTGTATTCTTAGGTAGTAGACAGATGATCATAAGAGTTCTGGAATTGCTTGCAGAGGATATGATACTTACCAGTGAGGCAATTTCAGCAGATATCTGGGATGACAGCAGCCTTTTTGCTATAGATATGGTGAGAATTAATATTTTCCTTGGGATATGGGTAATAGTATTAGTATTTATTATATTTTGATCCTTTTAAGCTGACTTCATTGTCTCATTCGTCTTTGAAAGCTTTCTTTAGGACACAGTATGTCCCAGCCATGTTTTGTGCATAGTATGGAACAGGCTGTTTCTCCAGAGATACTTTAATGGAGGAATGCACTCAAAGAGACTCAAAATGGGCCATTAGGGGTGTTAGAGTTACAGTGATTTCACTCGTCCTTTCTGTGATACTACTAGGAAGTATATATTTTAAAAAAAAAATCACGAGTTCAGATTGCTGTTTTTCTGATTTAAAAAATGTATTTCTTTGTTCCTGGTTGTACTGTTGCTCATAGAAAGTCTTTATTCTTAGCAATCTCAATGTAATCGCTTAGTAGCTTTCAGCTTGAGTGCACAGTAAATTCAAAATAGCAATTTTAGTATCACTATGGCCAGTAATAAAGTTCAAGAGTTCATTGCAGTTCTTTTTGACTCAGACTAAATCTCACTAAGAATATACTAGAGTCAAAATACTATATCTTAAAGTCACTTGAGAGAATTCTTTTTTCTGTTACAAATTCATTATACAGATTTGTTTCAGTTTGATTTTGCTTTTGGGGATTGTTTTCTCTTCATAAAAATTAGCTCAGATATATCTCCCTGCCATCCTGTTCTTTGGTTTATATGTTTCATTTTTATTTTAGTTTTTGCAAATGCAAGTAAGTATGTAGATTCTTATTCCCCCTCATATCTTATATAGAAGGTGATATATATGCATTTATGATTTTACATCTTGTTTCTACTATTCAAGGATACATGCCCATACATGAAGATCTTTGTATTTTTTATAGACTGCAAGTGTTTTGTGTTGTGTTTATTCATCCAGTCTCCTATTAATGGACATAATTGCTAATTCAAGTTTTTCAGCGGGGAGGATGATTTTGGAGAGTATGGCCATGTATTTTAGTTTTTTGGAAGATGTATTTTGGTAGTAATTTTTTCATGAGTAATTAACATATGTACAAGAGCCTCAGGAAGATCATATTACACGTGATATTTAAGAGATCTGTGAATCACCAGAGTATTTGGAAACCATATGCTTTTTTGTGTTTCAATATGTTATAAACCATTTATCATTTTATGTCTTATTTTGAAGTTGTCATCTCATAAGCTTACTTTCCTCAAATAAATGGTGTTCTATCTCTTCTGTTATGTAAATTGGTAACTCATTTCTGTTTTTTTTTTTGCTTGCCTTGTCTGAGAAGTGAAGCAAAATTTATTAATCATAAAAATATATATTGATTCTCATAGTTAGCAATTTTTTTCTCTTTATGTTATTTTGACCTAGATCTGTGTTTCATTAAACTTCTAAAGGCTGCCTGAAATCCTGTTAATAGAGGTTAGAACATAAAAAATAAAATAACAATGTTAATACTAATACCTGTGTGTGAAAAACCTACTTTTTAAAAAATAACACAAATCTTATGAAACGAGAAACAAATATTTTACAATAGGTATATAATTTCAAGTCCTTCAATTTTTTTATCTTAAAAATTGGGATAAGAGTTCTTAATCTTAGTTTTGTTTTTTTTTTCAGTCTTTAAGGTTAGCACACTACTTGGTAGTACTTTTAGAAGATTTTCACATATTGAAGGTTTTCAACAAGTGATTTTTTTTTTCCTTTAGAAGTGTGAAGAATGTTTTATCAGTTGCTTCTTAAATTAACTTAAATTTTCTTGGCCAGAACATTTATCTGTAGAAGTTAGTCATTCACTTTTAACTTTGGCTGCAGATCTTTTATGATTCAATGAATTATTTTTACTTTAAAGGTTACATATGCTGTACAAGTTCCAATTGGTATGTTAGAAATGTTAAATAAAACAGTACTGCTTGAAGTTATATTTGATTTCCTTTTACTTGTTTGAAGGAATAAATGCATCTAGGGAAAATCTCATTCCTTTGGCTATTTATTAATAGAAGCAAACAATTAGAGTTTCTTAATGTCTCTACTTTTATCAAGTTTAAAAAGAAAGGTAGAAGCAGCATCTTTGTTGAGTTATTAAAGGAACAAAATAAAAAATATGTTGTTGTCAATTCAGAAATTAAATACCTGAGGATATATAAGCAAATCTCTAGATCTTTCCAAATAATGCTAATAGCAGTCATGTCTAAAATTCCATTCCTCAGTTTGTGTAAGCGTAGTCAAAAAATTCCCCCCCGAAACTGAATATTTTTATTTCCCTTGAAGTAAAAAAAAAGAAATATTTTCACTGAAATCATTATATTTTGTTAAAATAAAAACTTCATTGGTAAGCACTTGTAAAAGTTAGGTTGACCTCAGATTTTTTTCGCTTCCCTATGAAGTCATCTGTTTTTGACTTAATCGTGTGGTAAGTTAAGTTCAAGGAGTAAGGATCTTCCGCTCATGCGGGGTAACCCCAGCCCCCTAAGGCCATCTCCTGTTGGTTCCTTGCCTTTCCTCTGCCACTGCTGGTACTGCAACGTCAGGAAAACAGTTTCTTCTTCTTTATGACTCAGCCTCTCAATTCTCGTCTGACCTGCTGTGAGCTGCTTACTTCAGTTACCTAGGCGTCTTGGAAGGACTGCTGGCTGTTCCGGAGGGGCTGAGAGGGTTGTGAAAGAGTGAGGGAAGGGCTTTGTATCCAGTAAGGGTTCCATGAGGGTGGCGGAACCGGACTGTGAGTTCATAGCTGTGTGAGTGGGGGCTCTGTTTAGCATATGCCTTCCCCGTGACCGTCACCAGCCCAGAAACAGTTATTTTAGCTCACCAAACAATTCTTGATTGCTTGTTATGTGCTAGGCACTGGGCCCACAAGATGAGTAAGAGACAGTTCTTTTCACTCCTAATGGAAAATCTATACTTTTACGGTGACACTAGTGAAACAGAGGTGAGCACAGAGGACTGACTAATAGTTAAAGTACAGCACGTATTCTATGGTGGATGCTATTTAAGCACTCTGTTTATGAAGTCATGTGATCATTACGACCCTGTAAGCTAGATAACTTATTTTACAGATGAGGCAACGGAGGCAAGTTTCTTTTTGAAGGTTACTTAAGATTCTGTTTTTAATCATGTTTTATTGTGAAGGATGCTTGGAGAGTGCTCGCAACTTGGGATCTGAGGGAGGGCTCTTTGTGAATCGTGACTGAACTGAGTCTTAAATTCTGAGTGTGATTTGGCTAAGCAAATAAAGGAGGGGTTTCTTATCTGGCAGAGAGGAAAAGATGGACAGGGAGGAGTAGTGGGTAGTGCTGACGGGGGATGAAGGGTAGGGCTAGTGGGGGATGCAAGAAGCTAGCATAACCTGCGGTGGAAGGGGTGGGAGAGAGGCCGGTGAGTGCAGAGGACCTGCTCCTTGAGCCTTCTCTGTGCTGTCCGCTAGTCTGGCTGCCATTCTGAAGCAGATGGACTTGATCTGCAGAGGGCAGCGCCTGCTGAGGGTTGCATGCTGTGGAAGGGCTGCAGCGTGGAAGGGGCGTGGGGGGCATGAGATGGAAGCAAACGGGGTGCCCTTACCAGTTGCTTATGTCAGATGCTTTATAGAATTGACAGCCTGTTTTATAGTGTGCAGATAGGGAAGAAATTGTGTTTGTAGGGAAGAAATTGTGTTTGCACTATAAATTCAGTTTTATTGAGAGCATTTAGAATATTTTACTAATCTGCTATTTTATTTCTGTTCCTTCTCTTGTAGAAGCTTATGAATATCCTCTGAAAACGGGCTTCCCTCCCCATCAACTACTTCACAGCCTTTTAAACATTTTTAGCCCAATGAACTAAAACTAGACCAGTTATTATTGTTTTCAACCCCTTTTAAAAAAGAAAAACATTATTTAAAAAGTCCATTTCTTTTACTTAGAAGAAATGCTGGAAATAGTGAAAATCACAGTACTGATTCTTATAGTACTTCCTTTTTGTACTATTTTGAGAACACTCAATTCATCGTTAGAATTTTTAGGGTTATTTGAAGTGATTTCACAAGTAAATAGATGTTTAGAAAATGCCCTACAATGCTGAGATCTGAAATATGTTTATTGATTTAAACTGTAAATTGTCAGTTAATCTTGAGTAACAGAGGTGTGTTGTTTTATATATAAAAGTACTATTTTAATACTGTGTGGAAGAATTGCCTGTCAGTATAATAAGACTGTTGCTGTGTTTCTAATTTGTTTTCTATAGACCTGTAGTTATTAATACAATGGCTATTAATTTTTCTGTTTAAATTTTGTAAGGGTTGTCCTACTTTTGGTTTAAATTTTTATTACTTTTTCATTTTATTTCGTTGGGATTAGAGAATAAAGCCTTAAATATATATTGAAGTTTTCTTTTCAGTTAAGTAAATGGTTAATATTTGTCTATATTCCTTGGTAATTTGAAGAGTTGTATTCTTTGAAATATTCAAAGTTTATATGTATTTATTAAGTTCCAAAGGACAGAATTAAAACCTGTAAATCCATCTTCATTTTCGTAACAGGTTTTGTTTGATAATATATGTTATTCATAATACAAAGACTCATTCATATTGGGTCTTTACTCTTAATTATACATTTTATCAATAGAAAATTATCCCCTTTTATCCAGTTTTTTTTGCCCTGAATTGTTCATTATTCATATTTCATAGATTTTTTTGTCTGTATTTCACCACACATTTAATTTTTAACATTTTTGCACAAAGATGAAGATGTCTTTTTTATGCATATGTATTATTTTTGTTTTTTACTTCAGAAATCATATTTCACTTATAGGAAAAGAAATTAGAGTTTTTGTAGTACAGGTTGCTTGGTCTTCTCAGAAGTTTTTGCTCTCCTCTATTTACTTTCTTTTTTAACTATATAAATAGTTTTGTCTTCCTTTTAATTCTGCACTGACTTGGAAGTCATCATACTTTTAATTTTATTTGTGTTTATTTTAAACTTAAATTTATAAAATGACCTATGTGAGTAACAAAAAATGGTTACTTCTTGATGTTATTTTTTTGTGGTAAAATATACATAACATAAAATTTACCATTTTAACCCCTTTTTGAGTGTATTATTTAGTGGCATAAAGTATATTTACATCGTTGTATAGTCATCACTATTAGCTCCAAAACTTTTTTCGTCATCCTAAATGGAAACCCTATACCTCCCTGTTCCCCCTCTGCCCCAGCCCCTGGCTGCCGCCATTCTGCTTCTCTTTCTTTTTGTGTCGGCTGTTCTAGGTGCCTCATGTAAATAGAGCCATATGCTGTTTGTCTTTTTGCATCTGGCTTATTTTACTTTGTGTAATGTTTTCAAGGCTCATTCATGTTGTGACATGTGCCATTCCTTTTTTAAGTCTGAATAATATTTCATTGTATGTATGTACAACAAACCACATTTTTTTAATCTATTTATCTGTTGATAGACGTGTTTCTACCTTTTGGCTATTAGGAATAATGTTGCTGTGAACTTTGATGTACAAATATGTGTTTGAGTCTCTGCTTTCAATTTATTTGGGTATATACTCAGAAGTGAAGTTAGTGGATCATATGGTAATTCTGTGTTTAACTTTTTAAGGAGCTGCCATATTGTTTCCACAAGTACTGCACCATTTTACATACCCACGAGCAATATACAAGGGTTCCACTTTGTCTATATCCTGGCCAACACTTGTTATTTTGCATGGTTTTTGATATTAGCTACCCTAATGGATGTGAAGTGGTATCTCATTGTGGCTTTGATTCTTTATGTAATTTTTGTAGGCTTCATTCCTTTTTGTTTTTCATATAGTCACTCTTGAAACAAAATTCTGATGTACACTAGTATTTTAGCCTTAATCTACAGGGTATTTCCCATTTCTGTGTTCAGTGTTTTCAATGGGAAGTTGAGAGTGAGAACCCCCATGCTCACTTTTGTTCTACCATCTTACTGATGCTGTTGTCTTACCAGCTAGTCAATAGGGGAGGGGACATGTCGCATATCTAGGATATATTTTGGTCTTTATGATTTGCAAGTTAGTGTGCTATATTTTAGCCTTCTCTTTGTATGTTATATATGCCTTTCAATTTAAAAGATACAACTTCTATCTAAGTGGTAAGTTATCTAGAAGCTTATGATGGCGGAATATTTTCCTTTTGAAACAACCTTGAAATTATGTGAAGAGAGAGATTTCATACAATTCAATATTTAATTGTTTTTTAATTATTTAACTTTTCCTGTTTCCTTTCTTTCGTGACTTCAGGATCAATTTGAGGGCAGGGATCATGTCTCCTATACTAACTAATTTTTTTCATTATACCTGCCATTGTGTTAAGCAGACAGTAAGCCTAATAAACACTTGAGAGTTAAGCAGATGTTCAAAGTTGTAACAATTAAGCACTAGTATTAGGAGGAATTTATGGTTCATTAAGCTTTCATATTTTATTTATTTTTATTCATTATTAGAATTCATCCTAGTAAATACTTACAAATTGTTAGTTTTTAAAAATTTTAGGAGTACTTATCATTCTTTCGTGCTTTTTAAATTATGTCGGTAGATACTGGTTCTTCTTACATAGAGGAATACATTCTTGGCTTATTTTTGTTATGTAATGATAATATTTTGAATTGTTCCCCATGACATTTGCATACTAGCCCCTAAAAGTGGTGGTTTTCCTGTTATCTGTTTAAATGTTTGCAGAGAGAGAAAGTGCTGTCTGTGCTGGGCATCCTTGGGGACACCCTGTGCTACCACAAGAGCAGTGTGAGTCTGGAGCAACCGGACGCAGTGCTCGTGCACCACAGAATGGCCTTCGTCAGCATTTCCCTGTTCACAGTTCGACTGCTGCAGACGCTTCTCCCTGTTGAAAAGGTAAGGCGGGTCACTCAGCATTGAAACAAGCGCTCTGTCATACAGGCCTTCTGCTCATTTCACTGTGTACAAGGAGTATGTTGGAAATGTAGAAATTGAGAAATGACTGACATTTTTGAATAGGTTTGACAAATCGTTTCATAGGAAAAAACATTAATTCTGTAAAGGTTTTTCTTAGGTTAATTTTTAAAATTGTAGTGTAACATATCTTTAGAAAAGTATACAGTTAATTAATTTTTACTAAGTGAATATACCCATGTTTAAAAAGTAACCACCTCTCAGAACATGAAATAGCGTATTACCAGCATTTCAAAGGCCCATTCTATCCATTACCTTTCCTTCCTCCCTCAAGCCGAACTCTTCCTTTCTGACTTCTGTTACTATAGAGCAGTTTGTCTGTTTTGAACATTATATAACTGGAATTTTAAATTATTTACTCACAGTTTTTTTTGAGATTCATCACTGTTGCTTGTAGCAGTTCAATTTTTATTACAGAATACTATTCCAGAGTATGACTGTAAGTTAAAGGTGATTTAATAGGTGTATGTATTTCCTCAAAATCATCTAATTGCCTATATTTTTAAATGGAGGTTATATCTCTGAATCTGAATGTTGTGGTAAAAATACCTCAAATGATTAATACACAAGGTTTTGTAGTATGCTTATTGTAAAAAGAAAGGTGTGTGTGGCATGTTTAAATGAAGGTCGAGGAAAATTGCTGCAACTAAAGAACTATTTCCTGTGCCTTTTGTTGCCCTTTTGTTTCCTAGAAATCTGCAGGGCATATATTCTAAACTCCATTCTTTTTTATTTAATTTTTTAAAATAAAAAACAAAACATTCAAATACAGTTGATCTACAACCTTATATTGGTTTAAGTGTATGACATAGTGATTCTATGATAACATACATTACTAAATGCTTACCATGATGAATGTACTTGCTATCTGTTAAGATCCAAAGATATTACAGTATTATTCAATATATGACTATACTCCCTATGCTGTACTTAGATCCTCTAAACTCCTTTTTTTAAAAGTATCATTGATATACAATCTTATGATGGTTTCACATAAACATAACTGTGCTTTCAATCACCCATATTACTAAGTACCTCCCCCACCACGTTGCAGTAACTGTCCATCAGCATAGTAAGATGCTATAGAGTAATTAAGTCTTCGTGCTGTGCTGCCTTCCCTGTGACCTACCGATATTGTGTGTGCTAATTATAATGCCCTTAATCCCCTTCTCCCTCTCTCCCCACCTGCCCTCCCCAACCCCTCCCCTTTGGTAACCACCAGTCCCTTCTTGGAGTCTCTGAGTCTGCTGCTATTTTGTTCCTTCAGTTTTGCTTTGTTTTTATACTCCACAAATGAGTGAAATCATTTGGTACGTGTCTTTCTCTGTCTGGCTTATTTCACTGAGTATAATACCCTCTAGCTCCATCCATGTCATTGCAAATGGTGGATTTGTTTTCTTCTTATGGCTTATTAATATTCCATTATGTATATGTACCACATCTTCTTCATCCATTCATCTACTTATGGACACTTAGGTTACTTCTATACTTGGCTATTATAAATAGTTCTGCAATAAACGTAGGGGTGCATATGTCTTTTTGAATCAGGGATCTTGTTTTCTTTGGGTAAATAACCTAGGAGTGGAATTACTGGGTCAAATGGTATTTCTGTTTTTAGTTTTTTTGAGGAACCTCCATATTGCTTTTCACAGTGGTTGAACTAATTTGCATTCCCACCAACAGTGTAGGAGGGTTTCCCCTTTCTCCACATCCTTGCCAGCATTTGTTGTTGTTTGTCTTGGATGTTGGCCATCCTATTTGGCATGAGGTGATATCTCATTGTGGTTTTAATTTACATTTCCTTGATGATTAGCGATGTGGAGCATCTTTATATGTGCCTGTTGGCCATCTGTATTTCTTCTTTGGAGAAGTGTCTGTTCAGATTCTCTGCCCATATTTTAATCAGATTATTTGTTTTTTTTGTGTTGAAACATATGAATTCTTTATATATTTTGGATGTTAACCTCTTAATGGATAAATGATTTACGAATGTATTCTCACATACTGTAGGATGCCTTTTTGTTCTACTAATGGTGTCCTTTGCTATACAGAAGCTTTTTATTTGATGTCGTCCCACTTGTTCATTTTTTTTTTGTTTGTTTCCCTTGACTGAGGAGATGCATTCAGGAAAAAGTTGCTCATGTTTATTATATTCAGGAGATTTTTGCGAATGTTTTCTTCTAAGAGTTCTATGGTTTCATGACTTACATTCAGTTCTTTGATCTGTTTAGAGTTTACTTTTGTGTATGGAGTTAGATAATAATCCAATTTCATTCTCTTGCATGTAGCTGTCCAGTTTTCCCCACACCAGTTGTCGAAGAGGCTGTCTTTTCCCCATTGTATATTTATGGCTCCTTTATCATATATTAATTGACCATAGATGTGTGGATTTATATCTCGGCTCTCTATTCTGATCCAATTATCTATGGGTCTATTCTTGTGCCAGTACCAAATTGTTTTGATTACTGTGGCTTTGTAGTAGAGCTTGAAGTTAGGGAGCGTAATCCCCCCAGCTTTGTTCTTTCTCAGGATTACTTTTGCTATTCAGGGTGTTTTGTGGTTCCATATGAATTTTAAAACTATTTGTTCTAGTTCATTGAAGAATGTTATTTGTATTTTGATTGGGATTGCATTGAATCTGTAGATTGCTTTAGATAGTATGGCCATTTTGACAGTATTAATTCTTCCTATCCATGAGCACGGGATAGATTTCCGTTTGTTAGTGTCTCATTTTTCTCATGAGTGTCTTGTAGTTTTCAGAGGACAGGTCTTTCACCTCCTTGGTTAGGTTTATTCCTAGGTATTTTATTCTTTCTGATGCAATTGTAAATGGAGTTGTTTTCCCGATTTCTCTTTCTGCTAATTCGTTGTTAGTATATAGGAATGCAACAGATTTCTGCATATTAATTTTGTATTGTGCAACTTTCTATGAGTTCAATTATTAGTTCTAATAGTTTTTAGTGGCGTCTTTAGGTTTTTCTATGTATACTACGTTGTCTTCAAACAGTGACAATCTAAACTCCTTTTTTTAATAACACACATGCAATGTATTTTCAAGTCACCTGTGAAAACAAAAATAAAACATTTAATTTTAAATATAATATTTTGTTTTAGAGGAAATAATATCACTTCTGTTAATTTTAACTTTTAACTTTCATTCATTAGTAATTATGTTTCTGAAAGACCTCTGTTTTGAAGAATGATAATGTTCCAAAGCATGAGCATTATAAATTGAAGAATGCCAGTCATATAAGCCTTGAATTACATTTAAATATGCATGTCTCACTTTGCATAATAACATATAACTGAAAAATTAGTAGTGTTACAGTAGCTTGTTATTAAGTATTCTAAATGACTATCAATAGGTTGAAGTATTGGTAAAAACTTAGGAATTGTATTACGTAGACTTACAACAGATTTTTTTTTACAGATTTTTTCATCTGTGTGCTTATTGTTAAATCAGTTAAAATAAAATGAGTAATTTATTTGTTTTGTTATTGGAGGTAATTGCTTTTTATTTATTCTGTTTTTGAAGTCAAATCATTATCTGTAATTTTTGGTGGCTCTCTAAAATATATGATTTGGCATGTCATTAAAACACTAAATATGGCCATTGAGGAGACTGTAGTTAAGGTATTGGTTTATAGAGATGCTTGTAATTACTTTGATTGACTAATAACTTTAAAATGAGATCTAAACAAAGATGCTATTCCAGTGCTGTTACATTTCTCCTCCAGTTTATGTAAATACAAGGTTGTGCTGCCCTCTGCTGTTGCTAGCCCACCAAAAATTGACATGGAATTTGGACTCTGAAACTTTCTACTTTGAGAGTTGTTTTTAAATATTTGTGTTGCCACTTACCAAATATGTAAATTGGAAATTGGAAAATGATAGTATGAATCTTTGTAGGGATTTTGTGAAAATGACCTTAGAGACCTTTGTTGAAATTGGTAATTGTCGGTTTTAAATGATTTTGGAGAATACCTTTGTACAGGTTAAAACAGTATGTTGGTAATTTATTTGGTTAAATCAAATTGGTAAAACAAATGCAAGTAACTTCATTTGGGGAAATATTTGGAAAATAAGAGATAAAAGTACTGGCCCTGTGCTGGAAGCAGGATCCTAGAGCATCCCAGGAATCCCCTGTGAGTCTTTCTTAGCTAGCCAAGCAGACTGAGGTAGGAAAGAATTTACACTACAAGGTTTTGACTTTTCCAGTGAGGTTTATAAAAGATCTAATAGTTTGGTGAGGCAGATAATCCCAGAGCAGCACTCCTCAAAGTGTGATGTGCACACAGGTCACCTGGAGATTTTGTTAATCAGATCTTGCATGATCTGATGCATTAGTTGGGAATAGGGCCTGCGAGTCTGCATTTCTAACAAGCCCTTCAACAATGCTGGGGCTGCTCTGAGTGGCAAGATTGAGAGAAAACAGTGTGACACCCCTTTCCCCACCAGCACACATGAGATGTTGTTGCTGACTCTTTTTTTTCTAATAGTGGTGATAGATTTGTACCGAAATATCCTCACGTTTAGTCCCAACTGGTATGTGACTAACGCTTATATATGTAGAACAGCTGTTCTCAGTCTGGAGTGTAAACTGTGATCTGTCCATTGGACCAGCCCTTAATCTTAGACTTTCAGGCAGTTAATAATTATCCTTAAAATAGGTTATCCATGAAATAAATCATGACCAAAGCTACTTTAATAAAGACAGTATTTCAGCCAAAATAGTGACAAATGATTTTTTCTGAACATTGAATTTTTAATCCTAATCATTTTCTTAGTTGATATATAGAATCCTATCAGGAAGCTCAGTCGTTAATAGAAAAATAACAGTTCTTTTAGTTTTAAATCAATTGATTAAAGATTGTAAAATGTATAATGTTTCATTTGGGCCTGTTGATTTTATACTAATTAGGGGTCCATCTTCTGTGACCATTCTAGAACTGTTAAATATTATGATGAATTTCTCCTTTCCCCTCTAAAATGCAAACCAAACAAAAAATAAATTTCTTTTCAAATCAACCTATACATATATTTGATTTAGTGTTATTTAATTCAATGGGTAGTTAACAAGCTCAGGGTTATGTGTTCAGCTAAGGTAGGGATGTGTTCTAAGATGTCCTCAGGAATTTAATGCATTATTCTGGAGATTTGTGCATGAAATATTCGGAGTAAAGGGCCCTGTGCCTAAAGTTCAGTAGCAGAGGTGTGAATGAAGTGTAGGACTGAGGGGGAGAGTAACTCTGGCTGTTGGTTTGGGAAAGAAGAAAGTATCTTGTATCCCAGGCTTTGGGAAAGAGTTGAAATTTGGACTTGAGATGTTCTAGGCAGATGGATTGCACTGAACAAAGGCATGGTATGTTGGGGAATAGAATTTTCTTTGGAAAAGCACACACTTTGGGATAGTGGATGAGATAAAAAAGGAAAGTCGAACTACTTTAAGATTACAGTCTATCTACCATGCTTTCCTAAAAATTGTTTTTATGAAAAAAATTTTAACTTGTTTTTTTTCCCTCAACTTATCAAGGCAAGCCACTTTTTACCAGAAGCTATGTCAGCAGCATTGTTTCTAATTGCCTTGGACATGCCTGTTTCTTTGGAATACCCAAATATTCATGAAGCTGTTGTGGCCTATTTGGAACAGCTAAATTCTGAAAACTACAGTATTTATAAACGAACCGCAGAGGCTGTCTGTTCAATTGAATGTACCTGTAACTTCCTGTCTGATGTTGGGAAGGAGGTAAAAAGTTTTGTTAATATCTTTAAAAAATTCCTTTGATAAAATATTTAGAAAATTTAACCACTGCTTTTCAAACTGATGGACATATACCTGAATTATTTGATGTGGGATGCATCATTACTGTATAAATCAACTATCAGATTAAAGTAAGGATATAAAGTAAGGATTTGTATAAAAGTGAAAGACTTTAGATTAGTGATTGGTATATATTCATAAGACCAATGGCTTTAAAAATGCAGTACTTATTATTAGTGTCTTAATATTTCATTAAGTGAGTTCCTCTTCAAAGTGGCTTATGCTGTGTATGAGCAGAGTGACAATTGACATAAACACTATTATAAAGGCTGTTTTAGTGTTTACTTGTAGATAGTTTTTCCTTTAATATTTTACGGACTTTTATTATACACTCACACAGAAAGCCTGATTGTTTATTAAATAAATTCGTGAACTAGATTGTTTATAAGGTAGGATGACTTTAGGTGCAATGGTATAGCAATACTTATATATTGTTATTTGTCCCTTTTAGAGATATTATTAGGATATTTAGTATATTATCAATGAAAGGGTCAATGAGTCTTAAAGTAGACGTTGACTACAACACTTGTTTACTGTTTGAAAATTCCAGAATTAATCCTGAAGATCTGGAAAAATTAGGATGAAATTCCTATTCATTTTGGTTCCTACAGTGGAATCCCTCTGAACCTCGTATTTCCAATTTCCCTTTATTTACCCACTATTTTTTTTATGTTCTTTTCTTTTTGCCATATCTTGTTGCCACTGGCTTCTTGTTTTCTCCATGATAGAATTCCAGATTGTCATTAAGTTGAATTATTTCTGCGGCATTCTGCACGGTCAGTTAGTCATGCGTGTACTGGTCGTCCTCTCTGTTTCTGGAACCGGTCAGGATGTTGGAAGAGGAAAGTAGATCATAAAGTACACAAGCCCTGCCTGGAGTCTCAGAGTTAGTCGGGAGATGGGGCTACAAACAACAATCAAAGAATCAGGCCACTAGCCTGTGACTTTAAACCTACTCAGAGATGAGAAATAGAAACTCCTGTGTGGCATTTAGCTAAGGATTTTCCCCACATTTCTACTTCTAGGCTGACATTTTTAGTTTGCTTGTTGAGAAAGTGGACTTGAATAAATGTGAACAATCTTAGGGTTTCTGAATGATCTAATTTCTTAAAGCTGCTTAGGTAGCAGCTGAAAATTTTATTGTATATGAACTTGATATTTACTGTCCCATTCTGCTGCTTTTTTAGGGAGAGAAGAATCTTTTAGAATTAGTGGAGCTGGCAGACCAAGCCTTGAGAAGCTTTTCCTATCATCAGCATTTCCCCCTAATAAAGGAAATCATCTGCATTTGTTCAAAGATGTAATATTTTCTTTTTTAATATGATTATATTATTATTGAACATATATTGTGTGTGTGTAAACTTAGCAATGAAAATGAAACTGGTCTTAAGTCTTGTTTTATTATTTTTTAGATTAAATTGCTTTTATATGTGTCTGACCTTTAAACTGTATATGTACAGCTGCAATAGGATAGTTAAAACTATGTTATTCAAGAGTAAACATTAAAAATGTTATGCCTATAATCAAATTGAATTATCCTTAGATTTTTATGCATTTGTTTGGTGTCCATCCAAGCCAAATAACTAAGCATATTTATTTATCTTGAAAGTTTTCAATTAATAACTGAAGTTGAATTTTTTTAAATGTATGTTTCATTGCTTACTACCTTTTTCTTATATGGGTTTTTGGAAAATGCTATGCATTGGTTAATTTCTTTTGAGGGCATTGGAGCAGATTCCTATTAAGAACTTAGTATCTTCATTGCTTTGGGAAAGAGTAAATTCCATGAGGATCAATACCAATTTAATATGGGTTTTTATTATTTATTTTTTACCTCACGAAGTTATCATTTTTTTTTTTTTGGTAGTGAGAACATTTAGGATCCCTTATAACAAGTGTCAAATGTACAGTATGGTATTATTAACTATTATCACATGCAGTACATTAGGTCTCCCGAAGGTATTCATCCTGCATCCCTGAAACTTCGTAGCCTTTGACCAGGCGTCTCTGCATTTCCTCTACCCCTGGCGACCATCATTCTGCTCTCTGCTTCTACGAGCTAGACTTTTTCAGATTCCACATATAAATGAGACCATGCAATATTTGTCTCTCTGCCTGGCTTATGTCACTTAGCATAATGTCCTCCAGTTCATCTGTGTTAATCACAGTGATAGGATTTCCTTATTTTTTAACACTGAATAATACTCTGTTGTGTGTATGTATATTTTTTCTTTTCATTCATCTATTGGTGGACACTTGCTTGTTTCCATTTATTGGCTATTGTCAGTAATGCTGGATGAACATGGGAGAGCAGAGACCTCATCCAGATACTGATTTCATTTCCTTTCAACGCTTACCTAGGAGTGAGATCGCTGGATCATATGGTTGTTCTAGTTTTAATTTTTGAGGAACCACCATACTATTTTCCATAATGACTATACCAATTTTCCTTCCAAAGATGGGCTTTTAAGGACATCTGGATTTTTTTGTACTCTTTAAGAGAGGATGTTCTCTGTCTTGAAACAAGTAAGTGCCTGGGTAAATGCTAATGTTGGCTTAAATAAATAAGATCCCACGTTGAGGAATTACTGTAGGAAGAAACCCCGTCTGCTGTGCTTTCCAGTCTCTCTAGTGATTTGCTTGCCTTAGATGTCTTAAATATTTTACCTTTTTCACCAGCTGGAAATCTGCACAAGCCAGTCCATTACTTCAAGGAGAAAGTCAGAAGGTGTTTCTTCAAATGTTGTCTCACCCATTGCTACAAGTCAAAGTTGAAACTTATCACTGCTCTCTGGAAATTATTAAGGTGGGTTTTTTGGTTTTGGTTTTTTTTGTGGGGGAGAATAAATAGATTCTCTTGTAACTCCAAATTAAATTACTTGACTCTTTGGGTGAGACGTAAGAACTACTACCATAAAAATAGGTGGTAATTATTAGTTAACTAAGAAATTTAATAAATTTAATAAATACTTTTAAATTCCTTTCAACTTAGTAACTCTAGCTATTGAATTGCTTTGTTAGAAGTTTTATTTAGAATTATATTTGTGTTGTGTTATTTAATGATGGAAACATTGTAAGGAAAAGTTGATTTTTATCAGGTATTCAAATGTGATTTCTATGCTTAGGAAAAATTTTAGGTTATTATGGGTTCCACTTTTCAGGTCTGTTTTCTGAGTAATGTGGTTCTTTTCAAGCAAATGCTTATTTCTATCTTTATTAATTATAAAATATTTTAGCATAGAATAGTACATAGGACAATATTGAAAAATATATGTTTCTATGTATTCTTGATGTCCTCTTATATTTAACATTCTTGTGAGTACCATCTAGATATAGCAAATGTTTATATATTTTGCCATTTTTAGAACTGATTGATCCTCTTACATTCAGAGAAATAAAAATATTACAATTACAAGTGAAGCTTCTTTCCTTTTCCTTACCCCTTCTTCCACTAAGACATCCATTCTTATAAAGAAGTGTTTATCTTTTCCATGCATGTGTTTTCTATATTTTTAGTATATATGCATATCTTTCTAAGTAATATATGTTATTGTTTTATGTGTTTGAAAAAGTATACAATTTCATCCTGCACATACGTTTTTGCTTTCATTTAATAGTTGGATTCAATCTACCTACCTTTTTCATATTAACTTCTCTTTATTTGAATACACTTCCTTTTATTTACTGATAAACATTTAGGGTCCATCTACTTTTTATTGAAATAAATTTTTCAGTATTTTCATTTATAATCTGTTACTGATGATGCATATGTTTGAAAATGTCTTGGTTTTACCTTACTCTTGAATGGTAGGTTAGCTGGATGTAAAATCATTCATTCACTGCTCTTTTTCTTAGCACTTTGCTGAAGCTGCTCTGTCCTGCTGGGCTTCTACCTTTGTTGAGAAGTCTTTTATCGGTTGAATTATAGTATCTTTGTATTTGTTTTTTCTCTAGTTGTTTTTAAGATCTTAAATTTTTTATGGTGTTCTGCAGTTCAATTATAATATGTCTTTATATACATTTAAAAAATTTATCTTGTTTAGCACTCTTCTTTCTGAAGACTTGTCTGCCTTAATTTCTGGACAATTTTCAGTCATTATTATTTCTCTTGTCCTTGCTATTCTCTCCAAGTGGAACTCTCGTTAGATCTAACATACGATTTCTTATGCTTTCTTTTGTGTCTTTTAATTCCTTTTTCATATTTTCCATATATTTCCTTGTTTTGTTTGGATGGAATTCCTCAGTACATTCATTTAGTATGCCATTTGTTCCCTCAGCTATCCCTAATTTGCTTTTTTAAAGTTGAGGTAAAATATAGATAACATAAAATTTTTTACCATCTTAACCATATTTAAGTGTACAGTCATAGCATTAAGTTCATTCACAGTATTGTGCAACCATCACGATTATACATCTCTAGAACTTTTTCATCTACCAAAAATGAAATTCTGTAACCATTAAACAATAACTTCCAATGCCCCTACTCCCAGCTCCTGACAACCACCATTCTGCTTTCTGGATTTGACTATTCTAGGTACCTCATCTAAGTGGAATCATACACTATTTGTCTTTTTGTGTCTTGTTTATTTAATTTAGCATGATGTCTTCAAGGTTCATCCATGTTGAGGATATACAGAACTGCATTCTTTTTTAAGGCTGAATAATATTCTGTTGTATATATACTGCATTTTGTTTATCCATTCATCTGTTGATGGAAATTTGGGTTGTTTCTATCTTTTGGCTATTATAAACAATGCTTCTATGAACATGGGTATACAAAAATCTGTTTGAATCCCTACTTCTAATTCTTTTGGGTATATATCTAGAAGTAGGATTGATGTTTTGTATGGTAATTCTGTTTAATATATTGAGGAGTTACCATGCTGTTTTCCATAGTGGCTGCACCATTTTGCATTCCCCTCAGCAGTATACAGGGTTCCAGTTACTCCTCATGCTTGCCAACTATTATTATTTTCTATTTTTGTTTTGATAATAGCCATCCTAATCTCATCATGGTTGATTTTAATTGATTCATCAAGTTTCAAATTTCAATTTTCAATTATTTTTTTCTATTTTTCCTGGCTTCTTTTTAAATTAATTTGCTCCTTTTTTTTCAAAATAGTCTTTCCTTGGTGTTTTTTGCATATTTTAAAATATCAAAGCACTTACTTTATGATTTTATTTAGGTTCTATTATATACAATTCTCATTTGTTATGGCTTTTGAATCTCTTATGTTGTTGATTTCAGCAGCAGGTGGATTTTGATTGTGAGGTCATCTTTGGCAGGATAGTTTTTACTTTGGGAATCTCAAATTCTGTGGACAGTGTTATTTTATTTACTCCTGCCTTATATCCAGGGATTTAACAGAGTTGAGGAGTATCATAGCCTAGGAGGGGTTTGTTATGAAGGTGTATTTTCATTTGACTATGTTGAAGTGCTTATCAAAAGAACTCATAGAGAAGGAAAGGCTGAGGACAGAGGGCGGCAGGTGGCTGACTGAAAGGAGCTAGTGCCTTTGAAAGCTGAGGGTGGTAGGAGCTATAGCATGGATGGCTAAGTGAGCTTAGGTGGGCTTCGGTGAAACCGGAAGTTGGAAGAATGTCCTTCTGTTGATTCTGTGTTTCTGTTGAGATTGCAAGAAAGTAAGTAGGGTGTTTAGTGTGTTTGAAATGACTGATGTGAACTGATGTTTAGCAAGATTAAACAGTAGGACTGGGCCTATTTGGAGAGCCCAGTTGATTGTGTTCATTATCTTAATAGTGAAACCAATCTACTTGGCAGGATTATCTCTGGCTAGCTGTTTGCTGTTTTGGGGAGGTGGTATTTAAAGTCATAAGATGAGCAGGGTCATCTAGTGAGAGAGTGGACAAGAGAGGGCCAGCCATCTAGGGTCTAATCAGTTAGAAGGTGGACACAGAAGGTGCCCGTGGAGACAGAGATGTGTCTGAGGTGAGAGGGAAATCTGGTCTCCTGGGCCGAGTCAGATGCAGCAGAGATGAGCCCGTTGAGTCTGGTGCCCCAGTGGCTGACGGGAGCCTCCCACGGGCTGGAGGCCTGCCGTCCTGCCGGCTTGGGCGGAGGAGAGTGAGGAGTGGGCAAGTGCAGCCTGAGGGCAGCAGTCTCCCTTGAGGGCTTGTGCAGGGAGGAGAGCTGACAAATGGGGTGTCGGCAGCAGGGGCAAGTCGGGTTCAGGGACACACTAGAGGGGGTCTTATGGTGACTGGAGTAATTTGGGAAGAAGTGAAAGCTGCTGGAGAAGACAACCGCAGGAACTCGGTCTTGGTGTCGGAAGATAGAGGATGCAGAGCAGCAGGTAGGGACGGGGCTTCACGAAGACTCCTGGTGTTCTTTTCTGTTGTAAGAAGACCGACATAGGTAGGTTGATGTATTTAGTGATGGGAAAAGAAAGGTATTTCCTTAAGGATTAGGCATTATTCCTATTTTGTGGATGGGTAAACTGACACTCAGAGCATCTAAGTGTTTTAAGGAAGTAACTGACAGAGCTTTAATTAAACTGTAGGCTGAGACTTTTAAGTACTTTTAAAAACATGGACTGTAAAGTTTTTGTCTGTGATACGAAATTAAAATTTGAAAAGAAAAAAGTGTATGTTTATATATGTATGTAACATATTGACCTCTGAATTGTTGGTAGTGGCTATTAGGAACTAATAATTTGCAGGGTGAAAAAATTACATTTCTTTAAGTCATTATGGATTTTATTTTTACCTTTTATATTATATTGAAATTCTATTAATGTTTCAAGTAGCATTTTTGCTCTCTCATCTTAAGTAGTCTCTAACAAGCATTACTCTGTTAGTCTCTAGTTCAAATTTAGAGAAGAGTCTGTGGTAATTAGTTCAAGAGATGGTGCAGTCTTTGCTTCTACTCAGGTGCACAGCTGTCTTGATGATAAAAATCCTGCATGTTGTTATCCTTCTTTCCCCCATAGCTCTAAGTTTGTTTTCTTTCTAATTTTGTTTTTCTTTTTCAAATCTCAGTAAGCAAAATGCAGACACCTTAGGATAAGTTTATTATGTTGTTTATTTCCTTTATGTCTATCACATGAACAACTTGAAGAGATTATGTTTGTCTCAGCGGTTTGGTTAATTTATCAAGACTGCTTGTTGGCAGAAAATAACATAACACATATCTTATGCAGACTCAAAAACTGTTAGGCAAGAGTATCTTTTTTCCTCTTCTACTAGGTTAAAAAAAGTTCCAATGAAGTGAAAACTAAAATTGGAATTGAGTTATAAACAGAAGAAAGTGGAATCCTTTGGAAAAGTCAGTGTCACTAATTTTAAACATTTTTTTTTATTTTGCAGGACTGTTTAGGTGTCCATAATGTCACTAAACCAGTGTCTTCCCTTTGTAATGGAATTCATTTTCTACTTCACCCAAAAGTCCTGTATGAAATCTGTGCATTTGGCATTCAAGATCCCAAAAATGAGGTATGGCATGTTAAGAAAAAGTGCAAAAGACTCCTGTAAATATGCTAATATAACTAAGTCATATGACGAGAACCTGAAAGGCAACTTGTCTTTGATGTATGGGTTCAGTTGAGGTGTTATTTGCATAAAAAGAGATATTAAAGAAAATGTGAGAATCTCGAAATCAGAACAACTTATGTTTTTCATCTAAGGTGTGGAGAACTATATAGTAGTCATAGTAAACAGGTTATTGAGTTATTTAATTAGGGAAATTTTTAGTCAGTGAAAAAATATACCTTCAAAAGTTAAAAAAGGTAAAAAAAAATAATGGAAATCATTGAGAGAGAAGGACTGGTCAAGAAGAGAATGTAAGATGATGCAAAGGAAAGAGGAACATTTGAGAGAAGAGATGTTAATTAGGCCCCCTTCCAGATCTTATGAAACGTGAAAGGTGTGTCAGGTGATGCGGTGGGCTGGCTCATTTTGTCGCATCACTTTATCTGAGCAGGTGAATGCTGCCGCCAGGGCCATTCTGACGCACCTGCTGCAGGGACGATTGGTGATGACAGCGGTGACCTGGAACAAGTTTATTGAGGCTCTCTGTCCTGTCATTCCAGTCCTACAGGTACTCTGTACACTTCCCCGTTTATGATGCCATTTATCTTTGGTGAATGCGATTGATTTAAACACATGTACACAGTGGACTGTCATGTTGTGAGAGAAATGAAGAGAAGTCGTGAAGGCACTGTGGATAACTGAACAGGAAGTGGGTGGCCGTCATGCTTCTGGCAGAAGCGAAAACCAGGATAACTAATATGTCTGTGTATACTTTATGTATCTGTGTATACTTCCCCACTGGGGGAAGAAGTGGCTTTGACTGTGAAAAATAGAACTCAGACTCATATAAAGGCTTTTAGGAAAACCTGACAGTGCCTTTTAAGCAGATATAATATAACTCAACTTGCCTCCGGAATTCCATCCGTGTGTGTCTGTAGTTAGAGTGATACTTTGAGTAACAGCCTCTTGGGAACACAGCCTTTTTAGCTGCCCTTTGGGCATCAAAGGAGCGAGGGAAGCTCAGGTCCTTACCTCCTTGGGCGAGAAGCTGGAGATGGGAAACGCCATCCTTGGAACACTCCTCTGTTATTTATTTATTTATTTATTTTCCTATTTATTTATTTATTTATTTTTGATTGAAGTTTAGTTGACATACAGTATCATATTGCCTTCAAGTATACACAGTGACTCAACTGCATACACGTTATTAAATCCTTATGCCAGCTAGTGCCGTTACTGTCCGTCAGCATAGAAAGATGTTACAGAACCGCTGACTATATTCTCCATGCTGTCCTACCATCCCTGTGACCAACTTATATTATGATTTAGAGTCTGTGCCTCTTTATGCCCCTCGCCCACTCCACCCACCCGCCCAGCCCCTCCCCCGTGGTGACCACCAGTTCCTTCTCGGTGGGGATGGGTCTCCTGCTGCTGTGTGGAACATTCCTCCTTAGAAGAGTGCCCAGCCTCGGGCCCGGAAACTCCCGCAGTCTGGCTCGGGGAAGATGTGTCTGTAGGTCTCCATCCTTGTCATGTGGGGACAGGTCTGAAGATCTGGGAAGTGCCTCATCCAGGGGAAGTGTCACTACTAGGATCTTGAAAAATAGAAAAATTAGTAAGTGTCAAGAGGGGTGTGTATTTTCCTGAAGTTCTCTAGTATTATTTTCTAAAAACAATTTTATGTACACTTCTTACCTCATATAGGTTATTTTGAAAAGTGACTATTCGACTGAATTGAAAGAGATTTATGAGTTGCTTGACAGCATAACTATAATTCCTATTTTCAAATTAAAAAGTTAAGCACCATGTTAAAAGTCAAACCCTAATTTCTCTTTTTATGAAATCCGTTAGGGCTATGCTGACCCAGAAGACCCTCTGGGTAACTGCATTCTCCACCTAAGCACAGTAGGTCCTGAGGCAGGCGAAGGGGTTCTCCCCAGCACCGCCCGGTTAAAGTCCGTACTGCGGCTCCTGCTCGTGAAAAAGCCGTCGTAAGTACAACAGAATCTCTTGCATGTAAAGTTCATGGGACCGTTCTGAGATAGGGAGTGATTATATCAACCTGAAACGTACAGAAGTAAAGAAGTTAAAGGACAGTGATTGTCCGTTATCAGACAGAGGGAGGAAACCCTTGCTGCAGGTAAACAGACACAAGCTCTGGATGCCTTCTTGAAATGCTTCATACATTCCTAGCCCAGGGACCAGGTCGGTCCACGATAGAGGCCCCCTCACCAGGCGCTGTTCAGCGGTGCTAAAGGTAGGGCAGAGGCCGTGGGGACAGAGAGGTCGCAGCAATTACAGTGTTTTCATTGTCTTCTCTCTTTAGAAATTGCTAGCCTCTTGGAGACACCCTTTTCGAAGCATTAGTTCTGAAAGTTAAGTCTTTCATAAAATTGCCTGTGATACCAGAGTGTGCAGGCATTTTCATCTTGTTTAGCTTGTCCCCTTATTTGGTGTGCTGAAAAAATGTCCTTTCCTCCACCATTACTGTAAGTAACATTCTAACTAAAAGAAAAGGAGGAGAAATACGTTGTCTTCTTTCCCTCTCTGTAGTGCAACGTGAATCTGCTCTGCTGCTCTCTTTAGGTAACTGGTTGAATTTTCCTTCATTGAGAAGAGAAAAAAAGCTTCGAGTGAAGCGGGATAAGCAGTGAGGAGCAGGAGTGGGTTGAAAGGGTAGGACGACAAAAGATGATCGTTTAATGACGGATAATTTTGTTTTCCCCAGACCTTACGTCAGGATAGCACAGCAGCTTATTTATAAACAGATGATCAGACTGAAAAGTAAGGAAGTAGGTGGAAATAACCTAAAACATTAAATGAGTGGAAGGAGGAAAATCAAAAGAAGATTGAAAAAGTACCTGTGAAGCGCAGAGTGGAGGGAGGGTGGTGCGGGAAGCAGGAGGGCAGGAGAGGGTAGTGACGGGTGTGTGCCCCCCGGGCGCTGGCTTCCTCAGTGTCCCGAAGTCGACTCCTTCCCCCAGAGTTGGTGATTCAACACAATAGAAGCTTATTTCCTTTGGGGCCTACGGTCTCCTGGTAAACAAAGATGCTCTTATCAGGCAGGACTTGGCCAGCATTTGGAGGTCTCCTTCCAGGGCCCCGAGCAAGCCCACACTACTCTTTGGGTGAGGTAATTCTCTTTTAAAACAGAACGTAAAACAATTTGAATTATATACTTGTTTTCATTATTTGATTGATTCTACCCCATCCTACTAGACCGTAATCTCCATGTAGGCAGGAACTCTACCAACTGGGTAATCTTTATATCCTCAAAGTTCTTAGAGTACCTTGGGTATAAACGTGCCCAAAATGTATTCATTGAAAGAAATAAGTGAAGAGAAATAACCAGACTGTTGCCCCATGCTAACCCTGAAAAGATACGAAATTCATAGACTAGAGGAAGGAATGCATAAATACATGCTTTCTGTATCCTACCATAGCCTTCTCACTGGGGATTGTACCTGTCCTTAAACCAGCAGGCCCAGATGTTAATACTGACAGCGTTGGTGGTGGGTGCGAGGGGCAAGGGGAAGCCTTATGTAGGTGTCTAGCTGTTCCAAGTGCTTGTGAGGTTAACAGCAAATGGGAGAGGGAGAAAGTTTGCCTGACTTCCCACACCATCATGGAGTATATATTAGTCCTCTGAAGATGGGACCTGCTATTAGTACAGTAGATTTCTGCTTTCTGCTACATTTGGCAAGCACGCACTGTCGGCAGTGTGCCTGACAACTGTGGCCAGCTGTGGGAATGTAGCAGCTCACAGCACAGACACCACCACTGCCCTTACAGAACTGGGCCCGTAATTGGGAAGAGAGATCTTAATTAGTTATACTTCATCATTAATTGTAATAAAGCAAGTTCAGTGTCATGATGAGGGAACTTAAGGCCAACAGGACTTCACGCAGCAAGGTGGCCTTCCTGTGTGCGAAGGTCTAAATTGTTGTCTCACAAAAGTACTTAAAACCTGGAATTTGGATTATCATTTAAAATATACCCAGTTCCTATGTAGTTGGAGAGCCTGTTGGACGAGTGGTAGGTACATGGTTGTCTCACTATCTTCCAACTTGATGGTTTTTCTGTTTTTCCATTTCATTGTTTAATGTCATGCAGTATTTAACTTTTCTTGAAATTTCCCACCTCCCCATTCAATTGACCCTAATCCTAATCTAGGCTAGAAAGAATAGAATTTTGATGGGGGTCATAAGTATTCACATTTTCATGTTTGAGAAGAATCTGGCCACTGATACAAGATGTTCATACATGGTCACAATATCACCCTTTAGCTCTTAGTGTGGTTATTCTGCTGGAGGTTCACCCTCATGGTTGTACTCTGTTCATGGGCCTTTATAGTCTGTACGTGTTTGTACTCTGTAATCATGGGTGACAATCTTTTGATAAAGATGGATCACTAGACTTGCAGTCAGGATGTACAGATTTAATATACAGATTAATTTTTTGAGGTTGTAGTGTTAACAGTGGACTTTAAAGTTGACACTCTCAGTGACCCTGTCTTCATTTGCAATTACTGGTTATTTTTTATTTCAGATGTATATTTATAAATGTGAAATTGGAAGAATAATTGTAGTTCTACACTAAATATTTTAATAGAAAAAGTAAAATATCATTAGTAATTGCAGTGTAAGCATAGCTAATTATTGTGTTGATGTATAATAATTCATTGTGCTTATAGGCATTTATAATTTATGTAAATTATAGTAATATGTAATAATTTTATTGACTTCAATATTGACTTAAATACTTTGTTTCTTCAGGGCCCGTTCACGAGCATTAAAGCTGTTAGCATGTTATCTCACACAGGAAGAAGGGGCTGATAAAAAGCGCCCTTTAATAGATGCCAGAGTTCTTTCCAGAGTTCCTAATTTATTTATTGTGAAAAAGCCTATTGAACTCAAATTGGATGACAGAAAAGAACTGATTATTAAGGTGACTATAACTTTTGAGTTTCTTACTGTGTGGTTATTTGACATATTTGTGTGTCACATATTGTGTGTTACAGTCTTCAGTGTGTGTGTGCACCAGACAGGGAGAGACGTGGTTCTTCACGGCTAGGTTGAAACTGTGTTCTGGCTTTATCTGGCTTCTGGATACATTTATTTATTGGACAAATATTTCTTGAGTGCCTACTATATGCCAGGCATTGTGACCCTTTTCATTTACTATGTATTTTGGAAATGCAAATTAATTTGAATAGTATCTTAAATACAACATAAGGCTAATCTAGTGGAAAGAAATTCTGTGATGACTCTTAAAAACAAATGTCACTGACAGAAAAGCTATTGGGGATTCTTCTTATGTTGATAATAGCTGGTAATAGCAAAAGAGAAAAAGTCCCCATGACATTTTCAGCCTCTTCATTTCAAAAGGAAAAGAAAAAAAAGGAGGCAAAGGCAATTTATCTTAAATGTTACACTAGTTCTGAGATTTTGTCATTAATCTCTCTTAAAATCTTTGGTTCTGTACATACCTTAGAGATGTAGCATCGATTTCCCTTTTCATTCTTTCATCCAGGGCTGCAGCTGCGGCTTCCTAGACCAATGCAGTTATCCTCATTGATTCATTCCTGTGTTTCATAGCTTCTCCCATGACTTACAATGTGCGGTCTCTCTGTTTTAAGTTCAGATCGGCCCCCAAAAGCCTGTGATCATATAGTAGAGACACATGTAGTACCGTGGATGTTTTTAAATTGGGGAAACACATTCAGTGTGCTAACCTAAGTGTTCAGAGCCATGTGACAGCCGTGGCCACAGGATTGGAGAACCTACTGGGCACATACCAGGCCCTGTGAGGACTCCCCGAGTACTAACCACTGGAAGTCACTCCTGTGCCCTGCGTGCGGTGGGGAGGAAGGTGGGGAGGAGGGGGTTCCGGAACTGTCTTTTGGGAGCTGCATTAGGGCTGGAAGGTAGCAGAGGGTGGGAGAAAGGAGTGCCGCCTCTGGCCTTTGCTGCCCCCTTCCCTGCCGAGTTCGGCCGCCTCGGGTTCCGTTGGGGCGTGCGGGGACAATGTAATAATTTTATTGACTTCAATATTGACTTAAATACTTTGTTTCTTCAGGGCCCGTTCACGAGCATTAAAGCTGTTAGCATGTTATCTCACACAGGAAGAAGGGGCTGATAAAAAGCGCCCTTTAATAGATGCCAGAGTTCTTTCCAGAGTTCCTAATTTATTTATTGTGAAAAAGCCTATTGAACTCAAATTGGATGACAGAAAAGAACTGATTATTAAGGTGACTATAACTTTTGAGTTTCTTACTGTGTGGTTATTTGACATATTTGTGTGTCACATATTGTGTGTTACAGTCTTCAGTGTGTGTGTGCACCAGACAGGGAGAGACGTGGTTCTTCACGGCTAGGTTGAAACTGTGTTCTGGCTTTATCTGGCTTCTGGATACATTTATTTATTGGACAAATATTTCTTGAGTGCCTACTATATGCCAGGCATTGTGACCCTTTTCATTTACTATGTATTTTGGAAATGCAAATTAATTTGAATAGTATCTTAAATACAACATAAGGCTAATCTAGTGGAAAGAAATTCTGTGATGACTCTTAAAAACAAATGTCACTGACAGAAAAGCTATTGGGGATTCTTCTTATGTTGATAATAGCTGGTAATAGCAAAAGAGAAAAAGTCCCCATGACATTTTCAGCCTCTTCATTTCAAAAGGAAAAGAAAAAAAAGGAGGCAAAGGCAATTTATCTTAAATGTTACACTAGTTCTGAGATTTTGTCATTAATCTCTCTTAAAATCTTTGGTTCTGTACATACCTTAGAGATGTAGCATCGATTTCCCTTTTCATTCTTTCATCCAGGGCTGCAGCTGCGGCTTCCTAGACCAATGCAGTTATCCTCATTGATTCATTCCTGTGTTTCATAGCTTCTCCCATGACTTACAATGTGCGGTCTCTCTGTTTTAAGTTCAGATCGGCCCCCAAAAGCCTGTGATCATATAGTAGAGACACATGTAGTACCGTGGATGTTTTTAAATTGGGGAAACACATTCAGTGTGCTAACCTAAGTGTTCAGAGCCATGTGACAGCCGTGGCCACAGGATTGGAGAACCTACTGGGCACATACCAGGCCCTGTGAGGACTCCCCGAGTACTAACCACTGGAAGTCACTCCTGTGCCCTGCGTGCGGTGGGGAGGAAGGTGGGGAGGAGGGGGTTCCGGAACTGTCTTTTGGGAGCTGCATTAGGGCTGGAAGGTAGCAGAGGGTGGGAGAAAGGAGTGCCGCCTCTGGCCTTTGCTGCCCCCTTCCCTGCCGAGTTCGGCCGCCTCGGGTTCCGTTGGGGCGTGCGGGGACGGGGCTCGGCTCTAGGGGGCGGCTCTGTTGCCTTGCTGGCCAGCGGCTCCTGGAGAGCGCCTGCCCGCGGCCTTCCAGAGGGAGAAGAGGGAGAGGGGAGGGCTTGGGAGGAGCAGCTGGTGGCTGCCGGGAGCACCCGAGAAACCCCGAGGCGCTTGTTGGGTCGCTCTGCTCAGCTCCGCCTGGGACTCCCTGTACAGATGGTACGTGACTTGGATGTTTTCTGTGTAATTCTGAAAGTGGCTAATGGGTTTTGAGTGACTTGCTAGCAAAAATATACATTAAGAAGAGAGTCTCATTTGACATGGTAGCTCTTTGTTCTAGATCCCAAGCTCCCCGACGTAGCTAGTGCTTCGTGGCGCCGAATTCCCATGTAAACATGCCGGTCATTTGAGTAAGTTGGTTTGCTGAGCTTTGGCTCTTAGGGATGAGCTGTAACGTTTTACTGGAGAACTGGAAGTAGATGCATTATTCTTTTTCGTTTTCAGTTGGAGACTGTTGAGAAGGTATACGGTATCTTTACTTCAGATGGTATCGACCTTGTTGTGAGGAAGTCCGCTGCAGAGCAGTTGGCGGTGATCGCGCAAGGTAAGGGCGTTCCCAGGAAGTGCCCTGCTGCTGGCGAAGGAGCCTTAGGGCGCTGCGAGGTGGAATCGGGTGGGCGCGCGATGACTGTGGGCCACACCCAGGGTGGCCTTTACTTACAGCCCCGTGAGTTAGGAATGGTTTTTACATTTCTAAAGATTTGTTTGAAACAAAACCAAAACCAAAACAAAGAATGTGGGACAAAAGCCTTATATGACCAGCAAAGCCTAACATATTTACTGTCTAGTTCTTTCCAGGAAAATGTTTGCTGACCCCTCGTCTGGATTATCACTATTTGACCTTTCAAATATCATTTGATGGAATTATCTTCTTTCTAAAATACTGATAACAATTCTAATAGTAAATTTCATGTTGCCTTATGTCTTCAGTGTGTTCTGACTTGCTCATAGAAATCCATCAAAAAGTATGGTGTGGGCAGGTAAAATAAAAATAATGCAGTGTAACTGTATTCTTTTTAAAGGTTTATTTTGAAACGTAACCGGCACAGTATACTGTTAGCTATGTTTGTAGTGTTGTTATTCCATAAGCTCCCATTCTTTGGGCTTTTAATTTTTTCCTAAGTGTGATGTATATGATTTATCTTTAATATTTGAAAGAAATGATAACTTTGCACTTACATAAAAAGAGTTTTTCTAATTTGGAAAGTAGGACATGGTAATATTCCTGTCCTTACATTAATGGAAACTGGGATGAGAGTTATTAGAAAAAGCATTTCCAACATATTTGTGGCAGGCATGAGTACTTGTATGTTTCTTTTTATGTGCATTTGTATATTCCCAGTGAGAACATAGAAGAACAAATTAAGAAAATTTGTCTGCAGATTGTTAAATACTTGTAACTAATCTATAAGCAACTAGAGTTTTTGTCTCTAGTAATAGCTGTAGTATGTGTGTGTCTGGGTGTAAACGTGTGCCTTAGTCTGCAGGGCGCCGTAGACTGGGTGGCCTAGAAACAACAGAATCGGTTTCTCACAGTTCTGGAGGCTGGCCATGCAGATCTAAGGCTCCAGCAGATGCGTGTCGTGTGACAGCCTGCTTCTTGGTTCATAGACAGCTGTTGTCTCCCTGTGTCCTCACATGGAGAAGGGACTCAGAAGCTCCCTGGGGCCTCTTTTATTAGGACACGAATCCCATTCATGAGGGCTCCACCTTCATGGCTAAATCACCTCCCACAGGCCCACTCCTACACCAGCACACTGGAGATTAGGTTTCAGTGTATCCATTTTGGGGAGGCATACACATTGATTGCATAGCAATGTATATGTGCATGTGTGTGTGCACACGTGCGTGCACACACTAACACACACACGATAATTATAAAAGAGTGTGTAGTCTTTAGAAACAGAGTTTGTTTCGATCTCTTTCCCTTTATATTTTCTATTACAGTTTGAGGATAGGGATCTTTTATTAATAGAAAAATGATCATATTGTAAGATATATTTAAACAGTAATTTGTGGCTAATTCTAAACATTTTGAGGTGATAGATTTAGAAAAAAGAATTGTCAATGAAACAATACAAAGAAAATATTTATGTACAAATAAAAGGATTCATTTGTATACTTAAAATTATAGTACTTTGCAGAGTCTGAACTAGTTTGTTTATTCTTTTTAATGGTTTTTGATTTTTACATTGATTTATTATGGAAGTGCTTATTATGTAAAAGTTTTCATAATTTTCAAGTGTGTATAAATTAAAAAGTTTACAGTTTCATCCTCTAATTTCAACACCAAGTATAACTATTTTTATTAGTTTGAGTTGTATGGATATCTGTTCTTTATTTTTAAACCTAAAAATGTTCTTTAACTTCTCGTGACTTTTTTTGGTCTACAGATATTAAAACACATGCTGTGGTGAAAAAGTTATGCCTAGTTGACAAGATAATTGAGTATTTAAATGAATGTGTGGGTCTGGATGGCAAGGTAAGACTAATGTGTATCTTGACATGTTTTTACAGATTTGTGTTTTTATTAATTGTACCTGAAATTGAATTCAGGTGAATTTGGATAAGTACTTGGAGTTTTAAGTTCTGAGTTAACACCCACTACCTTGTTCATTTTTTTATTTCTGTGAGTCAAAAAAGTAATCTTAAAATTTCTGTAAGAGATGTAAACAGAAGTATATGCAAAACTTATTTTCAGTAATACTTCTTAATATTTACATGAATTTTCATTTCACATGATTTTGATGAAAAAGCATGAAATTTAGGATAAGACAGTATTATAGAATATTTCATTTCACCTTAGAATTGATGAAAATTGTTTTTTCCCTCCTGGCCAGGTTATAGAATGTTTGATCCAGCCGTGCCTCACGCTCCTGAGGAAAGTTCTTTGTGCTGATCCCGTCGCGCGTGCGTCCCTCTCACAGCGGTCTTCTCTCTTGACCCTGTTATTCAGAGGTGAGTAAAATAAATTACGCTGATAATGAGATCAATCTCAAGCTTTAAGTGTTATTCTTTTTCTGTAGGTAACATTTACTTTCCATTTTACTAACAGAATAACAAAGGTTTTTTGTGAATATGACAGTAAAAAATGTATCACAGTGGAAAATATTTAACACTTCTGTGGAAATTTCCTTATAATCCTGTTATTGAGTGGACCTTACAGCTGAGAAAGGCCGAAGCCTCTGGTTGTTCTTGGGGCCTTGACATGGCTGTCATTTGGCGCTCAGCCTGTTAAGTATTACCCATAAAGGGAAAGCGGCACCTGCTGTCATTATGCCTTCTTTCCGGTATCTGTTTCCGCATTCTTAATTTTGCTAATGCCTGTACATCCTGAATCTGTGTGGTACAAGATTATGACAATAAACTGGCACTAAGAGTACAGGACCCAGTCTGAGGTATGGGCACTGGAGCATCCTGAGTGACTCAGCACTAATTTATTACATTTTATAGTGTGTGATTTTTTTTTTTTTTTTAACCTACTTCAGTTGGTGATATTTTAGTAATGTGTTTAGATGGCAAATTCCATGTAGTTTTGTTCTCTTTTTTTTTCTTCCAACTCTTCTCAGTAGAGAGCTTGATAACATTTTGTGCTATTTTCTTTCCCAGAAGTTCAGGCCGCTGCTTTGAAATACTCTACAAGAGGCATCTTGGTCAAATGTCTCAATGTGCTTAACTTTCTCAGTTACCAGTCATGTAAGAGATAAATGATATTTATGTTCAAAATATTATTAAAATACAGATTAGAATATAGTAATTTCATTTTAGCATTTTTCTTTTCTTCTAATGGCTCCTGCTTGCCAAGTGAGTAAGACACAGTTTATTTAATAGTACTGACAAAGGTCCACACCAGGTACAGTTCTAAACAGACTCGGTCTGATCATAAAATTTTGAATAGAGTGTAAAATTTTATAATTTTTTTAAGGGTTGATCTGGAAGAAAGAGTTATGGGTCTCTAGTTTTCTGTAATCTCATTAACAATTATCCTCCTATTAACCACATTCAGTAGAATTTACTTAGTCCTTGGTTTACTTTTTCATTTATAATTTGATTTAAATTATTTGAATATGTAGCAGATTCAAAGGCACTTTCTAAGGCAGCATAATCTGTATCCTTTTGGTATTTAGCAATTTTTCTATCTCATTAATGTTTGTGAAAATTACTTCAGTGAGTCTGAACATGAATTACATTATCTCTCATTAATGGATTCAGAATGTAGCAGATTCAAAGGCACTTTCTAAGGCAGCATAATCTGTATCCTTTTGGTATTTAGCAATTTTTCTATCTCATTAATGTTTGTGAAAATTACTTCAGTGAGTCTGAACATGAATTACATTATCTCTCATTAATGGATTCAGCTTCAGGGAAAAATTGTTTTTTAACCAAATATTCCACCAGGAAAATTCATATCTCAGCAAACATTTATGAGTACTTACCATGTGCTAAGTACAATGTTAGACCCTTGGGATATATCGATGAGTTTGGTAAATGATCCTCATGGAACTGACAATAATATAGTTGGAGTCTTTCACAAATCAATCAATACATAATACAGTATAATACCTATCAGAGTGAGATTCCTGGTGCTAAAGGAAGTGTTCTGAGTAGTTTGGGTGGTGGAAAAACATCAGAGTGTTTCCAAGGAATGTGGCATGTAAGCTGGAATCTCAGAAGTGCATATGAGTTGAATAGAGAGTGTTGATTTCCTCATAGAAGGAGCCATGGTTTGCGTGAGAGACAATCGTGTGTTTGGGATGGTGGTTGGTTACGAATGGTTGGATTTTGGGGAGGTCTGTGGTGAGGGGAACATGGTGAGATAAGGCAGGGAGGGTGGCTTACGCAGAGCCTGGTAGGTCATAGTAAAGAGCAGTGAGAAGCCATTTAAGATTTTTACATAGAACAGTATGTGTTTCAGTAAGATTATTGTTTACAGCATGGAGAATAGATTAAAGGGGTATAATAATCAATCTTTCAGACATACTATTTTGAATTATAAAGTTGATGTCATCACAGAATCCTACTCTGTATTCAGGGTTATATATTAACTTAGAAATAATTTATTGCACCATCTTATAGTGAGGAAATTGAAGCCTCAAGAGATTTAGCGATGGCCAAGGTCATACCTGGATAATGCTGGAGGCAAGGGAAGAACCCAGTGTTTCTTTTTTGGTTGATTTGCTTTTGTTTTAAATAATTAAAAAACTTAAAACAGAGTTATTGTAAAAATTCAAGCAGTATGGAACTATACAAAGTACAATTCTAAAAATTTTAAAAATTGTTCTCAATTTCCTCAAAGTAGAATGTGCTATTCAGCGTATATCATCTGGAATGATATTTTCTATACACACAGATTGTATTTCTCGTATCATATACTGAAGTATTGTGTCGCTTCCTTTTTTTCCAACTGAAAATATATCTTGAATACTTTCTTGTGTTATTTCATATGAATCTACCTTCTGAAAAAAACACAAAACCAAATAGCTACTGCACAGTATTTAAGAGTTTCAGTTTGCTGTATTAATATTAATTAATACTGACTAATTTTTATTAATATAAACAGAATATGGTATAAGATAGGGATCTAATTTTTTCCCCATATTATAGGCAATTGTATTACAATAATTTCTTAGGTACTTGGAAATACTAATGGCTCTTTTTATCGCCTCTGATATGAAATGTCTGCTTTATCATAAATTCTTACATGTGTCTCTATTTCTTTGCTTTTTAGCTCATTGCTCTTTTTATCATGTCTATACATCATGATGTTTTCCTTTTCTCACAGTTAGTAAAAATTCCTTCTTTCAAAGCTAATTTCCTGTTGCTTCACTGAATTTGCTAACTCTGGTTCACTGCTACTCCTGTGTGACTGGTACCACCCCCATCCCTGTTCGCTTAGAATTTCAGTTACCAAGCACCGAGAAGCTGTAGCATTGGGCACGTTGCAGGGGTGGAAGCCGAGGCCTATTATTGCTAAGGGGTTGGACCGCGCACTTCACCAAACGGGAAGTGGTGGTGGTGCTGGCTTTCTGCAAGCTGGTTCAGAGCACTTGGCTTTTCCATTATCTTGTAATAAGACACGAAAGCAAACCAAGAGCATCAGCACAAACAATATTTTAATGTCAAATCTAAGTTCTATGATTGTATATTTGTAGGACAGGGCAGAAATTTTAAGGAGATCTTTCAATGAGCACACTTGAACTGAGTTCAAATGATTTGTCAGAACCTCCCTGGAAGCTGGATCAGTTTCCTTCTCCGACTGACTGAAGCTGGACAGTGTCTAGTGAGTGGATCTGCAGGTGTGGTTCCTGGACCAGCAGAATGTGTCTTTGGGATTCACAGGCCACCCCAAACCCACCAAAGCACAAACTGTTTTAGCAGACTTCACAGATGATTCACATACACTTGAAAGCTTGAGAGCCACTGTGTTAGTAATGCCAGCTTATCTGGGTTAATGTTGCATTTCTCTGAGAATGCATCTCTTTCCTTTGAGTGAAGATATTTTAAACTTGAAGTTTATTCTTTCTAGAGATAAAAATATTTCATAACGTTATGTTTTTTATTTCTCAGTTTCCTTGATATTTCATGAAGATAGTACAGTTGTGACTGAAGTTGGAGCATTATTTTGTCTTCTATTATTTGATGAAGTATCAAGGATGGATATGTGGTGAGCTATAAGAATTTTAAAGGTTTTTTATTCTTCATATTTACCTAAGTTTTCTGGTGTGATCTTATAGCAACACATGGGAACCTGGGACTTGTGAAGTTTATGCTTTCCATGGTAAATATAGTGGTATGACTTGGGGTTTGAGTGAGCACTATGAAAACACATTGGCTCAGAAAGTCACCCTGAGCTTTTATTTTTGAACATTATAAGTACATTTTCCAAAACATACTCTCAACTTTCTGTATTTTTTTCTTTAATATTTAATTTAAAAAAAACCTTTGGGAAGATGTTTAGGATAGTAATATCTGATTAACACTGACTTTGAGCAGGATCAGAGGGAGGGAGACGCAGACCCACCTGCCAGGACAGCGCATGCAGTGTGAGTCATGTATTACGTGGGCTTCCAAAAGGAAAGCATCACTTACCCTTCTAAGGCACGTCCAGGCAGTAGCAAATATCCTGTGACTGTTTAGCTGGACCAGTTGCAACTCTTGATTTGAAGTTCAGTCGAGGAAGTGAAGCAAGTTATATTTGTCAGAGAGAACTATGGTCTACTCAGCTGTGTCTTTCCTTTGTGAAATAGGTCTGCTAATCCTCCCAATAAATCTTCTTCCCCATCGATCTTCACTTTGCCTGTTTCAGTTTTAAGAAGGTAAAGAATAAAATTATTTCTTTAACATTTGAACATGCTAGGCATTGCTGTCCTGTTAAACACTGTTAAATTAACTTTAGTGTAAGAGATATTGCTATTGAATCTGTTCATAGATCTAAAAATATTTTGAGTTCTCTTGGTAGCACAGAGGGACTGAGTTTATTGATGATACAGCTGTGTTCTCAAGTGACTATAGTAAGTTATGATTTTGTCATTTAGTGACCCCTGTTAACCTAGGCAATTAATTTAGCCTCTGGGACTCATTTTGGCCATCTGTAAAATGGGTATCATAGTGCCATGTAACTGATAGATAACAGAGTTTGGCATAAAGTAGGCATTTGTGTTTTTTGGCTCAACACCTTTTTTGTGTGGTTCACTGTAGTTGTGGCCTTGACCCCAAGGGGCATGAGTCATCTCTGCGAACCACTCTAATATAGCATAGGGAATCCTCAGGAAAGAGTTTAGGACAGTGTTCTTGGGAGTTGAGAGGATGGCAAGAGAACAATTGAAATACCATATAAAGCATGTTAACTGTTCAAAACGGGGGCTGTGAGGGAGATCTCTGTATTGCTGTAGAATGGGAGGCATAGAACTAGTCCTCCTTTGTGGCTCATCCTTTTGCACAGTGTTTAAGAATTTAGCAGTTTGTAATTATTTGTATGTTTTCTTTAGATATCACCTGCCAGTACAAGTAACTGGCCACCATGCTGTGAGTCCTTACTCCATAGTTTTGCCGTTAGCTGCTGATTGTTTGGCCTTGAAGCCTGTCTCAGATATGCTGAGAATCGCTTGGAACCTGTCATGGTATCATGGGACCGATAATCTGATGAAGCAAATTAACTCCGAAGCTAAAATCCAAGAGTAAGCTGTTACATTTAGTTGAAAAAACATTCCCATTGAACTGATATAATTAATCAGTTGGTTTTATTTTTCCTTTAGGTCAAGTAGCTTTTTTACTTACGTTGTGATTCTGCTTCTCCACTGATGTAATTTTAACTTTCTTTTAAAGATTACATGTGCTCCAGAGAAGACAAGTAATGACTCCGTAGTGTCTTACTACATTGATGGACAGTGATTGCAGTGGTGTTGGCTGGGGAGGGGGGGACTTGATAATGTGGGTGAATGTTGAAACCACAATGTTGCTCATGTGAAACTTTCATAAGATTGTATATCAATGATACCTTAATTTAAAAAAAGAGATTACATGGGCTCATTACTTTTTTTTTTTGATATCGTTAATATACAATTACTTGAACAACATTATGGTTACTAGACTCCCCCTGTTATCAAGTACCCCCAACATACCCCATTACAATCACTGTCCATCAGTGTAGTAAGATGCTGTAGAATCACTACTTGTCTTCTCTGTGTTGTACAGCCCTCCCCGTGCCCCCCCAACATTATGTCTGCTAATAGTAATGCCCCTTTTTTCCCCTTATCCCTCCCTCCCCACCCATCCTCCCTAGTCCCTTTCCCTTTGGTAACTGTTAGTCCATTCTTGGGTTCTGTGAGTCTGCTGCTGTTTTGTTCCTTCAGTTTTTTTTTTCTTTGTTCTTATCCTCCACAGATGAGTGAAATCATTTGATACTTGTCTGCCTCTGCCTGGCTTATTTCACTGGGGCTCATTACTTTCTAAAAACTATCACAAAAGGAAATTTCAATGAAAAAAGATTATGCTCCATGTTGGTTTTGAGATTATAGAAAGTGTGTTTAGTTAACAGATGAAAATCACTAGGAAAAGTGCTGTGGATGAGAGTAAAAGTGCCAGAAAATGTGTGTGAATGTTGTCATTACAGTGATAAAGATGAGGGTTACTTTTGAGTATCTTAATACTCCAGTCTCTCAGTACTTTCTTATTTGAATGATAAGTATATTTCTGTAAGTAGGAAAATGTTAGTATAAACCCTTAGGATGCCAGTGAAAAAACCCTAATACTGACAGATACACAGCAGATTTTCTTTGGGCCAGGAGTCAATGTTTAGTTAAAAGAAAATGAAGATAAAACAGAACTTTGGGGAAAGAGTTTACAATCAAAATGAATATAAGCTTTTATTTAAATAGCTTTGTTGCTCTTTCCTTTTCATTTTGATAGATTTGCAGATACATTGAAGTTATCCACAGAGGACATCCTTAGTCTGAAGATAACACACACAGCTAGTGGGCTGAAGGACTGTCTGCATTCCATTGTGGAGGCGGTAGGCCACAGGGAAGTGAGGGCTGCCATCACCAGGATGAATTTTTATCTTCTGAATGACAGGTTATCTTTAAAGGGCAGCCCTGGCCCGTGTGGGCTTGCCTTGAAGTCTCTGTCCTGGCACACCACCCTAAACAGGTCAGTGCGAGCTCAAGGCTGCCAGTTTCAAAGATTGGGATTGATGGTATTTGGGTTTATCTCCACATCTTTGAAGATGAGAGCACATATTCTTATCGTTGCTATCATGAAAGAAATGTTTTTTTTAAGAAAGAAAACCTGCAGGATTTTTATTATCTGCAACAAATAATCTAATAATAGTGAGGAATATTTTAATTTGATCACTGCAGTTTGGAATTATTAATAAATGTGACAATTTATTTTTACATCCTATCATACAAAATTTTACTTTTTTATCTATCTCACAAAAGTAAATGATGAGGATAAGACATGGATGAACTAACTGCATGTGTATTCTGTCCATATTATAAATGAGCCAAGATGTTAGTGGGTCGATTAATAGGTTTTGGGCACATGCACTGAGCTGTTTTGTTTGCTTTTGTTTTCTTCTTAGGTCAATTATCTCATTTTTCTTTTTACTCTGAATTTCATAAAGTTGATTGCCATGTGGAGGTCCTTTCGTAGTTCCTGAGAAGGCTCCAGCTTATAAATTAACATGTTTAACTGGTAGTAGGTGGCTGGCTGCCTTTGAGACAAGTAAGACTGATAAGCACCCATTGCCAGCAGTTCTACATTTCAGTCTTCATGTGACTTTAGTATAAACTGTAAAACTTTCTATTAAACATAAGGTGTGCAATTTTCAAAATGCAAGGTTAAATGAGTTTCCAAATTGTGAACTCCATTATTAAGTATAGATTCTCAAAATTCAGCTAATTAACTGGCTTTTCCAGTGGTGTGCTGGAGCCAGCCAGTACTGCCTTGTGGGAGAGCTGGCAGGTAAATGTCAGGGTGTTTGCAAGTTGTTAAATACAGCCATTCTTAGAAATTAAACTATATAAACTTCCAATTAAATAAATTATATAAAAATAAAGGTAATGACTGTACAAAAGTTACCACTTCCTAATTATATTTCATTTTACTGTTATCTCAAGGTTATTTGTATCTAGCACCACAGCTGTGCTATGGAAGTGCTATGTAAGGGTGTGTCACAGTGCAGGTCTCCACAGTTGCGTTACGGTGGCTCACCATCAGTCGTGGGGGGAATATTTACACTCTGAAAATTGATAAACACAATAGATTGGCACCCCATTCCTCAGTCAGTTGAATAGTTATCACAAGTCACTTATTTTAAAGATTAGAAACCATGGTTATTTTCTTTTTGTAGGTTTTTACAAGTCCTTCCTGCTTGCACTGAAGATGAAAAATTGCTAATAGATATCATACATTTTTTAAATAAGTTATTGAAGGAACAAAGAAAAAATTCATCAGTAGAACTTCTAAACTGGCTTCTAGAATTACTCCTTAGACATGTAAGTGTTCTTAAGGAATTTGTATTTTAGACTTGACTAATGAATTATTTGTAAGAGCTATTAATGCTGTATAATGGAGAAGTATAATATTATGCAGCCCATGTTGAGTAAAGTAATCCTCATGTTGGTGTAGATGGCCTGCCTAGTATGACTGTGACTAAGTTTGTTAAATTAAAAGTCTATAGAATGGGTGGGACCTTCTTGGTGTCTACCAAAACTTGTTCTCTAGGTGAGCTTTTTGCTGTACCTGTACTGTTACATGGGGCTTGGGGCAGGGGGAGTGCCTAGGAATGTGGAGAGGCCGGACAGAGGCAGTGAGCGGTATAGTGACGGTGAGGTTGGGAAGAATGAGTCCAACCACGCCCAGGCCTAAGGTTATTCACTGCCGTCTCTACCCTTCCAGCCCCCACCGCTCTCCACTGTCTGTATTTGACTGTGTTCTGAGAAGCTTGCCGGGAACCCAAGAAGCTAGCACGCTGTTGTTCTGTGTATTTTTTTTTCAAATGCCATGAATTTATTTAACCTAGTAAAGATAAATCTTTGCATAAGAATCATGAAGAAAACACATAACAATTAGAAAAGAGGGCCTAAATTGATACAGAAGATAGTAGACCTTGTAAGGCAAATATGTTGCTTGTATGTTAATACATTTGCAAAGCTCATTTGAAGACATGATTCTCTATAAAAAATATGAAGGACCAATGTAGTTTAAGTTACAAACTCTAATTGATATACTTTTTAAAGTATTTATAGATTTAGTCTATAGCTGTGCTATGGAAGTGCTATGTAAGGGTGTGTCACAGTGCAGGTCTCCACAGTTGCGTTACGGTGGCTCACCATCAGTCGTGGGGGGAATATTTACACTCTGAAAATTGATAAACACAATAGATTGGCACCCCATTCCTCAGTCAGTTGAATAGTTATCACAAGTCACTTATTTTAAAGATTAGAAACCATGGTTATTTTCTTTTTGTAGGTTTTTACAAGTCCTTCCTGCTTGCACTGAAGATGAAAAATTGCTAATAGATATCATACATTTTTTAAATAAGTTATTGAAGGAACAAAGAAAAAATTCATCAGTAGAACTTCTAAACTGGCTTCTAGAATTACTCCTTAGACATGTAAGTGTTCTTAAGGAATTTGTATTTTAGACTTGACTAATGAATTATTTGTAAGAGCTATTAATGCTGTATAATGGAGAAGTATAATATTATGCAGCCCATGTTGAGTAAAGTAATCCTCATGTTGGTGTAGATGGCCTGCCTAGTATGACTGTGACTAAGTTTGTTAAATTAAAAGTCTATAGAATGGGTGGGACCTTCTTGGTGTCTACCAAAACTTGTTCTCTAGGTGAGCTTTTTGCTGTACCTGTACTGTTACATGGGGCTTGGGGCAGGGGGAGTGCCTAGGAATGTGGAGAGGCCGGACAGAGGCAGTGAGCGGTATAGTGACGGTGAGGTTGGGAAGAATGAGTCCAACCACGCCCAGGCCTAAGGTTATTCACTGCCGTCTCTACCCTTCCAGCCCCCACCGCTCTCCACTGTCTGTATTTGACTGTGTTCTGAGAAGCTTGCCGGGAACCCAAGAAGCTAGCACGCTGTTGTTCTGTGTATTTTTTTTTCAAATGCCATGAATTTATTTAACCTAGTAACGATAAATCTTTGCATAAGAATCATGAAGAAAACACATAACAATTAGAAAAGAGGGCCTAAATTGATACAGAAGATAGTAGACCTTGTAAGGCAAATATGTTGCTTTGTATGTTAATACATTTGCAAAGCTCATTTGAAGACATGATTCTCTATAAAAAATATGAAGGACCAATGTAGTTTAAGTTACAAACTCTAATTGATATACTTTTTAAAGTATTTATAGATTTAGTCTATGTATATGAACATAATTTGTGTGTGTATAGAACTTGTTGAGATGTTTACTGTTTCCTACGTTACTGTGGGCTGGTGAAAAGAGGGACTTGGTTCACAGAGGCACACCCAGCAGGTACCATAGCGCCTCGTAGAGAGGAAGCACCCGGTAAACACTTACTAACTCACTAGTAGACATATGACATTAAAGAAAGTATCTAGTGAATTACAAGAAACACACATAACCTTAATTTCGTAACTTGTTAAAATATACCAGAAATGTTACCTGGGCCATATCACCTATACAAGTGTAATTACAGACTAAATGCCGGAACTCTCATTGCCGGGTCCTTTACAAACGCAGAGGTACATGTGTATGTGTATTTGTACCGAGATTTTTTTTTATTTTTGTGTTTTGTAAATAGATAACGTATTTTGAGTGAGATGGAGATCTTTGTTGTGTCCTTTGCTGTGAATTGTCCCTTGAGCCCCCGCTGGTTCTGCCGCACAGTTGGGTTCTTAGTCTTGTCTGGCACGTGTGCTCTCTCTCTGTCTCCTTTTCTCTTTTGGTGATGGAGCTCTTCATAAATTAGGGAGAATGGCTTCTTATCTGTGATACGAATTGCAAATGTTTTTTTCTTTTCATTTGTTTTCTGGGCTTACTTTTGGTAATTTGGATTTATTTATCTTATTTGCCTACCTTATCTACCCCTTTCTTCTCCTAGCTTTTGTTAGCTCTGTTATTTCTACTTTTCATCTTTTATAATATTTAAATTGTGTGCACAACCATCATTTATACAGTTGTAGTGCTACAGGGTGTGTGCATGTGTGTGTGTGCATGCGTGCGTGTGTGCAGGACCAGATGTCTCATCACTGTGACTGTGAGCTGCATCGCCACCCCTCCTCCTGGGTCACTGCGGGTCTTGCAGCGTCATCAGGCTGCCACCACCCTCCCCAGTCACTGTGGGCCTTTCAGTACCCACTCAGGCCACCACCACACCTCCTGGGTCACTGCGGGCCTTGCAGCGTCATCAAGCCACCACCCTCCTCCTGGGTCACTGTGGGCCTTGCAGCATCATCAGGCCACCACCCTCCTCCTGGGTCACTGCGAGCCTTGCAGCGTCATCAGGCCGCCACCACCCTCCCCAGTCATTGAGGGCCTTGCAGTGCCCACTCAGGTTGCCACCACTCCTCCCGGGTCACTGTGGGCCTTGCAGCGTCATCAGGCTACCACCACTCTCCTCCAGTCACTGTGGGTCTTGCAGTGCCCACTCAGGCTGCTGCCAATCCTCCCCAGTCACTGCGGGCTTTGCAGTGCCCACTCAGGCCACCACCACCCCTCCCAGGTCACTATGGGCCTTGCAGTGTCATCAGGCCACCACCACTCCTCCCCAGTCACTGTGGGCCTTGCAGTGCCCACTCAGGCCACCACCACCCCTCCCGGGTCACTGTGGGCCTTGCAGCCTCATCAGGCCACCACCACTCCTCCTGGGTCACTGTGGACCTTGCAGCCTCATCAGGCCACCACCACCCCTCCCGGGTCACTGTGGGCCTTGCAGCCTCATCAGGCCACCACCACTCCTCCTGGGTCACTGTGGACCTTGCAGCCTCATCAGGCCACCACCACCCCTCCCGGATCACTGTGGGCCTTGCAGCATCATTAGGCCGCCAGCCCTCCCCGGTCACTGCGGGCCTTGCAGCCTCACTCAGGTGGTCTTGGTTCTGGAGACAGCTGCTGAGGGATCTGAAGCTTAAGTCACATCATGTCGTTCTCCTCAGAATCCTCCACCAGCTTCCTCTCTCATTTACCTTAGGCTGCATGGCTAGTTCTGTTTGAGCTTGCCTCTGAACTACCTTTCTGACCTCATCTCCTACCACAGAACTCCACTCATTCTGTTCCATTCCAGACATACTGGCCTCTGGTTGTTTTTCAAACGTGGCATTCACAACTACCCGAGAGCCTCTGCACTTCCTTTTCTCTGTAGCCGGACTCCTATCCCCTTGCACGTATCTTTGTGACTACCACGTTCATTCAGTGCTCCGTTCAAACGCTAGTCAAGCAGAGGAGCCTTCTCTGACCCTTGTATCTAACAGCATTCCTGCCTGTCTGTCTCTCTCTGCTGCTTCTCCTATTTTGTCATTTCATTGCATTTATTGCTCCCCCTGCAGAATATATTTGTTTAATTTCTGTCCAGAAATGTAGGCCCCACTTGAATGTAGACTCCATGAAGACGGGTTGTTTTATTCACTGCCATATTATTTTTATGAAGTTGTATTACAGACTTCTTTCTTTATAGGTTCTAAATTATGTATCTTCTTGGAAAGATCTTCTCTCTCCAAGAGTTAAGTTAGAAACTCTAATTGATAATACTTCTTAAAGTATTTATAGATTTAGTCTATGTATAGAACATAATTTGTGTGTGTATAAAACTTGTTGAGATTTTGTTGAAGTTTTAAGTAAACACTCTTCTTTAACTTTTAAGGTTTTTTTGATTGCATCTTTATTTATTTATCTGGAATTTCTTTGATGGGGATTATTTTTTTGAATGGTTAACAGTTTTCCCATGTCATGTCTCTACTCCTGATTTGAATTGCCACCATTTTTTAGGAATCATAAGCTGTTTCCTGTATCTACTTGACTCTTTGATTGTATATTGTACTATGTTTCTTTGATATGCCTGAATTTTCTGAAGAACTACATTTTAGAATTATCTAAGCAGATTTTCCTTTGCTTTATTTATTAAAGTCTAAAAAATAGACCTTATTTTTTAAAGTTTTCTCTAGCCATTTTTACTTCTTTCAGATTAACTTTATTTTCATTTTGTGAAGCTTAGGGCTGGGCAGTTGTCCTGTAGGAAGATACTTATATGTGAAATTTCTTGGTTTCTGTATGTATGGCAAAAAAAAAAAACCGTAAACATAATTAAAAAGACATGATAAACTGAGAATAACGTAGAGCATAAATGAGAGCCAACAGACTAATTTCCTTAAAGTATATATTTTAAATCCTTAATACGCTGATTGAAATTCCAGAGTACACAGACTTGTTGTTCAGTGAAGTTTGCTCTTCTGTTACTTTCTCAAGGATGATTTAAAAGTACCAAATTTAGTTTTTTTTTTTCTTATCTTTTAATTGTCAAAAAAATTAAGGAAGCATTTAGAGCCAGTTATTTTCTAAACATTTTTAATAAAGCAAAACAGTAAAACCTAAAGTCATTGTAGTTATTTCTTCTTTGAGCTTTCAGGTATGCTTAAATATTTTAGAGATTGATATTAAAATATTAGTTCTAAAAAATCAATATTTAAATTAAAAAAACAGCTTTTCCTCTGAGTTTTTCAATAAATCTATTTTTCATCTATAAATTTTTTATAACTTCATAATCCTTTTACTCACTTTTAAACAGGAATAAGGTTTGAAGCAGTGTCCTGCATAGGTTAGAGTTCTTGTATTCTGGGAGTTATGGTTGCTTTGGGTTGTGAAAATGGCAGATAGAGTGGGCTTTAGTTTTAGAATCCTTTCTGGAAAGTCTGCAGTAATTGACTATTTACCTATAAGACTTTACACATAGTATATAACAAAATAAAATCACTGTCCATATTAAAATATATTTACCTAAATTATAGAACTATTACCAGATAGTTAAAACTTTACATTTAAATGATTATAAATGTTGTGGTGTGTCATGGTGCTGATGTATATTGTATAATTTTGCATAGTTTTGAAATTAAAATGAAATTTCTGCAAGATTCTAGATGGTTGTACTATAATTTTAATGCAGTTTTAGCAAAGGATTTTCGGTGTAGTTGCATTTATTTATTTGGCTTTGTATGGTATTTGGCTGTCTTTGGAAAGCTTTTGCTTTGCTCATATATTATTATCACTGGTATTGTAGATAGTAATACTTCTAAGGCTGAGCAAAGTGGATGTAGGTAACCACTATCAGGGAGTGCACTCTAAATATTATGCTACAGGATTAAATTATTGTTATGTAACAACCAATGTTCAAAATAAAGGAAGCCTGAAAATACCTTTTAAAGTTTATTGTTTAAAGTGCATAAAATAAGTGAGAAATGATTTAAGAAGATCAGTAGAATAGCATTTCCAAAGGAATTATTTTGAATGTATGGCCATAGCATGTAAAGATATGCAAAAGTAATAGTTGCAGAAACTAACAAAATTAAACAGGTATGAATACCTGATTAGGGTGGAGAATGCTAATAGGAAGGGTAAAGAAAACTCAGCCAACTTACTGAGGGAAGATTTAGTAACTTTCTCTTGTGAAACTTTTGTCTCTGTTTTATCAAAATGTTGATTTATTATAGTCATTTTTGACACTTTTGGAATTTATTGTGTCATTAATTTATGTTTTAATGTAATGATATTTTATTAGTACATAAAATAAGCTAGGAGTCCTGAGTTTGAATACTTTAATTTTCAGAATGACTTTTATAATGGGCATTCATAAAAGTGGGGCCATAATATTTTTGGAGGGGAGACTAGTCAGAACTACACAGCACACATCTCTCTGTGTTGGCCAACTTTCCGAGGCTCACGTCCACTCAGAGTTCATGGAGGGCGTTGCACGTCCTTCTGTTGTAGGTTGCTGATGGATGGGAAGTTGCACTGATGAGTGATAACTGCGTAGGTAAAGAAAAGGAGCCATGATTATAAAAATGGTTGCCTTTTGGAGGTCAGCAGTGACAAAATAATGGCCCACATGGTTGGCTTAAAATTAGGATTGACTGTTAATGTTCAAAGACAAGACCTTCATGTATGATTAAGTACTTGGGATCAGTAGGTAGAGACATCTATTCTACTTTCTGTTGTACTTGAGGAAAAGTTATTCATCACATATTTGAGAAGTGATTTTGCTGACGTTCACTGAGTCTTAAGGTTCTCATGTCAATCCAAGATATGTTATAAAGGAGAAAAGTCTCCGCGATTTACAAGCAGACACAAGTTATTAACAGGATGAGATTCTTAGTTTTAGGTGTATAAATACTGTATCAATATATTAATCAGTAGCTTCTACTTAATTTTTATCTATATTTCAGAATTAATGATTCCTGATAGTAAAATTACTACCTTACCAAGATGGATTTTACATTAAAACAGCTTGTTCATTTTGTCAGTATTTATGGGAGTGGGAGGGAGTGGGAGTGGTTATTTGGGGCTAAGAATACTGTCGAATATATATTCATTTTTGTGATTTTATTAAATATGTATCTTAATTGTTTTGTTCATGAATGAAACATAGAAGTTGTAATAATGTTTTAGGTAATTTTACTTGATCCAAATAAGGCATTTCTTGTTCAAGATGAAAGAAGCTGAAAAAAAAAATGCTACTTAGGCATGAAACAGTGAAGTTAAGTTAAAGGCAGAACATTTCTCGCAAAAGCTCTCAATTATATTATATATAATTGTATCTGATTGAAATATGCTTGCTATGTAATATAAGTAAGTGACTTAGAACTTTCTTGCTATTTTTTTCATTTCTTTTTCCTAAAAAAAGAATAGGTTAATTTTGAATTGAGCTTTTTAGATAAAGGATTTCATAACAACAGAATTACATTTTATTATTATCTCTTCTTGTATATTGTAATATGCATTATTGATGCGGGATAATGCTAGGGACGGGATATGAACTAGCTTTGAAGTAACATGGTTCTGAGGTTGAAGCCTTGCTCTGCCCATTTGTATCACTTTGGACAAGGTACTTAACCTCTTTATAAACCTACATTTGCCCATCTGAAAAATATGAAAATGTAAACCTTCTAGTTCAGTCAAAAAGTTAAATGAAATATTGTTTTCTTTCTCCTTTAAGCACAGTGCCTGTGACATAGATGATTAATAAATATTCCATATATCTTTAATGCTTTTGGCTAATGTAACATTTTCTATTCTCTCAATATTATGAGAAATAATCCTATTATAGTTCTTCAGCTACATTTTTTTTAAGTTGGAAAACAGAGAAAAATTTAAATTGCACTAATTTTATTTGTTTATCAGCCTGCCAAACTGGCAACGACAACAGTAACCATGCTCAGCGCTGCTTTGGGTACGTGGCCCTTCTTACACCCTGTTAGTCGAGTGCGTGGCATACTCTGTACAGGGACAGTTTGGCAGTGAACACTGACAGCATTAAACCTCTTGTAACATTTCAGCTTAGTGATTTCATTGCCTAGAATTCATACATAGGATATAGTCAGAGTTCAGCCCAGTGCCGCAGTTCAGTGAAATTAGAAATTGCCGATTACCCAGTAGTTGGTTTGGTAAATCTTTATAGTTGTAGAACAATCAGATATTAAAATAATGTTTTGAAGAACTATTAATAGTAACATTAAGGTAAAAAAATGGCTACAGTAGTAGATTTTTTACTTGATCTCAGTTTTGCTAAAACTACAGAATTATAATTCTGTTTATACTTCTGCTCACACACGTAAGAAGAAGTGCTGCTAGTGGCTATCTCTGGAGGTGTGTTTATGAGTGGTTTTTAGTTTTCTCATTTTGCTTCTCAGTTTCCTATAATGCTTTCCTTTTGTTCAGATAGATAAAGCACCTATTGAGTTTAGAGCATCTCTTCTAGTGAGTTTAGAGCACACCTACTGATGAGGTAATACAGCTTTTAGTAAATCCAGAACACGATTAACATCAAAAACCTTTATAGGATACAATATACAGCTCAATTGGAGAGTAAATCTACTTTTTACAAATTTCATTTTCTAGAGTCCAGATCCACTCTTAGACCTGCTGGTTCTGGCAGAGTCGCAGGCACGAGAGGAACCAGACGGCGTCCGGGCTGCTGTCAGGCAACAGCTCCAGAAAGAGCTGGTGGCGCTTTTCAATACCTTGCTGCTCAGTGTCACGGCAGCTCCTGACAGGTACCGTCCGCAGCGCTGGGGCTGTTTATGGAGAACCTAGTTTTCTTTTGATTTTCAGAGATTCTTTTTCACTTGTTATGAGAGGAAGAAAGAGTTTAGTAATAATCAGTTGCGGTGGTCTGTTTGTTTCATCTCAGTTAACTCTCTGGTATAGTCTGATTGTAATTTCTCTCCATCTCTCAGACACAAACACACACATACACAGTACTTAGTTGTCTGTAGGTTTTAATTCTTGGCCCTCTCTTAATTCTCTATGCATGTACAGAGCAGTCATACCCACTTCTATGACCTAATGACTATTTTAACTTGGGTGATTTTCAAATGTATATCTGTACTACTGGCTTCTTTTGAAAAAACTTTTTAGGTAAATGAAATTCACTATTTTAACCACTCTAAAGTGCACAATTGGGTGGTTTTTCATTCATTCATTCAACTATCCCTGTTTAGTGCCAGAATGTTTATATTACCCCAAAGGAAACTTTGTGCCCATTAAGTAGTCCCTCCCCATTCACCCCTCACCTAACTGGCAACCACTGATTTTTCTGTTAGTATGAATTTACATATTTTGGACATTTCATATAAATGAGATCAAACAAAAGGTGATCTTTTGTGTCTGACATCTTTTATTAATGTCCTGATTTCGGGTCCATTCATGTTGTAGCATGTATCAGTGTGTATTTCTTTCTGTGACTGAAGAATGCTCCATGTATGGATAGACCACATTTTGTTTATCCATTCATCTCTTGGAGGACAGTTGAGTTGGTGCTACCCTTGACTATTGTGAATAATGCTACTGTGAACACTTTCATACAAGTTTTGTGTGAATGTACATTTTCAGCTCTGAAGTATATATCCAAGACTGGAATTGTTTGTTCATGTGATGACTCTGTTTAGCTTTTTGAGGAAGTGCCAGACTGTTTTCCACAACAGTTACACCATTTTACATTCCCAGCAGCGAACTACGAGTGTTGTGATCACTCTATATCCTCACTAGCACTTAACATTATGGCCGTCCTAGTGGAGTGAACTGGTATCATTTTGGTTTGGATTTCCATTTCCCTAATGAAAAATTACACTGAGCATCTTTTCATGTACGTGTTGGCTATTTGTATATCTTCTTCAGAAAAATTCAAGTCCTTTGCCTATTTTTGAATTGGGTCGTTTGTTTTTTGTTGTTGAGTTGTCTATATATTCTGGACATTAATCTCTTATCCGCTATATGATTTACAAAATTTTCTCCCATTCTGTGGGTTGTATTTTCACTCTCTTGATAGTGTTTTTTAATGTACTGAAATTTTGGTGAGATCTTCCTGTGCTTAGATTCCCAAAGCTCTCCTGGAGGCGAAGACCTGATTCTGTGCACATGACAATTGAAACACACTAAAATGTCAGAATACCTCTAATTCATCTGATTAGCTGATTAGATCCAAAAGATCAGCTCCTAATCCAAGTCTTTGACCGAAGGGCATGCTGTTTCTCTGAGAAATTATGTACTTGGCTCAATAGCTCTTTTACAGAAGTGTTTGATACATAACCATAAATGAAGAGAATTATGAAGACCATAATTAGGAGAAAAAAGTCATTAGAAACAGATCCACAGATGTCAAATGAGGCAAGAATTTAAAGCTATATTGTAAATAATATTATTTTAAGTAATAAACATAATAGATATTAGATGAAAAGATGGACAGAATTAATAAAAATATGAAGAATACCAATAGCAGAGAAATAGACTACAAAAAATAACTAAATACAAATTCTACAACTGAGAAATATAATTGCTAAGGTAAGTAATTCATTTAATGCACTTAACAGCACACTGTTAAGTGTGAGGGAGGATTAGTGAAATCAGAATACAAGTCAACAGAACTCTCCCTGGACAGGCGCACCTGGGAGCCTTCTGAGGCACTGAGAATGTTTTATATTTTGTTATGGTTGGTGGTTGCATCACCATATACATACGTAAACCATCTTGTAGTGTGCCCATAAGATTTGTGATTTTTAGTGCATGCATTTACTGCATGAAGACACACACAAAGTGAATCCAAGGATAGTAGAGTTTGTGCAGCTGGACAATGTGTGTAAGACTCTCCTGGGGTCTTGTTAAAAAACATCAGTAGCACACGAATCTACATATTAACTAAGTGACACAGGTGGCCCTTGCATAGACTTGGGAAAAAATGGAGTGGACTGTTCTTTAGGTGAATTTTGATAGTAAGGAAGGCACTGTGTGAAAGTGTGTGTCAGTCAAGAGCAGATTAGATTTGTATTTGTTTTAGGATGGAAGATACTTTTGCATGCTTATGGGTTGTTGGACATGTGCCCTTTTAAGGGAAAATTAGAGTGAGAAGAGGAGAAAGGTGGAGGGGAGAAGAGAGGAGGAGAGAGTTAGGTAAGAGACAGTGAGAATGCGGGTAGGAGTGGAGACATACTGAGGAGAGAGAATGGATGGAGCAGTGGATTAGAGAAGGAGTGTGGGAGAAAGATACAAGGGATGAGAAAGGTAGGTGTGTAGGATGCGAGAAGGGCACTGAGGGAGTTGACTTCGGTTCATTTCATTTTTTTCTATGAAATGAGAGGCAAGGCTGTTTGCCAAGAGGACAGCCTGCGTGCAGCCTGCGGGGGAGAGCCTGGCTGCAGATGTGGAGTTCAACTGGGCTTGACAGTTGCCCTCCATGGTGGCACCTTTCCCTTCAGTGGTAGTTTTTCTTCTGATGTGATTAAGGGAAGAAGAAATGAGAAAATGAAAATAACTCGTATCTTAATTTAAAAAACAGTAAGAACATTTGTAATGGTCTTGATTAGATTATTTTGTTGCTAAGGAAAAACAAATTTATTAAACTAACTCTTGGGCTTTGGTGTAAGTTCTGTGTATTTCTAAAACTTTAAAAGCAGCTGGATGACAGGTACAGAAAATTTAACAATCTTTAAAAGTCGTGTATCTACATTTCATAGTTGTGATGGAATAGGTAATAATAAAGGCAGTAGTCAGTTTGGAGTCTAAAGATCTGTAAAACTGAAGAAATTTAAGATTTTATTCGCTGTTTTGTTACACAATGATATTTCTTCGAGGAATCACATCTTTGGATTCATGTGTAGCTACTTAATTTCAGGGGCTTTGTTTCCTAATAGAACATGTTCTCTTAATTTTTCTTACTCTGATTTTGCTTCAGTTGTGTTTCAAACTCATTAAAGCCATTGTTTTTGTTTTATTTTAGCTTTCTGGGGAAAATACATTTTAACCAAGAGAAATTCAATTTTTTAATGATACCAAATGATTAAAAGTATAGTTTTAATATATGCCAATGAAAGACATTTAAAGTATGCATTTTCCATCCCTACTGTGAATTTCCTTATTGGGTAACAATACCAATGTCCATTTATGTATTTTTCAATGTAATAGTTGCTGGTATTTTACATCATACCCCTAAATTGTATTTTAACTATGTTTTCCTTTCAAAAATTTTTGTTTTGAATGAGAATTTTCTGCCATTTCTCCTAGTTGGTATTGTTCTGGTACAGTAAGTTGTTAGCAACTGTCTACCACCAATAAGAGCTCCTTAAGCACAATGCACTTGTTCCACGGTTAATTTTTTTCTCCTTTACATATACAGGAAATGCTTGGAACTTCTTCATGTTTTCCAAACACAGTTGGCTCTGAAACTGCTCCAGTGTCTGAGGGTCACAGATGCTCCTCATTTCTATGGCCTGCCTTCCCTCGAGAGGACCTTGCGAGGGATGGCTCACCTCACAGCACTTCCAGGCTGGAGCTCACATTCTCCTCTCACAAAACCACTTGAAGTTTGTATGAAGTACTTGTCCGGTCTCCTTGAAGTAAGTAAAAATAACCAGTGACCATAACAGCAATAATGACAACTACCAAAGGATAGCTTGCTTCCTGTGTGCTAGCCAGCCACAGTGATAAGTGTGTTTTTTTATATATGTATGTTACTTTATTTAATGTACATTATTATTTAGTATTTGTATCACTCATCATAATGGCTAAATGTTTTAATGATTTTTATTAACAAATATTGGAGTAAGATCACTTTTATGAATATACCCATTTTCAAGAAAAATAAACCAAGGCTTACATTTAAGTCCCTTCATTAGGGTGATTTATTTACTTATATTATGTAAACTTTTTTATTTGTGAAATACAACACATATGCAGAAAATGCACAAAACATAAATCCTAGCTGAGTCATCTCATGGTGCGCACCCATGTAACCGCCCCTCCAATGGGATGTGGCCAGCCCCCTGGGAGCACTGGTCATACCCCCTCCCAATCTCTCAAAACTCCATTTCATTGCAGTTGTTATTATGATCTTTATGGTAATTACTCCTTTACATTTCTTGGTAGTTTTACTACTTCATTATGTATCCATATATACAATAATACCTCATTTTTTTTATTTTGAAAAATGGAATCACATGTCAGGCTGCTTTCTTTCATCATGTTTGTGAGAATTACTCATTTTGCTGCCTGTAGGTGAACTTAGTTTAATTATATTGTAATATATTCTTTCTCTACATTAAAATGTAGAGGATACTTAAAATGTTGAAGGACATTTGGTTGTTCTTTTAGTTCCATTTTAGAGCAATTTTGGATCCTGCTGCTATGCGTATTTTTGTGTCTCAGGAAAATGAATTTTTGAAGTTTAATTTTCTAACTATTTATTGTTGATACAAGGAAATACTCAGTTTTTATATATTAGCCATATACCTGGGGATCCTTGGTTCCAAACTCAAAGGAAAGGCCTTTACTTTTTCACCTTCCAGCATGCTGTTTATGGTAGTTTTTCAATTAGTTAAAGAAAACTAAGATTAAGGACATTTTTTTTCTGGTCCTACTTTGCTAAGGACTTTTTAAAAAATCATAGATGTATTTTGCTTTTTTTTTTTGTATCTTTTAAGATAATCATGGTTTTTCTCCTATGTTTCATTATGGTGGTGAATTACATTGATTGATTTTAAGCTGTTGACCTTTCATTTCTGGAAGAATTTCAACTAGATTGTGATGTATTATTCCTTTTATATATTAACAGGCTTAATGTTTTTAGAATTACTGTATTTGTCTTCTTTCTCATAAAACTTTTGTCAGTCTTAATGTCAAAATCAGTCCACCTTTATGTGTATAAAATTTTCTTTTTCTTCATATAACTTTCTTTCATCTTTTGAAGTGTTGATTTGAATTGCTGTTACTTCTTCCATAAATGTTTAGTAGAATTTAATGATGAAACAATCTGTACCTGGAATTTCCTTTTGGGAATATTGAAAATGAGTGATCTTTTAAATCTAGAATTATTTAGATTTTTTATTTTTGTGTGTGTCAGTCTCAGTAAATTAGGGTTTTCTAGAATTCTTCTAAATTTTTTAATTCACTTCTCTAAAGTTATTCATTACATCATCTCATTTTTAAAATATCTGTCAGATCTGCAGTGAGGTCCCATTTCATCGCAGGTGCCAGCTTACGCTTTCTCTCTCCTGATTGTCTCGATCTAATGGTTTGTGCGTCTCCTTAGTGTTGATCCTCTCTTTCATATTTTTTCCCTTTTATTAATTTCTGCTTATAATTATTATTGCCTTCCCCTTACAGCTTAGTTTATGACTCTCTTTCTAATGTTTCTAGATGGAGTCTTAACATCACTGATTTAAAAATTTTTTAGCTTTTCTCAGATGTTCATTTTTAACTAGTATCTTCCTACGCATTGCCTGAACTTCATTCCACACATTCTGATACACCCTGTTTTGTGTCATTTGGTTTAACCCATTTTCAGTATGATGTAATAAATACACCAGTGATGGGATTGTACGTAGTAGTGTAAGAGATGAGCTTTGCCGCAGCGCGCTGCCAGCTGTGATGTATGCATGTCGTGCACAGAAGCCAGGGTGAATTGCAGCTGTTTAGCCCTGCAGCACGTCCTCTGATCCTTGTGGCACATGAGAATACGAGAGGCGTATGAGGAGCTGCTCTGAGGCTGTTTTTCATCTGCTTTGCTCTCTTTATGGAAGTCCATCACCAGCTTGTTTCTGGTGCCTGGTGCTTTCTGCATCACTTGCCTTGTGGGAATATAGGGCTGTTGGTTCTAAATGGCTTAGGCGCAGCAGGGTCTGAGCTCCTCAGCAACTGTGCCCTGCATAAGATTGCTTTCTCTGGCTCCTGGGTTTTACTGTTCTCCTGCACACGGGACACGCGGAGCTGGCACCTTTGGCTGCTCTTGCGTTTGCTGTTTATGTAGGTAATAAATTGCCTTAATCTAAAAAATGACTCATTGTTTACTTACTGGCCAAATGTGTTAGCATGGCTTGTTTTAAAAGGCTCAGTGAGAAGAAACAAAACAACAGCAGACTCACAGACTCCAAGAAGGGAGTGATATATGTGATATAAATGATGTACATGATGTGTGTTTAACTTCTTTAACATTAAATCATGCTTTAGGTTATATTTCTATATTCAGCTATAAATCTTGTTTCAGATGATGTTAGCTAGGATTTTTTTCCCCAAAAGTACATCTTTTGTTTTTAAAAAGATTTCAAAATTCTGTATACTCTTAGCTATTTAGTACTATGAAATTTAACATGAATATTAGGCCATTTTAATACAATAAACCCTTTTCTCTTGAATAATTATAAGTACTGAAAAAGTGCAAACCTTCAGTATATTAGCTAGCTATTCCATGTTTCAAAGTGACCATGATCAGAAATATATGAATTTTTGGGATGAATATATTAGGTAAAGATTTACTATAATGTTTTTTAAAAATAAAGCTCCTCTAATGCCTTAAAATATAATTCAATATACAAGTACTTAATTTGTAGCATTATGTGTAATGTAATTTATAAATGCTCCATTTATAAACTTTTTGGAACTCATGTCTTTTCAAGTGACTTTTCTCTGTTTTATATCAGAGTATGTGAGGATCTGCTACAGTGGTTATTGAAAAAGTTAAGTGTTACATATTTTGTTTATATTTAGAAATTACCAAAAGTACTTCTGTTTTAAAAGTTAAGAGGAGACACTTCCGATCACACCTGTGTTTCAAACACCAGAAATTAAAATGAGCTTTCTTGGTACTAGAGAACAATAGAGCTAAGTTCTAGGTAAGAAGTTGAGACAAAAGGCAATAATGTCATCCTAAATTCAGTTGTCTTGGGATAATAAAAATCAGCACAGTTTATCAGCTAAGGAATAGATAAAAAGTACAACCCCTGGTTTATAATGTTCTACAGTTTGAAAAACTTGATAAACAAATCTTGATTTGGTATGAACAGAGGAGTACACTTCATGCTTCATAAAACATCTTGGTAAGAGTATCTTTACGTCTTTACGTTAAATAACAGGAGAATAATACAAAGAAAGCTGTCACTTTTGTTAGAAATTGTGGAGGGGTCCCATTTAATTTTACATGGGACCTTCTGCTTAGTTAATAATTAAACAGCTTTCTTTACTTACTGCTGAGTTTATCTTTTAAACGATCAAGTAAGGCTTTGTGAATAGGCATCAAAATAAAATAATTGTTGGCCAAAATGATTTGCTTAATACTTTCTCACTAAAGCTGATTTCTTTTTGGAAAGAAGCCATATTTCTAATACAGAAATTTTGTTTCTGCCCAGTGGAATTTGAGCAGGAGTACTTGCTTCTTGTGGTTGAGAAATGCAACTTTTAAACTAAGCATGAATCTTTATGATAGGTGAATAAATTATGGTAATTAAATCCTTAAAACTAGATATGTGAAGTATAATTCCAGGGATCTGACAAAAAGATCAAGTTGAAAGGAGATAATACCAGTGTTTTTGGCTTGTTGCTTATAATCTAGAAATAAAACCAGCACAATATAGCTATCTCCAGTGACCTACAGGTAGGTAATAAGGACTTGATATTTAGGTATCATATTTATAAGATAGTCCCTTGAAGTTTTTAATTTGTAATCATGAAAAATTTCAAACATATACACATGTAGAGGGAATACTAGAACAGAACACATGTAGCTGTTATGCACAGTTGTTAATCCCTGGACAGTCTTGTTTCATTTCTCAGACATAATACACAATTAATGTAGTTTATGCAAATTCTAATTTAGCTCAAAGTCCCCAGGTTATCTACAAATAAATTGCTTTTGTTAAGTAGGCTGTGCCTAACGTGATTTATTATTAATGTTATTTAAAAAATGTATTTTGTTTTGCTGCATGATCTGAAAAAAATCCAAACTAAAGAAATAGTCTTTACCAAAATGGCTTACATGAAAGGATTCAGTGATGAATAAAAGCATCAGAGTCTTTGGGTGGATGAACTAAAAATTTTCTGTTGTATTAGTCAGATAACAAGGAGTTTTGATTGTTTTGACTTTAATAGATTATTCCTTCATACTATATTGGCACCTAAATATAGTTAGCATTCTTCATTAAAATTTTGTGAATTATAAGTGATGTTTTACCATTTTGAGTATTTTTTTTATATAAGAGTTGAAAGTTATTAGGGTTCTTTTTATTCAGTCAACAAATATTTATTGAACCCCTATTGGGGGGTAATATATGACTTATGCAGAAATGTTCCAAAGGGCTTTGCTATGTAGAAGTACTTGTCCTCAAACTGCTGTCATCTAACTCCCTAATGTCACAGCGTCCATTCTGATTCAGCTTCTCAGTTAAGGGCATATTCCTTCAGATAAGAAACAGTTTTTTGTTATTATAAATGGCAATTTATCAAATCCCTCAGATATGTGGGAGAGAAGAAGTTGAGAGCCAGCAATTTAAATAATAAACATACTTCAATGTAGAATATTGATATTCCAACAATCAATGTGGAATAGAAATAAAAGTTCATTCAGAGGTGGGGGAAATGTCCATTTAAGCTTAAACCCTAATTCTAAAAGATCTAGCGTAACTGTGGTAAGTCCATGAGAGTTTTATATAGCTAGCAATTAAGAAGTATACTTTTTAATAAGATATTTTATAAACTCTTTTACTTAAAGGATACTGTAACATTTGAGAAATATTATGAGCATATACTAAATCACAAATATTTCTTGGAGGGTCCTACACTTTGTACAAGTTCGAAAGGGAAAAATTTTAAACTAAGAATGTTTAATTGTGGTAAAATACATATAACATAAAATCTACCATCTTACCCATCTTTAAATATATAAACTAAGAATATTATATACATTTCATGTGGTTAGGACTCAATCAGACAAGTCAGTAGAAAGTTGTATTTTTATCCTTATATACCACCCAGAGTAAAGCCACCATGAAATTGTTTACCTTTGTTTTTCAGGTCATTGTTTCTTTTTATGTGGAGCGTGGAGGAAATGCTATGTCCTTCATGGGAAAAGGCGTCACAAAGAGCACAATTCTTTGCTTGCTTCACTTATCTCATGAGATGACGGCCCAGGCCCCGAGCTCGGTGAGACCCTTAAAAGCTGCTTGTCTGACAGTTGCTGGAAGAGGAATGTGCTGTGGCTAACACGTTTCAAGCCTGCGTGAAAATGTGTTTTTTGACTTTTCTTGGGAGACAAAAACAATTTTTGACTAACATGTTTCTTAGAAGTATGTATTACACATATCAGAATTTTATTTGAAATTTATGTGAATTAAAATCTGCCTGCACTAGAGAATTACATTTTGCCCAGATTATAGGGCAAATAGCTGTTGTGAAGAAAAATTGTTATATATAACTTTTTAAGGAGAACCTGAGATTTTTGTTTGCCCTGTTTCGGCTAAATAATGAATTAAAACCGAGTCTTAAGTACAATTTAACTTTGTTTTGATTTTTTTTTAAATTCAGAGTTATATTATACTCTCCTTATTTAATTATTATAAACTTACCCAATGTCCTAATGTGTCTCCATTCCCTTACTTTTTTCATTGTAGGAGTGGGTTTCACTTTGGTTCTTGCCTTTGGGTAGCCACAGTGAAGAACATGCTCCCACTCAACAAGGACTGACTTGGTTGATTCCGTTATGGGTCGATCGAGACCCAGAGGTCAGTGTGAAGGAAAATTGAGTCTGTGATGTATAGATTAGAAAACAGATGGAACAAAATATATATGCATATATGTATTCATATTTTCCAAAATGAGATTATTTTAGTGACATACCTTAAGCTATGTAACCCTCTGTCTTAGTGTGGGCTACCATAACAAGGTAATATACACTGGGTGACTTGAACAATAGAAATTTATTTTCTCACAGTTCTGGAGGCTGGAAATCTGATATCAGCATGTCAGCATCCAGACTGCTTTCAGACAGCCTCCTTCTCACTGTGTGCTGATGTGACCTTTCCTTCCTCTTGTTAAGACCACCAATCTTATCTGATTAAGGCCCCATCCTTAGGACCGCATTTAACATTAATTACCTCTTAAAGTCCTATCCTTGAATACAGACACTTTGGGGTTTAGGGCTTCAACACAGGCCTTCTGGGTGACACAATTCATGACACTCCTTTAGTTAAACTCTTAAAACAAGAGTAGGATCTATTACTTTTAGGAAGAACAGTGAAAAATTATTGGAGAAGCTCAGCCATTTTCAAACAGTTTAGGATAACAGCTGAGTGACATTTGAGTGTCACTTAATATAATAGTACCATTATAGTGCAAAATTTTACATTATTAGTGAATTTTCTAGTTTAACCATTTGTCCACTATTTTTTTAACCACTTACTGATGTATGATTGACATACAAAAAGCTGTACATGTTTTAATATATACAACTTCATGAGTTTGGATGTAAGTGTACATAGACCCCTGAAAACATTACCATAGTCAATGCCATAAACATATCCTTCACCTACAAAAGTTTTCTCCTGTCCTCTTTACTACTTATTTGTTTGTGATTAGAACACTTCTCATAAGATCTACCCTTTTAGCATATTTTAAGTATATAATACAGTACTATTAACTATTGGCACTATCCATTAATTGCAAGCAAGAAATTATATATCCTCTTTATACTGAAAGCTTTGATTTGTAGAAACATTATTTGATCTGAATTTAGAGGTTATGTTCTTTAGACACATTGAACTTGGACTTGTTGCTTCATCATGTTACGACAACATTTTTTATTGTTAATCTGTAGTTATCAGTGGCACTCTTAATTTGTAACCAGAATTTAGAAATTCACCCAAATGTGTGGCTGGAGCAGCAATGGTACAGTGGCAAACATACACTGCACCAATCTTATCTGAAACATTTTTCTTTTAAAATAATTCTGGGGCAAATACTACATGCCTTATAAAAAGATATAATTTAGTTACTTCTCTTTGAAAAGTAGTTTCAAAACAAATTAGAACTATTTATTTGGAAGAAACACTAAAAAAAGTTAAGGAAGGTAGACCAAAATACTAGGTAACCTTTTCACAAATGAAGAACAAACAGGAATCATGTTCATAAAAGATACGTAAGAAACACCCTGTGCTTTCCCTAGAAAATGACTTGTGAACTATAATTTTTACTATTTACACCAGGTTTTGACTTTTTGGCTTTTATTTAACTTTCATTTTCCATATTAATTGCTTTTTTGAGTTGTGGAATAGGTTTTTACCATTCATCAACTTACAGGACACTGTTTTCTGTAAGGGCTTTTATGATTTAGTATTATTTAAGATAGTGTTATAACAGTATATTTTATGTATCAGAAAATGTATTTTTTGTATTTCAGAAGAATTCATGTTAGGAAATTAGATTCTTTGATTTGACAACTTTTCTGTAATTTGAACAGGTGAGGTTCACGTCTTTGGGATTGGGATCAGCACTGACCACCACTGACATGGGCTGCGTGGCCTTGGCAAACAGCTGTCAGAACATCTCTGGTGGGCTCTGGGGGACTGTGCTCAGCCTCCTCCTGGACGGCTCAGAGTGCTGTATGGTGCGCCGCGAGGTGAGCCGGCTGTCTAGCTTCCCCTCCCTCCGCTCAGAATCTGTGTGGTGGTTCCTGTAAACGCTACGCGACCTCCTGCTCCGCGTGGCGGACCGACTACTCATCACTTTCTCCTCTGCCTGCAGGAAACCCAAGTGAAGTGGTAGAGAACAAGAAAGGAGATAATTTGCAGTGAAAATTGGAGCATTTATGGGTCTCTAATGTTTATAGAGCTTTAGAGGCTGTCAAATACTTTGTAGTATTTATCATACAACATACAAGAGGAAAAGTAAATCCTGTTTTAATTCTGTCCAAATAGTTTGTGGTTTCCTTCACTGCTGCTTTTATCGAAGTGGTGATCGGGGCACATATTTTTAAAACAGTAATCTAATCATGATTGGAGCCTTATAAAGGAAACAGCGGCTGCTGGGCGCACCATTAAGCAGGTTCCCAGTTCCAAAATCCAAAGCTGTAGCTTTCTTGTGACTTGTCTTTTAATAGTAGTGCTTGAACTTATAGCTTCCTTTTGATTTACCAACTTTAAAGATTATTGACTTCCAGTAAAGACAGTTGAAAATTCCACTCTTCTCATCTCCTCTGTTACCCCTTTTCTCCCATGATGTTACAGTATTTGAGCAAACATAATCAGTGTTTATTAGTATGATTAATTTGACCATCTTCAGGACCTTGGAGGTTAAATTGGACATTTGTAGTTTGTATTTCAAATTAGCATTTTTTATTGAGAGGAATTTGTATGAGTGAGGGAGAAAGGTTGAGTGGGGACATGTGTGTGTGTGTGCATTTGAGAGTATGTGTGTAATCTGTGAGGAGATGATAGGAACATGAAAGTGTATTTCTTGAATGCTAACAGAACAGTTTACATCTTACAGGTCATTTTCTTGAAATAAGAAATTCTGAAATAGGAAAAAAATTTTTTCCTGATGAAATAATTTCATCCACTGTTAAGTCATCAGCTAGCAAGAAATACAGTTTGGCAGTTCTCATGATGACCTCTGAGCACTGACCAGCGATGTGTTTTTTTGTTGGATTCCTGTACATTGGTTATTCCAGAGGTGACAGCAAGATGGCAGTGTTGATTGTTTTTTTTTTTTTAATTTCAGGCTGCATTTATTCTTCAGAATCTCCTTGTAATTCCAATGCCTTCAGTAATTGTTAAGGATTATACATGGCAGGTGGGTGACTTTAAACAATTATCAAGCCAGTAGACATTTGAGATTGATGATAAAGTTTCAGCATATATATATATTTTATTATACAAGGCAACAAGATCTCTTAAAAGAGAATGTGGAAATTTTCTTACACTTGATCAGTTTTACAAATTCATTTTCATAGTGTTAGTAGTAGATTTAGAAAGAACAATAATAGTAGCATGGTGTTTACTATGTGCTAGGGTTTCTTGTAGGAGGTTAATGAAGAGGAACTTGGGTAACTGAGTCGTAAGCCATTATTATCCTCAGTTTGTAGATTACAGAGGGTTTTTGAATAGTTTGTCCTCAATCACACCTTTGCTTACAGTCCAGGCAGTCTATTCTATCCACTCACTGTACTGCCTAATCTATGATAAACAAATCTATAGGTGAATATACATTGATGTTAACATCCTTTTTCTTTTTCTGGGTTGAGACTGTGTAAATACTTATTTCTTGTCAATATTCTTTCACTAGTTTCAACTTTCATTTGTGGTTTTGTCTGAAGCAGTTATTACAGAATGGTTGTCAAATGATTTTCTAATTCCATCTACATTTATTACTATTATTCCATCTACATTATTGCAACTTACTCTAAGGAATTGCTTTCCTGGTGACTTACTTGTTTAACTATGTATTTATACCAGTATAGACTCAAGGGTTATGTTTATTTCATGGGTTATAATCTGTTTCTATCATTATTAATTTAGATACTGAAATCATTCTGGATTTGGCTAGGAGGAGCCCGCTTTTTTCATCTCTTGTGTCTTTTAGCGTGTTTTCCTCAATCTCTGAGCACTTCCGTACTTTCTGGTATAGTAAGATGTTCCAGAATTTCTCCGTTCCTGCCTAGAATTAGACATTTGCTCACAGAGCCCTTTTTAATGGAGATGGTATTTAGAAATGAGTTCTGGGTTCAAGATATGCTCATGGTTGCCGAGAGGGGTGTCATTTTTCATGTACTCTCAGTAGATATGGGTAGAAGCAGCATATGAATCTGTGTGTGTTTTAGATAGGTGGTTGACTTATTTATATTTATAGCATATATCATTTTCATATTTAATGTTTTAATTTTCATACCTATTTTCATCTTCTAATGTGTTCATCATGAATCATCATGAATATTGATTTCACAAGGCAGTAAGTATTTGGTGTCAGAGAAGCAATATCATTTTAACTATATTTATAATTTATCCATAGTTAAGGATTTCTGATGTAATTAAGGTCATTTTTTCCAATTTCTGGATTGCCTTATAGCATTAAAAAACTCTGTTATATATCAAAATAATTTCTAATAATCTCTATTTTTCTTAAATGTAATTTTTATTTTCCTTCTAGTTCCCTTTGAATCATACCTGATGTGTTCATTAGCACTGTGACACTAGGAATAAACTATTAAAATTAGCATTTTAGCCTATTGAATCCTTGATAATTATATTTTCCAATGAATCAGAGTGTTCTATGACATAATCTCCTCTTTTCTTTGTAAATTTATTTGTAATCACGGCACCTTGACAAAGAGTTTTCTTTCTTTGCATACTGTCCTCAGCACTCCCTAGCAATTTTGCAGGTGATCTGGCAGCCCCAGCACTCACCTGAGGGCAAGGCTAGTAAGGATATAGACATCTCGAGGCAGAGCAATGAAACCACGCTGACTCCCCCACTGCGCCAAACATAGCCCCGTCACTGACCCACAGATCTGCGGAGCGGAGCCTGGTGTATGCATGAAAGGCCTCATTGTTCTGGCCCCTGTACCATTAGTCAGCTGTGGAAAGCCTGAGTCACACCATCTTTTGTGCACATGCTGGTCTTGGCTTCTCTGCCGTGAGTAAAGAAGGCTCTGTTGATGACAGTGCCATTGCCACTGGACGCTTTGTCATGTGGAGAATGGGCATTCAGGCTTAATGCTTAGTTAAAATAAATCAAATAAAAACGAAATAATGGTTGTGCAATATGTGCACATCCCAAATCATTTGGTTTTCTTTGAGAAGTTAAAAATATTTTGAGTGAATGGTTTGAATTTTTAGAAGTTAATCTTTTCAAATAATAAATACATGTGGTTAAAAAAACTAATAAAGCTTATAATGAAATTCAGTGCCCCTCTCTACTCTCAGAGACAGCTTTACCTCCTACTGATTGTAATTCTTCAGGCAGTTACCTTCGTATCTAAATAGTTGGTAATAATTTCTTTGTTCCGTTACTGGGTCAGTACATAGGATTTAGTCACCTGAACAGTCTCCTGCCGGTTTCATTCTGTTACTGTCCTCAGTTTCTCCACTGCTCGCCTCTGCTGTTTCCGCACTCACCACCTCTGGATCCTATCTCTTGGTGCTCACTTAGAAGGTACGACGTGCCCAAGATGTTCCTGTCCTTTCATCGGTGTCTCCTCCTCAAGCTCATCTTTGCTGGTGTTATCTTTACTTTGTTAAGGCTGATCATGTTTATATTCTCTTCTGCGGCCTCGATTTATCTGTAAGTTTATTCTTAAAATTGATAACCAGTAATTCACTCAGAGCCACTTTACTGGGCTGTGGTTACACTTCTTACTTCTGCTTCCAGGGCCATAACTTCTCTGGCACTCAGAGGAAAATCTTCTGGTATTTGTGTATATGTGTAGGTATACGTGTGTGTGTGTGTGTGTACGTACATGTGTGTAATTTAAAACATATTTTTTAATTTAAATTTTTAAAAAATAATTTATTTTCCCCATTGAGCTTCTATTTATTTTTTTCTTGCATGTGAGTACATATTATATCTCAGGTTTTTCTGAGTCCTTAGTCATCCTTTCTCTTTAGTTAGGATCTCCTTTCATTGTTCGCAATAATCCTCAAAATAACTATACTCCTCCCGAAACACAAAACTTCATGAGTTATTGCATATTTGAAAATGTCCTTAAATTGCACTAGATGATGTGAATAGCTAGCAGATACTAGGTTCAAATCGTTCCTCATAAGAATTTTGCTCCACTGTTTTCTAACATCATGTGCTATTGATGAGGATACCTATCTGGTCCTTTTCTTTTACCATCTTCTCTTTATCTGTGATATTTTAGAATTTATGCCTGTGTGTCTTTTTTCATTTCTCTTGCTTGACACTCATCAAACTCCTTAATTTGAAGATGTAGATGTTTTGTTTCTTTTGATTCTGACATGTTTTTTCCACATTTATTTTAAAAATGACTTTTCTTTGTTCTGTTTTCTATCTTCCTACAAATCATGTTGTACCGTAATAAACTTCTTAAATTGATTTTTTTGACTCTTAAATTGATTTTTTTTATATTTCTATCTTCTAGTCTTTGTTTTCTGAGATACCACTTCTTTTGTTCAAATCAGAATTAGTTCTACTTCTTTCATCTTGGTAAGCTGAATAATTTTCACTGTGATATTATAGGCAAAGAAAAAAAAACAGTTTCTAAAACCCTATCAGGTAGATTGAATTTTATATTTATGTATTTTATCATGACTTCTTTTGTTATCTTTATTTTCTAAATTTTTTTCTTTTTATTATTAGAACTAGGGAAAAAACGAACTTTTAAAATACAGATCTTCCTTGACTTATGGTGGGTTACGTCCCAGTAAACTCATCATAAATGGAGAATATTATAAGTTGAATATGCGTTTAATACACATAACCTACCAAACATCATGGCTTAGCTTAGCATATATCAAATGTGTTCAGAATACTTATATTAGCCTACAGTTGGGCACAATATCTAACACAAAGCCTGTTTTATAATAAAGTGTTGTATGTCTCATGTAATTTATTGAATACTGTAGTGAAAGTGGAAAATAGAAAGGTGGTGTGGGTGCAGAATGGTGGCAAGTGGCATGGTCGTTGACCTTTGTGACCGCGAGGCTTCCTGCAGGCCAAGGCTTGCTGGCATGACCTGCGTGGTGCCAGCCTGGGAGGAGGTCCAAGCTCAGGATTTGAAGTATGGCTTCTGTTGAATGTGTACTGCATTTGCACCATCATGACGCTGGAAAGTCCTAAGGGGAAAAACTGTAAGTCAGGGACCATCTGTATAGTAATTTAAGGATAAATATGATCATGTTAGTGACTCTTTATAGTTATGATAATTATACATTATTATAAAATAACTACTACAGTTCTGTATCACATTTATATGTATAATTTCTCACTTACTTGGAAAATAATTATAACTAAAGAAAAAATGGATTCTAGAAGATAATGGGTTTGTAAAACCTTTCCTTCTAGCAGATGGTGTAACCATGAGCCTCAGCAGGCCTTTGCAGAATACACATTTCAGAGTTCTTGAAGAGCTTGTTTTGAGATTTGTACAGTTTACATTCCTTCACCTGTTTTTGTTAAACCTTTGTGAATTTTGGGCTGTGGCTATAAGTCATCCAGGCAACAATTATATAGGCATGATTTTGCAAAAGTAAAGATTCTGAATAATTTCATGTAATCTGTGTAAGAAAATATTTAAAAATTGTTCTGGGCATCATTATGAAATATATCTTGAAAAACAGTGTTTGCACTACTTTGTTTAATGATTTTATGTTATTGATGTTTGTTAGGGAGTTGGAGTTGAGCTAGTAAACTTAGCTGAATTATTTATGACTCCCATCTTGGTTGTTAACTCCTCCCCTGAATTATTAAAATGAGGGCTTTAGTTTGTGATTTAAGCAACTATTGCGAATCTCTTGTGTATATATTATGTTTCATACATTTAAATGTTTTAAGTTGCTTAAAAGAAAGAACATTTGAAGTTGTGAATGTTAGGATTGGCTCTGTGGTTTTGGATAAGTACTTCATCCTAGAAAGCTAAGGTAGTGCATGAAAGGACCACATTACCTCAGGTGTACCACGGTTGGTTAATAAAAACAGGAGCCACGTGACCCTGTTCCCTTTGTACTCTTATCAGTTTTTCCTGCTCCTTCTAGACCTCAAAATTTAAAGGTTCACAATGACCGTCATATACTAGCTTCTCATTAAATAGTCTCATTTCTTTTTAAATATGTAAATAGCTCTATTAATGAATAAGTTCACAGTGTTAGCTTCATAATGATAAAAGGTATCTAATATTGAACTAAAGTTTAATTATAATGATAATATCCTTAAAAAGAAGGCTTAATGGAAATAATCTCCCTAGTGTAGTTATACTTTTAATTTGTGAATTACTTTATCTTCTTGGATAGTAAGTTTTAACATCCATTGTTTTTTTTGGTGATGAAGAAGTGTGAGAGAAGGGACATAAATACAAATCTCAAGGTTAACGATAAACTTTGTGTTTTGACCATACTTTCCTTTTAGCACTTAGATTTCTACTTTCTGTTTTTTATTTTTCTCTCTTATGGTCTGTTAAAAAAAACTCTTTATTGTCATTTTCCAAAAAGAGAAATATTTATAAGTCAATCCTAAGGTTATTTGCAAACCTTAAACCAGTCCTGATCGCTTGACCGTGTGTTCCAGGAAGAGCGGTAAGTGGCAGTGAGAAAAGTTTTTCGAAGCAGAATGTGGAGATTAAATTTGTGCAATGGCAGATTGTTCTCCGCGTCCAGGTGGAGTGCGTCCCCACGTGTGGGCCTGCGAGTGCCTAGGTTTCCCCTTGGCGGGGTGCCTTCGGTGGGAAGTAAAGAGGCAAACAGATTTTACCAAGGGTGTCGATGAGCCTTTCCATTTTATCTGGAATATTGGAAAATATAGAAAGTATGGAACGAAATTATTAGACTATATTGTTTTAGGTATTTTCATACTTACCATTTTATTGTTCTGTACGGGTTGAAAAATACTGCTTTTATTGTATTTGTGGCTCGAGTATATCATTACTTAGTTAAAGCTATACCATTTCATAGAAACATTTTAGACTAAATGTGTCTCAAGAGACAGAAGAGATGAGCCTCGTGCCTTGAGAGCGTGTTTCGGCAGCCGAGATCTAGAGCGTTGTGAGGTACTCATTTGATCCATTGAGGGCCACGTGGGGAGGCAGTGAGGCTTGTTGAAGAAACTTTGTGGTAAGTGGGTGTCTCTTTCTCTCTCCCTCTTCTGCTTCAGGGCCCCTGTGTCCACGATGAGGACTCCGGCTTATCGCTTGTGGGAAAACCTGCCCTTCAGGCTCTTTTGTATCACTGCCATTTTTATGAGCAATTGAATCAGATGGTAAAATCTTGTTACTTGGGACGGTATATGTTTGATTTGAATTGTCAATCTGCTCTTGATGGAACTTCAGAGGGTAGTGATTTAAATGGTAAGAACTTTATAGTTTTATTTTTACAAAATGTAACTTTTTAAAAACGGGGTAAAAACCTGTGTGTTTGATACAAAGTATTTGAAAAATACTGAAAAGTACACAGGAAAAAATGTTCATCTGTACCCCCACTACCCAAAGATTGCCTTTGTTACACTAAGGGGAGTGTTTTCTTCCAATTTTCTTCTCTGTGGAGCTTTTGTTTGTTATACATAATTTTGTTCATATCGTATGTACATTTTTGTATTCCCTCCTTTCCCTAAACATTGCCTAAGCATTTTTCTATGTTATGAATTCTTCATGGAAACCAATTTTGACATCTTATTAATGATTTATAAGTTATTTCATACCCTTCAGTAAAGTTTTATTGTTTTTTTTTTCTCTATTAATGTCTTTAACTTTTTGGAAGGTTCTTCCTATGCAATTAGGAATGAGATTTCTTGCTACTGATTTTCTGATTCTTTGTTGCTAATGTATCAAAAAGCCATTTGATTTTGATATGTTACTCATTAATCAAGATAACTTGCTGAAACCTTTTTATTTCTATTTGTAGATTCTTTTGGATTTCATGAGTGTAAGATCTTAGTATATATAAATAATTGCATCTAATAATAATTTACTGACAATAAGTTGTATTTTAAAATTAATTTTAAAGTAATTTATAAAAATCTTGATGTAATTTCACACTTACAGAAAGGGTGCAAGAATAGTACAAACCATCCCTAAATGTTGGCATTTGACTATATTTGTCTATGTGTATGTGTGTATAAATAAAGTTTATTTATTTATAAGCATATATACAGAGTTGACCCTTGAACAGCGCAGGGGTTAGTGGCACTAGCCCTCCCTCGCACAGTTAAAAATCTGTGTATAACTTTTGGCTTCTCAGAAACTTAACTATTAATAGCCTACTGTTGACTGAAAACTTTACTGATAACATAAACAGTTGATTGACACATAGTTAATATGCTATATGTATTACATACTATACTCTTACACTAAAGTAAGGTAGAGAAAAAGTTAAGAAAATCATAAGAAGGAATATACACTTACAGTACTGTACAGTATTTATTATAAAATTTGTAAAGAAGTGGACCTGCACAATTCAAACTCATGCTGTTCAAGGATCAACTGTGTATTTTTTTTCCAAGCTATTTAAGAGTAAATTGCAGACCTAAGTTCCTTTACCTCCAAATACTTAAGTGTGAGTTTCTGATTCACTTTTCTTCTCACTTACTGGAGGAATTAAGAGGAAAATGACATTTGATGAAGATTTTGAATATTCTAAATAAATGTCCCTATTAGGAAAGTGACCCAATTAATTGTGTGGATTTCTCTGGGTCAGTGTTACTCAAAGTATGGCGCTTGATTCAACAGCATTGAGATCTTTTGTAAGCTTGTTAGAAATGAATATTTATGGTTCCCATCCTGATTTGGGGGAATGGAATCTATGGGATCCAGGAAACTGCTTTAACCAGCTCTTTAAGTTTTTTTTGCACATTAAAGTTTGGAGGCTGATCCTCTTGATAAATTGTGTTAGAGTAAGCTAAAAGCAAAGTCCACTAATTGTCATTAAAATTTTTTTTAAAGAAGCCTTAGAAATAAATTAAGAGTAATAAAAATTAAGCCTCTTTCTTGAGGTGCTTACTGGTTTCATGTAATTAGTATTCTTTCTGTTAATTGTACCTAGGGGGACTGTTTATGTTGACAGTTTTCTGTTGTTACAGGTTTAGATGATTCATTCAAGTTTTGGAGGGCTCCATCTAGGATGTCCAGTCAAGATCCAAGTTCTCTCTCTACCTTGGAGACAATGGTACTTCCAAAGAATGCATAATTCGATGCTTCACTTTGAATGTATGAAAAAATTCGCATTTACATAGTGGAGAGATAATGTGCACAAAGTATAAGGTTATGATTGTAACAGCTGTGATTTACTTGAGGCGCTGTCTGTGAACAACTAGGGTCTGCCCCGCTCATGTAGCTACTCTGAATATCCTTTTAGATGAGTTCACAACTTCTTTCATACCTTTTTTTGATAGAACCAGAAGTACGAAAGTTTAAAAAGGTTTATTATTAGTAGAAGAAGAGTATGGTTCCTGTATAAATAATAATGCCTGTTTAACCTACAGTTTCGCTTAAGGGCAAAGCAATTTGGAGAAAGTTGACCTATTCAAATGATTCCAGTGTGGTACTCATGATTTTAAATGCATTTCTAAAAACTTGCATGGGCTAGAAGCTTGTCTTGATTATCTGAAATAACCTGAAATTTATGTATGCCTGTGTGGCTTTCCTTTCTCTTTTCATTCATAAGTTGCTTTGCTCTAAAAAGCTTGAGACACTCAGTATATCTAAATAATGACTGATACTAGGTTTCAGTTGTTTTACAAGCATACAAAATCATTTGTTCTTAACTATTTACCACACTGAATTGTAGTGTTTTTGGCAGTGTTTCTGTGTAGAACCTATTAGGAAAGCAAAGATTTGGCATCCCTTCCTCCAAGGGCAAAAGTAATATGAGAATAATAAATAATTACACAGGCATTAGTAAGATTCACCCCCAGCAGTTTCTCTGATACTTTACACTGATACTTTTTGCTATAGTTTTCTCATTTTCATCTAAATCCAGAAGAATTGTGTTTAGTGTAAGTTGAACCTTGATTTGGAAAAGTAGAATGATTACTCCAGTTCCACTAGATGTCATGCTTTCCTTTCCGAGTTAGAAACAGAATGTATCTTCTTATCAACAAGAGAAAAACGATACGATTAAATGCAAAACGAAGTATTCATTGGTTACTTCACTCACAGAAGGGTAACATTAATATGTGCTTCAAAGCAATTCTTCTTAGTTTACACTGTTTGCTAAAAGGACTATGGCTTTTACTCACCAAATTGGAACTTTTATTCACAAAAGTCATCTATCACTGCAGTCCCACTAGTTGCCATGCTTTCTTTACCATGCCAGAGGTACTGTGTATCTTTGTTTCAAAAGGAGAAAAATCTGGAGAGTCCAGTCCTTATATCAGTATTACTGTAAACCTAGGCTATCAGTACCCAGAAGAACTAATAATTTCAAGTTTAAGAAAGTGTTGAAGTTACAGATTGAGGTATCAGTTGAGTGGATATTAACATTGTTAATAAGCATATCTGGTTGTCTGTATCACTATTTTGTGTATCTCCCAGATATGAGAACAGATACAATTGGCTTATTGGTTTATGGGCCTTAAGGGAAAGTGCTCTTGATTTGGGTCAGATCATCTAGTGCTCTTGTTCCTGGGTCATTAACCAACCATTCTGTGCTGTTAATGCCACATTGGAACTTTAATGGTGTTATTTAATAAATGACAGTTCAGTTGTTTGACAAGCTTTGGAAGGACTGGAGCTTGTATGTTTTGTAAATCTTCAGATAGGGAAAGGCATGTCATTGCCACCCTGGGGACATTGCCCTTTTAAATGATCATCTCTTCCGAGCTGGCTTCCATCCAACTCACTGGCCTTCTCCAGGGTAGGAGGGGGTCAAGCACTGGTTATTTTTCCTCCTAAAATCACATTTCCACTTCTTAAAAATATCCAAACTAAATAGTCATTTATGCCTAGCACATACCAATGTGCAGCAACATTTTATGACCAAAATTTGGTCTTTTCTGCTGCTCTTGAGCAGAAGTATGTCTATATTTTAAAAATCTGCTTTATAAGTTGTCAAAATAAAGGAAATATGGTTCCTTTCCTTTTGAGCTTTTATTTGTGAGATAGGTGATTCTTTCAAACTTTTTGGAGCAGCAATTTAAATAAAACTAAGTTTATTAAGTGCAGATATTTAGAGAAACTGGCAAAAACATTTTGAACTAGATTTTAGCAGTTTTATTAAGCAGGTAACTATAATTAAAATAAGTAAAATAGGCTTTAAAATTTTATATTTGTACTAAAATATATTAATCTTGGTAAAAAATTAGTTATTTTATGCAATAAACTCTGATGTGTGGAGAGTCGACTTCTTGGCCAGTCGAGCTCAGATGACGGCTCGCCCTTGTTTGCTGTCCCAGGTGAAATGCTGCAAATGGGTTAGATGTTCAACTCTGCGCCATTTGAGGGTAGTACCCTTTTACAAATGACAAAATGAAGACGTTTAATACTTAATTAAAGATCTGACCCAAGGTCACAAAACTAAGAGAGGTGGAATGGGGCAAGCCCCGGGTGTGCAGTAGGGCACAGGGACGCACGGTCAGGCGCTGGTGGCAAAGCTGTGCGCGTCAGTGAAGCGGCAGACAGGCCAGGATCTTGTATCATCTTCTGCCTGTTCCTTCAATGGTGTTTTCCAGAGCCTCCTTTTTTCTTTTTTAAATACTGTGTACAATCCATTTGAATCATGAATCTGTATGGTTGAAGTGACTTAGACTTCTTGATATTAATGATTACGAATTGTGAAGCATGCCAAAGCTTTCCCTGTTGCGCATACAGAGATAGAGAAAGGTGTCATTTATGAAAATGAACGCATGGAACCTAGAACCCCTTACCTTTCATACTTTGTATTTTGCCCTGTTTTTAAAATGTGAATAGATTTGTACCCTGTTTTTTCATTCCACAAATCCTCATTCTCTTCCTGTGATCTCTCTTAATTTTTTAAAAAATCAAGTGGTCTTTTTAGGCACCAATACTACTTTTGAAGGAAGAGGCTGGAAAGTCCTGAATTAACTTTCAAACAATTTTGAAGTATCCAGCAAATGCTTTCATTTCTGTAACGCAAAATACAAAGAAAGTAGCTTTTGAACATTGATGCATTTTGTTTATCTGACAGAAATTGTTTTTTTTTTGTAATCTCATCACCCAGAGATAACTCTGGTAAACATTTTGGAAATTGTTTTTTTACAATGCCAGTTCTACTTTGATATGGTAAATGACTTTTTCTATTATGTGGATCTAATATCATATAAAAGTTGGTACTTAATGCATTCTTATTTATGAGTAATTTATTTAGACTGAAATCTATCCAGGTTTACTTTTTAGATGACTTTGTGTACTTACGTTTTTCGCTGTAGCTTTCTATTACTTATTTCTTGTTACTGTTACTGCATGCATGAAGTGGTGATAGTTATTAAGGTCATAGGTTAAAAGGGGGATTTTAAAAACTATTAATTTAATCTACCATTTTATTCAAATTTACATTCTCTTTACTATCAGAAACTACAAATGAAAATAACCTTGGTTAACCTTGGTTTTTGCTCTCCTATCACATTAAATCTAAGTACCTACTTTAGTGTTAGTACAAACACAAAAAGATGATGTAAGTATTGTGAGCTGTGTAGTATCTGTGTTTGAGGCAGGGTGGATTCGTAAGTTGTAGTGACAGCTCGTGCTCTGTGCACGCACTGACATGGAGCTAATCCAGATATGGTGGGGAGTTCATGCTGTCCCAGAGGAAATAAATTAAGTGTAAGAAAAAGAGTGATCTGACCTCTTTCAGATGAGGTATTTTTCACATAGGAGGTACCAAAAAGGTCAGTATGGGCTAATTTTAGGTGTCCACACAGTCTGCTCATCTATAAGTGTGTAGGTGATATTGTGTTTGCCTTCCACAGATTTTGTGTCATGTTCAGTGTTTTAAAAAAGTGTTGTATTCTGTGGCACCATGTCAGCATGTTGCCTAATTTTTTAAAACAGTTCTTTTGCAGTATGGGGAGAGGTAGAGAAAAACTTTCAGTACTTCTGCTAATTTTTTCATAGGTACTCTTAAAATTTGTGTGGGCCATATGAAAGTTTAAGAAACCCTTTTATTATGAACTAATAAGTGCAAAATATCTCAAGGACACAATGTATTAGAGTTAAAATACTATGTTTTGGCCTTTCATCTTTGGGCAGTAAGAGGGAATAGGCCTTATTGTACCTTAAAATCCTTAGTGTACCTTAACATCCAAACTTTGCTCCTTTAGTTACTGATTTATATGAAGTCTAGCAGGTACTATAAGAAGAAATAGAAAATGCCATTCAAAAAACTGTTACAACTCTCAATATACGGAATGTTTTCCAGTTGCTAATTGTTGTAATTTTGTTATAAACCTTCTTGTTTAAGGATCTCTTGTGTATGCATTGCTTCTGTTTCATTCTCCATGTCATTGCAGCTTTAATGGGGGAAACGTTGTGAGTGAAATAATTTTCTTTGCTCCTCCCTAGGTGGCCCCTTCGTCGGGGAGTGCTGAGTTCCCAGTGCTCGGCCCCTCGGCTGCTCCACCCCCTGATGCTGCACATGGCCAGTTTATGGCTCAAGGTACCTTTTAGGAAGACACTCTATTTTCAAAACTAAAGACAAGCTGGTCCAGATAGATATTTTGAGAGTAAATGTGTAGATAAGAACAAAAATAAGTTATAGGACAAAATGTCTAGATAAGATCAAAATGAAATGGTATAGAACATGGTAGAATAAATTAGAATAAATGTATCAGACATTAAAAAAACAAATACTCTTACCTAGTAAATGGGAATTCAGCCATCAAATAAACAGTCTGATTGCTCTGTGCACGCACTGACATGGAGCTAATCCAGGTGTGGGAAGTTCATGCTATCCCAGAGAAAATAAATTCATAGTTCCTTGTTAGTTAAGCGTAGATACTTGGCGTTTGAAATGGGGAACTGATGGATATTAGTTACCTTTATTTTCCTCCTCCTTTTGAGGAAACACTTCAGTTTTCCACAGTAGTCGACTTAATAGTGAAGAGAGTCTGGCTGTTTTTCAAAGGGTATGCATCCGTTTTAAAGCACACAAATCATATTGAGTCTTTATTTAATTAGAAATGGTTGATGAGCAGCCTGGGATTTATTTTTTATTAATGGCAATATATAAATGTATTCTTTGTGTTAGGGACTGCTTCTAACTCTGTTATGCTTAAACTATATATTTTGGAGATTACAATTTAGTTTTTGTTTATTCTAGAGAGTATACAGGCCTTTATTCAGTAGCATTAAATTACTAACCTGTAAGGAATATACTACCTAAAAAGAAGGTAATTTTAAACAGTGAAGTATATTTTATATTTGCACACCTGCAGAAAAAAATGCTTTCTAAAACTTCAGAAATACTTGCTTAACTTCCACAACTTCCTAAATGATGTCCCATTTCTGTTTTAGTAACATGTTGCAATATACAAAAGTTTAGTTGTAGAAAGTACTCATTTGATCCTCTTACAAACAAAAGGAGCAAACGCAGATTGTTTGAATAGCTAAGGACCTGGAGTATGAAATGAAATTTGATAATGAATTTTATGAATATTTTTCTCTAAAATATGTTGCCTTACTACTTTTAACAGCTTTTTGAAATAATTCACATACCATGCAAGTCATATATTTAAAGTATAGAAATCATTAGTTTTAAAATACTCACAGTCATCTGACCATCACCATAATCAACTTTAGAACATTTTCATCATCCCAAGAAGAAACCTCGTACTCTGTAGCAGCCAATCCCCGTCTCCCCCCATCGTCCCCTGCCCTCTGCAACCACTTACCTATTTTCCCTCATTATAGATTTGCCTGTTTTGGACATTCCATATAAACAGAATAGTACAATATGTGTTCTTTTATGACTGGCTTCTTTGACTTAGTCTAATGTTTTCAAAGTTCATTCATGTTGTGTGTCAGTGTGTCATTTCTTTTTATTGCTAAATAATATTCCCCTGTACAGATAATACCGCATTTTGTTTACTCATTCATCAGTTGATGAACATTTGGGTCTTTCACTTGTTGGCTATTATGGATAATACTGCTGCGAACATTCGTGCATAGGTTTGTGCGTGGACATACGGTTGTGGGTTGTTGTCATTGTGTGACTCTTGATTTGAAGTTATTTTATTTTCAAGGATTGTACTTTGCTATATGCATGTACACTTGTGGTTGCCAGTCACCTCAGTGTGTGTATTGGACAAAAGGGCATTTTGTTGAACCTGCCAGTGATTCTTTGAACAGTGCTACAAAGCATTAAGTCTATATTGTCAATGAATCTTAAACTAGAGCAGTTTTTGTTGTTAGAAATCTTCATAAATTCTATCTCTTAAATAGCATTAAGATAAAATACAGTTTTTTTAGTGATAATGAGATATTAGTTCCCTGAGCTGGAATGTCTAGCAGGATTTCCCAGTGAGGCTGGTTGGTTCTTTTGTTTGTTGTTTTGTTAATTCTTGATTAACCAGGGAATTATTATGCCCCACAGTGATTTAGAGCAGGAAGACAAGAATTTTCTCTGGCATCTACATTAGGGCCACTTTAGACATACAACTTCTCATTTTTCATTTTAGTCTCTAACTTTTATAAGAGAAAAATTCTTTTATGTTATAAGGAAACCTTTAACAAGGTCTCTCATGATCTATAAGCCTACAATTGATGTACAAAGTTGAAAAGAATCATTAAAAAAGAAAACTGCATATTTGAGTACTCTAAGTATAAATAACTGGGATAGTTCTCCCCAGATAAAATATAAACATTTTATGGAATATATTAAATAAGTTTGGATATCCTAAAAGCCATGCCCTTCCCCTTTTACTGCTGTTCAGTTCTTCTATATACTTGCCCTGGAAATGCAGAAGACATGATACATGCTTTGTGAATATCAAATTTTTCCTGTAAAGCAATCTGAACTATTTCTGTGGAATTGTCTAAACTTAATTTTCCCAATTTTATTTGGCTTAAAATATCAAATTTTTTTTGACGATATATAGCCTCAAAGTACCTCCTGAAAGGAATAATTAATGACAAAGGGAAAATGATCACTTTACAGTGGGAAAAGCTAGTAGACACCACCTCAATCAAGTGGTCAATTTGACGTAGCTAGTGAGGGGACAATAGAAGTTGTGTTTCTCCCAATGCGACATACTTAAGATTGAATCATGAAGAAATAGCAAATGTCAGGCCTTCTACAAAGTACTGGCCTGTGTTCTTCACAAAATGTCAGAGTCCTGAAAGACAGTAAGGCTGAGGAATCCTTCCCGTTAGACATGACAGCTGAATGCGCGGTGTAATCCAAACAAGAGAGAACGTTTTCTCTGTGCTATAAAGGACATGGCTGGAACAGTATGCCAAATTTGGGAAAGGCCTGTGCAATAGATAATAGCACTGCTTCAGTGTTAATTTTCTCATTTTGATAATTATATTGTAATTATAAAAGACAAAGTCCCTCTTCAGGAATTTAATTTAGAGTTAAAGAGGCATATGTTTGCAACTTACTGACAGTTCATAAGAAGATAGGTAGGTAGGTAGGTAGATGAGATGTGGTAAAGCGTTAATACTTAGGCAGCTGGGTGAAGGTGTATGAGAATTCTTTATACTCCTGTACTTTCTGCATTTATTCAACATTAGGGTCATGAGGGATAGTCTTGAGGTAAATTAGCTTTCTTATTAACAATCTATTGCTGAGTCTTCTAGGAAAGGTCCATAGTCCCATATCTTTAATTCTAAAATTGAGAATCTCTGAAAACTGGGAGTTTTCTCAAAACTCACTTTGTAGTATAACTTGCCCTTACTGAATGCATTTGGCTGCAAAACCTGACCAGTCCTGGTTTGAGGTTGTATGTACTGTTTTACTCATCCTGGTTACTGTGATTGTGTGTATACTACATTATGGAAATATTTATTTCATCATAGGGTGTTTCCCAAGATCCCATTGGAGGTGTCAATTAATGTATAGTACATGTACATTGTTATTTTTCTAAAATTCAAGGACATTTTGAATTCTGAAACTTCAAGTCCCTACAGTTTCAGAAAAAAAAGATTATGGAACATCTCTCTGTTCCTCAGTTCTGAATGCTTGGGGCACAAAGCCCTTCTTGTCTTGGTTCTTAGACTGTCACCCAAGGCAGACCACACACACATCCATGTCTACGGATGTACGCATGCACACACATCCGTGTACATAGATGTGCAGACACATGCGCACACATACCACCCACGTACATGGATATGCAGACACACATGCACACACACATCCATGGATGTGTGCATACACACACATACACAGATGTACACACACATCTGTGTACATGGATACACATGTGTGCGCATGCACACACACACGCATGCAGCAGAGGAATTATTGGGAATCTAACTTCCTGGCTTCAGGGTTGAGATGAGTTGGGCACTAGGGGAATCCTTAACCATCTGTCATTGGCACTTGGAGGAACTTCTCTGATTATTAGGGTTTGTGAAGATTGTACATAACCACAAGGTAGACAAAAAGTGATAATTTTCATGCTTATTTTCAATGATAGGTCAGCATGAAGCTGCGTCACCACGGCTCCCTCACGACTCGCCCCTTTCTGCCCCTCCGCCCAGGCAGTGCGCTCGTGTCACTCCGTCCCTCCTTTCGGCAGCGTGCAGCCTCTTGGACAGCCTCTTGGCAGCTGCCCCAAGGGACACGGCGAATGCTTTTCGGCAGGCCCGTCTCGTGGAGCTTCTCTGTGGGTAAGAAGTGAATCCTCCCAGGGAGGCGCCGTAATAGAGATGAAGTCACACAAGCCATACTCATGACTTGGTGTAAGATTTCCTAGGTACTCGTCCATCTTTATCCTTTCTGAGGCTCATTGGGCTGCATGTTTTTGCTTTTGCCAGGATTGTTTTGATGGTTTTACGTTTCATATCTGTTAAAGAACTAGTATTGGTTTGTTATATTGACTTTAGGGCTCCCCCAAAATCCTGAGTTTTAAAATTCAGAGGTTCTAAACCTTATTTGTCCTTGTGCCACACTGTGAAGACATAGGATGCTGTCCGTGGTCATGTTAGATGGAAGTGGAGGAGTTTGGGGATTCTCTTCCCTAGTGGTAATTCCATCATAATGTCCATGGGTTGAAAAATCATTGTTGAGATTCATTTGGAATTATTTCGTTATTAGAAATGAAACTTTTGATAGAAAGTATTTTGATAAAATTTAGGGAAATCATGATTTTGTTCTTTCATGTATCTAATATTAATGAGCCTCTGACATAAATATCAGAGTTTCTTATTAGTTACATAATATAGTGAAAAAGGCCTTAGATACCGGATTCAGTCTGAGTTAAGGTCTTAATTATAATTCATTCACTCCCTAGTGCTGCAGCCTTAGGAAAGTTACTTTAACCTCTGGAGAATCATTAATAGTATTTGTTTCTAGGGGTTAGTGTGAGGATTAAAAGTGATGATGCCCAGGACTCTTCCCGGTAGTGTTACTCCTCTGGCCTTCTGGCTTCCAGTTTGTTCCAGCCGAGGGTGCCCATCTCCTGTTAACTGCGCATTTGTTTGCGTTTCTCTGCCTCTGCCCTTGGACATCACTGTCTGAAGCGGCTTCCTCCTCTTTGCCAGGTCACGGTGCTTTCTCTTTCTTCTTTGAGTTTCTAAGAAAAGTTTAAAAAAAAAGAAGTCTCCCACGTTTCACTCCCCTCAGTTGTAATTACTGCCTTACTGGTTATCACAAGCTGCGAGGTGTGAGTTTGTTCTCTGTACGTCGAGATGTCATCCTTTCTACTACAATGCCTGCCACGGTTGGGAAAGGAAACTGTTGGTTGGGTGACTTTCATTCTTAGGTGTTTCAGCCTCAGAATGATCAAAGCAGAGCTTTAGGATTATTCTTGCTTCTCAACAGCCAGCTAAGAGTCTGTTGTGAAATTGAGGCCACATATGTATTAAAGAATCTTTGATGGCAATGGCTTATGTTTCTATATCTGGTCTTTATTTCTGACTTAAAATTTTTCCTGTTTGTTTTGCAATATTTAGGTTTTTACTTTCTAATCAAAACTTATTTCCTAGCAATTATTTTTCCTATTTTAAATAGAAACCTAGCCACTGAGGTTTTTCTCTTCACTTTCCTTCTGAAAGAGCTTCCTTATATTTTATTCTGCTCTTAATGATGTTGCATTAGATATCTTTTCTTCAGAATTCTTTGCTTCCTGCATTTATCAGATAAGACCATTTCCTGTGTTCTGAAACATTGTAGGGCACCTTTTTTTCAACATTTATATCTTTATAAAAATGCATTCTCTTGAGTTCTATTTAGGGTTACATTCAAACTTCAAATTCTGATTTATTAATCTTTAATAAGAAGCATGTTGCTCATCAGAAGGGTTTTCTTTCCCTGCCCTTCACAGCGTTGCAGATGCTGCCCTCATAGAGGCCTGCGTCCAGGAGCTCAAGGCCCCACTGCCTTCATCGCCTCCGGTGGAACACGCTCAGGCTCACGTAAGCGTCTAATGACTCCCTCGCCACACGTCTATCTGTGGGTCTGTTTGCTTTAAGTGCCAGAAAAAAATTCTGCGAAGGACATACTAACCATAGGAGACAGATGAAAACTGTCAGGATATATATCATATATGAGGTTATTTGAGATGTGTTACTTAACATTTTGATCTGAGATGTCCTTGGATGGTAGAAGAGAGCAGTGAGGCTTGGCAATGTAGCTTCTACCCCTGATTGCATCGTTAACCAGCCACAAATGCTTCGTCAAGGGTCTGGAGATCTCCAACTACCACATTAAATGAAGGAGAGGTTGTATAGCCTGCCTTCCCTTCTGTGGTTTAGACAATTGTTCTCATTTGCACTTAAATTGAAGTTGTTAAAATACGTTCTGTGTGTCTTCAAAACCTGACCAAATAAGAATAAATTCATTTTTGTTCCTTCACAGATATTTACTATTTTTAAGTTCTAGCCGATAGCCAGAGTCTGTATGTAAAGTGTGCTTAGTAATTCTCTGTATGGTTCTCACCAAATCAAACCAAAAAGGGCTGCAAGATTTATTTGGGGTTCTAATTCAAGGTGGGCTAGACCAGTGTCTCTTGCTCAGAGGCTCTCCTTTGAGCCTTTAAATGGGCAGAGCCCCGATTACAGGGCTGAGGGCTGCCCACCATCCAGGGGACACTCATCCCAGGGTGGTGTTTTCATCTGTAAGTGTGCTTACTTGTGTAATGGCTCTCACCTCCATTTTTTGTCTATCCATCCAACAATTCTTTATTGAGGGACTGTTGTGTACCAGGATTTTCCCTAAGCAAAGATTCTTCCCCTGAAGCTGGGGGAGCAGATCATGAGCAGACTCACATATGCCTGATGATGGTAGACATCTAAGAAGGAAAACTAAAGCAGGGGACAGGATGTGATGTCAGAGCTGGGAGGGTAGGGCTTCTCCATTTAGGGTGCTCAGGGAGAGCCTTTCAGGTAGGGACATGTGCCGAAGCTCTTTCTGTGGGACGCAGCAGGGCCGCTGGGATTGGGGTATGCTCGGCCCTTCCAAGCAGCCTTAGGAGGCCGGGGTGGCTGCTGTGAAGCCTGTGAGGGGAGGTAAGTCAGAGGGCGTGCCGAGCTGCGTGCAGGCAGGGCCTTGCCTGTTCTCGTGTCCACTGTGTCCTGAGTGTCGAGCGCGTGCCTGTCCCATGGCAGGTACTCATTCAGTAGTTGTGGAGTGAATGAGGAGCAGCAAACATCTCGGGGGTGATCCTCCCAACAATCGCAGGAAGCACCATCAGCAGCCTCATCAGGAAATGACTGGGCATGTCCAGCGCTGCTGACATAGGCAGGGCAGAGCCAGGATGCCCGCCAGAACCCATGCTCTTCCCCACTGCCTTGTGTAGACTAAATGCTTCCTGGCTGTTTGTCCTTATGCGAGATTATTCATTCACTCTTGAAAAATTCTGGGGCATTTTGTTTCCAGATTGAGTTGTAGGTCCTGGTGATACATCTATGAACAAAGCACACACAATGCCAGGCCACATGATGTCTGTGTCCTACGTGCAGGGCACAGACAGTGAACAGTAACAAATGTTTTATCAGCTGACAGATGGCATGGAAGAAAAGAGAAGATGATGGGTAAAAGGGTACATCAGCAGGGAGAGAGGTGGCTGTTCTTTGGGAGGGTGGTCAGAGAAAGCCTCATGAAGGTGAGATTTGCGCAGATAGCTGAGGAGGTGAGGAGGCAGCCGAGGGCGGCTGCGCAGAGTGGGGTTACAGAAGACTGACGGTTCGGCCCTTCTCTCCCCCAGGGCTTCTCATTGGCTCTCACCGTCCCTGGCTCATCTGTTTATGGTGCACTTCATACACCTACAGTCAGGCTTGCTGTGACTTCAGTAGTGTAGACGGTGAAGAGACCAAAGGAGACTTCATAACAGTCAGGAAATGAAGCTTCACAAACTTACTTGCCTTTTATCCAACAGGACAGTAGAGCCACCTATACTTTTATGTAAAATAAGTTGGCAGATTAAATAAAGGGAGGATATATTTGTCAGGAAGAGGAGGACAGAAAAACTATTTTGAAATAGTCTGAGGCCATTTTCTTTAAAGGAACACAGCCCTCCACGAACGCAGCAGTCCCAGAGTAGAGTCGGGGGAAAAGAGTCGTGTAGAGGGGAGAGGAGCTTCGGAGCATCTCTGCATGAAGTGCATCTATATGGACTGTCTCATTGCCTGGGGAGGATGGATAAATGAGCCATCACAGCTTAGTCATTACATAGCCAGAGAACTATTTTTTTCTAAGTATTTTTGCCACTTAATACTTATAATATTAGAATCTAGCAATATTCTAGAGACGGCTTTATTGGAAGGTTGAATTTTTCTTTTATAATTAAGAATAACATTTTTATGCTGAAGAATAATTGAGGGCAACCAAACATATTTATATTTTATTTGTAGCAATGACTAGGCTATTCGGCTAGCTTTCCCCTTCCCTCCACAGTAATGCACTTTGAAAAGTATTTTTTAATTTTTCTTCCTTTAAAAAATTTTTAGGCTTTATGGTTTGGAATGTGCCCTCTTCAGCTTCTTCCAGAACATTGATACCACAGTTTAGCTACTTGAAAAGTATAGAGGCTTTATTCTCTAAATGAAATCTAAAATTTGGCTTTGAAAATATTGCTTTGTTTGGTATTATTATAGTTGACAGTGTTACTGTGGCTATTAATGACATGTTTTTTATCTGAATAAAATAATACTCTTACTCATTTCAGATCTTTAAAAATTTTGATGAATATCTTACTAAATTTTTTGTTAACTTATGTTACAAAGAAATGACTTCGAATGCATAGAAAAATAAAATGCATCATCACCGAGCTGGGCTTTTCATATGATGTTTTGTTTTACTCTCTCTCCCTTCTCAAAAAGGTGTCCTTTCTCCTAGAGTACCTGTCCTCTCTGTCCAGGCTTCTGCACTCATGTTTACTGGTAGATCCTGAGCTTGTAATTCAGGACAAGCCTCTGAAACCTCTTATCACAAATGTCATTGGAGTTCTCACCGTATGCACCAAAGATATATCAGGTAAGCTTTATTTTTTTTTAGTTTAGGATGAAAGTAAATAATATTGAGAAAAAAAAATCTGTGTGCCAGATAGTCGCTTTAAAGCTAAATTTTGTGTTGTTCTTTGCTACTGTTTTGGAAGGCTTTTATAATGTGTTTTATAGTTTGGGTGTTTTAAGTGGTTCCAGGAGACCACTTGAGTCAAGTGTGAGGTATAATAGGACCATCTCCTGGGCTGTCAGTTTAAATGAGGGCAAAGCTCTTTATCTAGTGTCAAAGGTACAGTGAGTTTTAGGGATTATTCTTATAAACTATGGCTAAGGCCAGATAACCTACTAGTAACTCATTTGCAGTAACAAGTATAAGCAAGTATAGCATGTAATATCAAACATTTCCTAAAGTCCTAAATTATTGAAAAATATACTCTGATGAAAAGTTGAATATAGTGCTTAGTAGTGGAGAAAATTAAACCAGTTAGGATCTTTATCAAAATTAAAATATGGTAATTGTCTTAAATAGTTTATAATGAAGTAATTGATCATTTGGTAATTCTCTTTTCCGATCCATTTTTTCTTATTTAGTACTTTGAATTTTATGGATTTGCTTGGTTTTAGGTCTGGTAAGTGACATGTTTTATGGTGCCAGCAAAACCAATCCTTAGTGTCTCATTGGTGTTAAGTTATCCCAATGCTAGAGGAGCAGTAATTCCTTACTTGGAAATTTTACAGTTGTGGTGATGTCAAAACTAAGCTAATTAGATTCTGTAGAAGGGTGCATTCTCTAGAAGGGTGCTATCACCCCCAAGAAGCGAAAATTGATTCTTGGGAGGAAGAGGAAGAGGTAAAAAGTTTTAGCTATTACAGTGGTTTGTGGCTTCCAAAATTCAGCTCTATCCAAGAAAGTCTTATTCCATAGAATTTAGTTTCTCTTGTTGGGGTGTTCTTGGGTATCTCCCGAGAAGCACTGACATTGAGCTCGTGGAAGATGCACAGGAAATATCCAGGATCTGTGCTCAAGATCTGCCCTCTGTGACAGGAGGGTTTCTCATTCAGTGCTTGACCCCAAAGTCGTATCATGTCTTGGCTGCCATTGGCTGCCTTCTGGACGTTTTTTAATTGAATCTCTTAATGTTGTGTGTGACATGGGCTTTGAGAATTAAACAAAAATAGTATCTGTTTTGTTACTTAATTATGTAAGTTATTTAGCCTGTCATTAATTATGTCAAGCACTGAAAGGAAAAATTTCAGCAGTACCTGAATATACATCTAGCAGCTGGTTGAGTTAGAAGTTATTTTCTCGTAGCTAGCAAAAGTTAGAAGTTCGTGAAGGATAGTATGTAAGAAAAATTTTTAAAGTTATTTTTCTAGGATAATAACAACTTTGGTGGTTAAAAATTAATTATATTTCTAGATATATTTTTATGATTTGCTGATTTTTATATATAATTGGATACATTATAATTTATGTAACTTACATTAAAAATTATTCAGCAAGTGATGCTATAAAATTAAATGTTAATGGCTTTTTAATTTTTAATTTAATTTTCAATTTAAATATTTTATTTGGTCATCTTAAGCCTATATTAAATAAAATCAGTATGCTTTCTATTTAATTCTTTTTAGGTATAAAGTGCAGATTTACATATAGTTCATAAACAGATATACAGAATCTGTGGATTTAAAATTTCATGGGGATGGTGAGGAGGAAACATATATCTGAAAAGGTTCCTTACGGAGTTGATGGCAAAAGATTGAGGCAGTATGCTTTCATAAGAGGAGGATGTATGAGTGTGTATTCATTTGTCCAAATGTAGGAAAAGGGAAGAGATATTTTTAAGAAGTAATGGAAAAGAGTAGTTAATTGAAATATATTTTGTCTTCATTTGATAGGTTGCATACCTTTTATTTTAAGTATAATGAAGTATTCAGAAGGTTCTTTTTCTTCTTTGTATTATTAACTTGAAATGTTCTGATTATAGATGTAGAGTTAGTATCGGCTTTTTATCACACGTGGACACATTTGTTTGACCTTCTGTCCACACTCCTGAGGAAAGCTGGAGCCACCTGCCTCCCATCTATCACGGTGGAAAGGTCTGGTAAGTGACATGTTTTATGGTGCCAGCAAAACCAATCCTTAGTGTCTCATTGGTGTTAAGTTATCCCAATGCTAGAGGAGCAGTAATTCCTTACTTGGAAATTTTACAGTTGTGGTGATGTCAAAACTAAGCTAATTAGATTCTGTAGAAGGGTGCATTCTCTAGAAGGGTGCTATCACCCCCAAGAAGCGAAAATTGATTCTTGGGAGGAAGAGGAAGAGGTAAAAAGTTTTAGCTATTACAGTGGTTTGTGGCTTCCAAAATTCAGCTCTATCCAAGAAAGTCTTATTCCATAGAATTTAGTTTCTCTTGTTGGGGTGTTCTTGGGTATCTCCCGAGAAGCACTGACATTGAGCTCGTGGAAGATGCACAGGAAATATCCAGGATCTGTGCTCAAGATCTGCCCTCTGTGACAGGAGGGTTTCTCATTCAGTGCTTGATCCCAAAGTCGTATCATGTCTTGGCTGCCATTGGCTGCCTTCTGGACGTTTTTTAATTGAATCTCTTAATGTTGTGTGTGACATGGGCTTTGAGAATTAAACAAAAATAGTATCTGTTTTGTTACTTAATTATGTAAGTTATTTAGCCTGTCATTAATTATGTCAAGCACTGAAAGGAAAAATTTCAGCAGTACCTGAATATACATCTAGCAGCTGGTTGAGTTAGAAGTTATTTTCTCGTAGCTAGCAAAAGTTAGAAGTTCGTGAAGGATAGTATGTAAGAAAAATTTTTAAAGTTATTTTTCTAGGATAATAACAACTTTGGTGGTTAAAAATTAATTATATTTCTAGATATATTTTTATGATTTGCTGATTTTTATATATAATTGGATACATTATAATTTATGTAACTTACATTAAAAATTATTCAGCAAGTGATGCTATAAAATTAAATGTTAATGGCTTTTTAATTTTTAATTTAATTTTCAATTTAAATATTTTATTTGGTCATCTTAAGCCTATATTAAATAAAATCAGTATGCTTTCTATTTAATTCTTTTTAGGTATAAAGTGCAGATTTACATATAGTTCATAAACAGATATACAGAATCTGTGGATTTAAAATTTCATGGGGATGGTGAGGAGGAAACATATATCTGAAAAGGTTCCTTACGGAGTTGATGGCAAAAGATTGAGGCAGTATGCTTTCATAAGAGGAGGATGTATGAGTGTGTATTCATTTGTCCAAATGTAGGAAAAGGGAAGAGATATTTTTAAGAAGTAATGGAAAAGAGTAGTTAATTGAAATATATTTTGTCTTCATTTGATAGGTTGCATACCTTTTATTTTAAGTATAATGAAGTATTCAGAAGGTTCTTTTTCTTCTTTGTATTATTAACTTGAAATGTTCTGATTATAGATGTAGAGTTAGTATCGGCTTTTTATCACACGTGGACACATTTGTTTGACCTTCTGTCCACACTCCTGAGGAAAGCTGGAGCCACCTGCCTCCCATCTATCACGGTGGAACTGGCCAAGCACTGGGCAGCAGTCATTGGTAAGAAGATGCTCTCTCTCTCTGGGCTTGGGCCCCCTCTCCTAATCATTGTTTATGATTTTATGCATATGTATATATTTTCTCTAGAAGTAAGTCATTATGACATTTGAAAGAGAAATTAGGTACTGGCTTTAAGAAATTTGCAGTGCTTTTGAGCAGATCAAAAAATACATTTTTCAAAAATTGAAATACATTTCAGCATACCGTAAAAACAAATGAGAAGGAAAGCGTGTGGTGTTATAAAGAGAATATGACATGATAATAAAACAGTGAGATATCTTTTCTTATGTTGATGTAGAAGCCAGTATCTTTCCTGATATACATATGTACTGTAAGTGGGTAAATCTGCATAAATAAAATCCTGTATACATAACATGGAAAGTTATAATAAACATAGTGTCTTGTGTCAAGAAACAAAGATTTTCTTACAGCACATCTTATTTTTGTAAGATGTTTTCCATATAATGGTTACCTACCAGAATAAACAAATGGTTATTTTAAAAATAACTATCATTTTTCATAAAGTCTCTAAATTTTAGCATAGTAAGAGCCTTTTTTTTTAACTTAAATATTTATAAATAACATTAGTATTACCATTGTAAAATAACCAGTTTAAATATATTCAAAATTGAGTTCTTTTAGGTTTCCAAGTTATCACTAATTCAATTGACTAAATTTTTTTACTTTTGATTTTATTATTTGGTCATTCTATAATGATGTATGAAATATTTTGTAACCAGAATGGTAGTTTTGAAATAAGATTTACAGGGAAATACACTTCAACAAGAAACATAATTCTTAGTTATCTGGATATAGGAGTTCTGATCTTACCCTAAGGGGAATAGTGCCCAATTAGAGATCATCATTTTGTTAAAAGAGATAACTTAAAAGAGACTGACAGTGATTGAAATTGAGGTTTCCTCTTGCAACCTTGGGTGGTGTGCAGGGGTGTTTGAGGGGGAGAATTAGTTTACCACCTGAATCACTAGTAATATAAAGCAAGATGCTACTCATATGGGACAACTGGTCACATCTGATCCACTGCCTGTTTTGTAAATAAAATTTTATTGGAACATAACCACATTTACTCATTTCATATTGCCTATGGCTGATTTCATGCTACAATGGTAGAATTAAATAGTTGTGACAAAGATATATGACCCACAAAGATAAAAAAATAAAATATTTACTTTCTGGCCCTTTGCGGAAAGTTTCTGACCCCTGATTTATGTCTATTTACCTATACTATTTCCCTAGTGATAAAATGAGGACATAACTAAATTCAAAATCTTTCTACAAAATATGTACAAACATATATATATATATATATATATATATATAATAATAATAATGGTGCTAATCAAAAATAACCTGCTCTATAAACAGCTAGCTTTGATAATAATAATGTTAATGAAAATCTAACCAGTAAAATGATCATTGATATTCCTTGCTATGGAGTTGTCTTTGTTTGTTTTCCTAATTATTTATTCTGTGTGCCCACACACATTAAAAGCATCTGTGGTCACTCTATAACTTACATTATCTATAACAACCGTTTCTCCAACTTGACTAATATTTAGACATCATGTAAGTAAATGTAATTCTCATGAAATCCCATGACTGACTAAATTATTTTTCTCATGTTGCTTAAGAACATAAGAATTTCTATAAGTCTAAATCTAGGGAGAAGTTCTTATGGTTATAAAGCTTCACAAATATTAATCCAAAATAATGTAAAAATAAAACATAATGTTTTAAACCAATGCTATTCCAATTAATAAAATTAATGTACCAAATGTTCTTTTGATTAAATTGTGCTCACAGCAGGGATTTAATAATGACTGGTTCAGTGTAAGATGCTTTTGAGTTGGCTTGCTTATTCTTTCCACTCTGTGTTATGTCTGCAAATCAGTTCAAAACCAGTCTTGTTTTTTTTCTAAACTATGATGAAACTTTTGTTCCTACGTCATACCAATACTGCATACTAAGTCTTGTTTTAAATACTACTCAGTGTCAACTTGTTGGAAACAGAAACATAATCACACTTAAAAGATACTAATCTAGAAAATCGAGAGTATTACTTTATTAGAAATAAAAAAGCTATAAACTTAATTACTCAAATCAATCTGATTCACTTTAATTTTAAGGAAATTTCAAATATTTACTTTGAAATTATTCTTTTAGATATGTTCTGCAAATGTGTGGGTTTGTCTACCACATGCCCTACCCTGTATACTGCCAGCCTGCAGTTCCTTTCTATTCTCTTGACTGAAGAAGCAAAAAGGTGTCTCCAGGATAAGGATAAAACGAACTTAAGCTACAGTCCAACAATGGCTTCACTTCTCGATAGGACTCAGGAAAACCAGAAATCTCTAGAACGACTCAATGAAGTAATTCTTCAGGTATGTGATTTCCTGATTTTTCAAAACTTTATTTAGTGTTTAAAATGTATTGATTTTCAGTCTTGGTCACATAAAATTTTTTTCAATCAGTTGAATTAAAAGTAATTAATGCTTTGTGATCATTTAAACAATAAAGAAGTATATAAAGTTAAACATCTCCTTTCCAGTCTCATTCCCCTAATGTTGACCAGTTTCTTTAAGGAGTATAATATAAAAATTCAAAATGAAATATTAGTAATCCAAATCAAGCAGTCTGTCAAAATATTGTGCTGTATCATAACCAAAATGGGTATATTTTAGGAATGTAGGTCTAATTCATAATTTATTGCCATCTTAAAAGACATCGCAGGAAATACATTCACCTAAATGACACTTGAGTTATATAAATGAACGACATGTGTTCACAGTGGTTACATAGAGGTAGGTGGACCTGGTTGGCATGTTTTTGAGAAAATGTTCCCTTTCTAAACCCTGCTGCCTATTATATGTTACACTCTTATTTCTAACAACCCTAAAACATGAACCAATAGTCTTGTCTCATCAAAAGTCATAAAATCAGTAAAGTATTGTAAATTTATAAATAGATTAAAAAAAACCTGGAAGTGTTTCCTAAGCTGCACAACTGCTTTTTGCAAATAGAAATGTTACTAGATATTTCAGTGATAAGAATCTTCCTTTTTAATAATAATCATATGGTTTTATGGTTTTTGTCTTCTCACTGAAAGGTGGAAAAGTCGTAGACTTGTTCGTGAGAGGATTTGCTTGCCCTCCCCAGTCAGCCAGCCACATTTGATAAAGACAGAAGCTTGTTCCGCCTGATTTGTTACCATCCCTTTGCTGCTTAGAATGTGGGGATTTTTGCCCCTTCCCTGCCCGCAGGAGTGATGGCTGTGCAGACCTTTACGGCATGACCGTCTGTGCATGGGCACAGCAGCCTTGACTATGTTGAAATGCAGAGGATGCTGGTAGCAGCGACGACAGCTGCCTGGTCCTGCTCGGACCTGCCCTCTGAGGGGTTTCCCGGGGCTCGGAGGGAACTTCTGTCTTGCTCGCCCAGACCACAGTTGCCTTCCAAGCACCAATGAGTCTGATAGAGGGTCCCCTCATTTTCTCCTGTGTCTCCAGCAGTTCCTTCAGAAGCTGCATCTCTAGGGGACAAGATCCGCCAAGCATTCCTCGAAGCCACTTATCCTGCGAAGCCAGCTTCCCTGTAGCTCACTGACTCCACTCAACTTTTCTTAGTTTAAAACCAAATTGGATATGGTCCGAGTGATCTCATTCCCCATCAGATCGACAGGCTTAATTCCCCCTGTGATGAACTGAGTCTGATTTTACACTTTAAAGTTATAGGCAGGAAGCTCAAATTCCCAGCTTCACAGAGGTCCTACCCCAGCCCCGATCCAAAAGTATTATTCATTTCCTAACTGGCTTTGGTGTGGCACTTTCTCCTGAGAAAATACCCTTGCTCATGTTGACATGCTTTCCTCCTCAGGAATTTAAGTGACTCGTGGGGCCCCACATCCATCTCCTTCCACAGTGAGGGCTGCACGCCTGGCCCTTTCCCCTGCCCAGGCCGGAACGCCCAGGAGCTCTGGGAGCTGGACTCCTTGCAGATCACCGTGGGGGCTGCAGCCAGTCCTCCAGGACCTGGTGAAATGCAAACACCTCCAGCCCGGCCAAGCCAAGGCTATTTTATTTCCCAGCTATTTTCTTTTATTTATTGGTGGTTCTGTGTTCCAAGGAACCGCGGTTAGACTCATGATGAATATGGCTCCATGTTGGGATGATAAACCAGATTAAAATAGCATAGAAGGACTGTGTCAAAAGATTTTGCTTTATTTGCTTTGCCCTTATGTTTTCTTTTTTTAATTATTTTTTTTTTGAGAGGGCATCTCTCATATTTATTCATCAAATGGTTGTTAACAACAATAAAATTCTGTATAGGGGACTCAATGCACAATCATTAATCAACCCCAAGCCTAATTCTCAACAGTCTCTGATCTTCTGAAGCATAGCGAACAAGTTCTTACATGGTGAACAAGGTCTTACATAGTGAATAAGTTCTTACATGGTGAACGGTGCAAGGGCAGTCATCACAGAAACTTTTGGTTTTGATCACGCATCATGAACTATAAACAATCAAGTCAGATATGATTATTTGTTTGATTTTTATACTTGATTTATATGTGAATCCCACATTTCTCCCTTATTATTATTATTATTTTTTTTTTAACAAAATGCTGAAGTGGTAGGTAGATGCAAGATAAAGGTTGAAAACATAATTTAGTGCTGTAAGAGGGCAAATGCTTATGTTTTTTAATAATATTTTATATTAGTCATTATAAAAGTTTTTGTTTATAATATTTTGCTGTTACCTTCTTGGCCAAAGAAAGTGAGGTATCCTAGAACCTCAGGGTCTCAATAATTTTCCTAGTGAGTAACTAATCTTCCTGCTTATTCCAGATTACAGAAGATACAAATATTTTGTGTGGATATGGATACATTATAACCAATTATTTTAAACTGTGTTTCCTACTAAATCATACTCCTCTTGTTCATGTAAACAGTAGAATATGAATGACTACGTGATGTTTGTTAGAAGGGCACAGGCAAGGTTTAGACAAAGAAAATAAAAGAAATTGTAGCTGTGACACACTGATGACAAAATGTGTGCTTAACATAAGATGGGACATTAATTAATGAGCTGCTTAAACTATAAACACTGTTTTCTTTGCTCTGCCTGTTAAAAAACATGATGTGTGGATTAAAATATTATTAGAAAACATTAAACAGCAACACATTAAAATGAATAATTGTTTCTTAATATACGGCCATGTAGGCTATGGATTGTGCCAAGTGTTATATGAAACAAAGCAAAATTCAGTCTTTAAATGACAAGAAATAGTATTCTAAAATTGGTGCCCCTTAAAGGTATATTTAAACTCTCTGTAAAGCTATACTAAAAAAATATTAGATTTGTGACCTTAGCCGTATCACTTCACCTTTTCTGATTCAGTTTTTCAGCTTCAAAAGTGAGAGGATTGTATCACACTATTGAGTTTTAGCCTGCTCTAAAATTTTCCATCCTCTTAACAAATTATTATGTTGTAACTTCAATTAAAATGTCTTGGCAGAGAATCTTTTAACTGGCTGCTTTATAGCATAGCCCCATAGGGTATATGTTGAAAGTTTGCATTTGGTGCTTACATCTTACATAATGTGTAAGTTTATTTTTTCAAAATTCCTTTTGAAGAAATTTCAAGATTTGAATATTCCCTAAGAAACTATTAGCTGATTTTGACCATATAGTATTGAGCACATGTGACTTAGAGGAGATTTTTGCCTTCAAAGTGAGATACTCAATGCGTTTCCTTTGCAAATTATATATAGATAACAAGATTAATAAAAACTGTATAGTAATAGGTTTTGTTTGTAATTATGTGTCAAATTAATTTTACTCCTTATCTTCGATGTGCTACATAAGGATAGTGAGGCAAGGAAAGAACAAACACTTATGGAGATAAATTTGAGCTAGTGTTTAGTGAATGGTAAAATTCAAGAATAAATCTGTTGAAGAGAAGGCTTATGGATTTGAGATACTGTTGTATTAAAGAACGCTCACTGTAATCAAAAAGCCTGTTCTTTACATTAGTGCCTTCTGGAAAGAAAGCAAAATGTCTTGACTCAGAATTCCCAGATCATTTAATATATGATAAGATATAAAAGAGCATAACATTTACATAAATTACATTGAGTCCTCTTATTTTCTTTCTACTTAAGGTTGACAAAAAGACGTATTGTTTGTTGCTCTGTATTTTCTTCATTTATTTTTCCTCTTTGGTGTGTGTGCATCATGCGGTAGCAAGGGGTCTCACTTCAGCTGCTTGGCCTGGGACCTTAGCCTCAGCCTCCCTGCCTCCAGGCGTCTCCCACTGGCAGCCTTGCTCCTGCTCCGGGCACAGACGCTCAGAACAACTTTTCAGTCTGCACCGAGTGCTACATGGAGAACAGTAGACATTACATCTTATTCTCTGACCTTCAGTCTGTGTTGAAAAGTGTGTGAATTTACTGTAGTGTAGTCCTGTTTCTGTTTTGATTGTTTTAGTTTTTGGCTTTCATATCTGTTTTTCCATGTACACATTTTAGAGTGCCAGACATTCTGGTAAGTTTCACCAAAGGAGGGGACTGTGCCTTTTTCCCTTCTCTCATTTCTCTCTCCTCAGGGGCGATGACTTATACCTCTTCCGCCTGAATGTTTAGGGTCCCTTCCATGTCGCTAAATAACATGCGTGCATTTCTCTGTCTTGATTATTCCATCTTGGACATTCTCCGTCCCCTCCGTGGGAAAGGGGGCTTAGTGCTGTTTCCAGGCCCTGCCCAGTCACCAGTCTTCATGTCAGCTGGTGCCCAGTGCCCTCCTGGTGTCCCCATTCACCTTCCTCCTGGTCCTTTCTGTGCCCCTCTGCTCTTCCCTGCAGTCTCCCATGTTCCCCTCTCCTGGTTAATGCCCTCCTTTCTCTACAGTCTGTTCTCTAGTAGCTTCCAGAGAAAAGAAAGATGCATCGGAGGTGTTTTTGAGATCGAGACATCTGAAAATCTTTCTATACACATAAATTAAATGTATAGTGTGAGTAAGGGAGAATTTTGATTGGAAATCATTCACTTCAGAATTTAGAAGGCATTTTCTATTCCCTTTAACTTCCATTGATACTGTAGAGAATTCTGAAGCCATTGTGATTTCTGGTTTCTCTCTCCTGGAAGTTTTTAGAGTCTTTTTATTTCTCTAGTATTCTACATTTTCCTAATCAAGTACCTAAGTATGCATTTCATTTGTCTGTTGTGCTGGGCAGTTATGGAGAATCTTTCCATCTGTAAACTCCTAGTTTTTATTACTTTATTGGTATTCCCTCTACTTTGTATGTGCTGAATGTTTGGACTCCTATAAAATTTTCTCCTTCCTAACTAATTTCTTGTCTTATTTTTTCTCTCTTTATTTTGGTTTCTATTTTCTGGTTAGGGGCTTTTCTCAGTAGTCTGGTGATCTTGGTTGTCTGCTCTCTTGAGAGCTGGAAGACTTAAAGCAGGTTGGAAGCCCTGAACATCTCTGCGTGGAGCTCATCACGGGCAGGCTGTAGTGTGTAAGGGGATTCAGCTGGTTCCTGTTATGGTTCTGTCTTCTTGAGCTTGTTGGATTTCCTAGAGAGGAATCTTGCCAGTTACCATCAAGGTGAAAACCAAATTGCCAAGTGTTTTATAGCAAAATAGGAGAATAGAGCTGGGTGGGTCTTAGAATTTATTTCTCATAACTTCACTTAATCCTCCCTGTTTTCAGCTACAAATGTAACTAGTAGAATTTGAGAATGATTGCTGATCTTTCCATGTTGTAAATTTTTTATATAATCTTATCCACACAGAGTATTCTCGAATCTTAATTATTTATCAAATTCCAATGAATTCCATGAAATAGTTGAACTCTGGCAGTATCTTTTAAATAGAGCACAACTTTTATTCACCACAGTCTTGCTCCAGATTAAGTTTTTCTTCAAGGCAGTTTGGTATATGTTCTGTATAGTGCTATGAAGGAAAATCCTCCAAGGATGTCCTGAAAAGAGTCGCTACGAACGCATTGATGTCACTTCTGGCTGTCAGCAGAAGAGCACAGAAGCACGCTTTGAAAGGTGAGCCATATGACTTACCAGCTGTTTCCATGGCTTGATGTCAATTTGTATATTTTAGTGCCTTTTCATTTCAATTTTCTCTGGAATAAGAATGTCAAGAACTTATAATGTCAGTGCCACTAGAAAAAGATAGTTTTTTTTTCCCATAGAGAAACACGGTAAAAATGCATTACTTTGAAAATCTATTATACATGTAATTGTTCTTTGTATAATAATTTTACTCTAGACAATCTATATCCAAATACGAGAGAAGCTTTGAAAAGTAACACAGCAGTCAATTTCATGATAATTAAATATTAGTAACGACAAGAACTGTTGCATAACTGAAAAAACAGACTTTTGATAGTGGCAGCAATAGACTTAGATGACCTTCCATTTCCATGTAAATTTCCTTTCTAGAGTGTTCTAATATTTCATCTGTAATCAGGGAACACAGGTCTTAGAGCTGAAAGAGAGTAACAGCAACATCAAGTCCATTAATTTCCATTGTGATTTGCCATGAAAACAAATTGTGCATGCCTCCGAACAAACTAGATTTGGGGAGTATCACACTAATTGAAAACACTGAAATTGTTTAGTATTTTAGTTTTCTTACGTTATTTTCCTCCAATCCATTAACCTCTCACTGAAAATACTAAAATGAAAGTTTATCAGAAATGTAAAATGTTATTTTTTTTAAAGAATGGGCTGTTATATGTGGCTTTAATAAATTTGGAAATGGAATATCCTTCTGATTGGTTTGGATTTGATCAGCTGCTCTGATAGACAACTGCATGGAGCAGATGAAGAGCGTCAATGCGCACCTGAACCTGGAGTCTCTGCGGCCTGGGAAAGCAGCCCTGAGGAAAAAGGTAGCTGGGTTCTAAGGTTCTGGGCTGCAGGAATGCCGCAGAGACTGTCTCTCCCATGTTTTTCTGCTTATAAATGACACTGATTCTTGATGGAACTGAGTGTCTGATTTAGAATAAAAGTACAGTCAGTGAAATTAATGGAATTTCTACATTAGCTGGTTTGTGTGTGTGTGTGTGTTTCTTAATTCTCGATCTTAAAGTGAGATTTATGTGTTATATATTTTATTGTAAACATTTTGGAGTGTGCTTGATATCTTGCCAGATAGATTTTTCAAACTATAACAAATCTTTCTCTCAAAGCAAATGTAGGTTCACTAGGAATGAGATATGTTACTGAGTGTCCTTTATATGCCAGGCATTATTCTAAACATTTCATATTTATTGTCTCATGAATACTCTACAACTGATAGTTGATAAAGCCAGTATTTGCCCCATATCTGATGGTTGCAGAGCTGCATTCCTAATGTCTGCGTATTTCCTTCCATGACTTCTGAATGTCTCTTCCTACCAGTGAGTCTGCTGGACTCATGTTCAAACTGCACATTCATATAAGCTCAAAATAACAGTTTTTATATAGGAATGAGAGTTAATAACTGTGGTTAAAAAAGTCTGCCACACACACTTACTGAGAAAATAAATGTGTGTGTGCATTTATAAATATGTAACTGTACATACATATGTATATGGCTAAGGCCATGATAGCAGCCATCTGTGTAATAACAGGTTTCTGCTGCCTTTGATAAGAAACCTAGAAAAGACCTTATTTCATAATTTCATTGCTGCAGGGGTTACGTGTTTGTCAGTTTGTTGTCTTGCCTCTTTTCCTCTTTCCTCTCCAGGCAGAGACCCTTTACTTTATCATTGAGAAAGTCAGCCAACACCTGATATGATTGAAAACCAGTCAGGACCTGCTGCCCTTTATTGAGATGAAACATGGAGCCTGTTATATATCCCAGCTCCTCCATGCTTGATAGAATAGGAATAGCTTTTTCATGGTGGATGTGCTTCTTGAGATACAGTCATCGTTCAGAGATCATTAGCTTGTCAGTCCCCTCAAAGTCATGGTGGTCAGGCACGAAGAGAGCATAGCTGCTTTGCAGTGTGACTCAGAAAAGAAATTACTATGTATGCAAAGTGGAGCAAACCATTGTGTTCACATTTTCAACTGCTTTTTGTTTGAACAGGAGGACGGTGTTATTAAAGAGTTAAGCATTGCCATGCAGCTCCTAAGAAACTGTCTTTATCAAAATGAAGAATGCAAAGTAAGTAGAACTACTTCTCAAATTTTTGTCTGCAGTGCTGACATTAAACAATTGAAAACAGTGAAATTGTTTAGTATTTCAGTTCTCTTATGTTCTTTTCCTCTGATCCATTTACTTCTCACTGAAAATACTAAAATGAAAGTTTATCAGAAATACAAAATGTTATTTTTTTTGTATATGAGAAAATATAGGAGGGAAGATGGAAAACTCTTTACATTTGTTTTGGATGCACAGTTGATTGGTCCTTAAGCTCAACTTTAATTCTCAGAAATGGATGAACCTAATCTTGTTGTAATTCTGCAACACTGATGATATTTCTTGTTTGTGTCAGCATTTTAACTTTAATTTTACCACTGAAACTTTGACCTCAGGCAGCTAAACAAACTTGAGCCTCTTTCTATACTGTTAACCATGTCAGTTGTTTTTTCACTAAGGTGGAAGGATGGCTGTGTACATCTTGTAAGACAGGATTTTTCTCAGAGGCGGTTATCGGACAGTTCTCCAGGGGAATAAGTGGAGAGGTATCTGTAACTATAAGTAAAGGGGACTGTCTCTCCTGCTTCAGAGTAGGAAAATGCTTGCCTCTGTTGCCCAGCGTGGCCCTGTCCACCTAGAAGAGGCTCTTCACTTCCCTCTGTGATGGCTCCCTGTGTCCATTGACTCAGCCCTTCTGTCTGGGAACCACTGAGATGTTTTGCTTTGCCTGTGAGCATTGACACTATCACTTAAAACACTGTTACTACTGTTACACAGGGTACAGTGTAGCGAACACTTTGATTTGTTCATTGTGATACAACACTTTTGAAGCTTTAGCTTTCACACAGAAATTCAGCTGACCTTTGAACAACCTGGGGGTTAGGGCACCAACCCCCCTGCACAATCAAAAATTCACGTATAACTTTTGACCCCCGAGAAACTTAACTACTAACAGCTTACTGTTGCCCAGAAGCCTTACTGATAACAAATAGTCAATTAACACATATTTTTTATGTTTCGTGTATTATATATGTATTTGTACAATAAAGTAAGCTAGAGAAAAGAAAATGGTTTTTTAATTTATCACAAATCTCCAAAAATTTTTCCAATATAGTTATTGAAAAATTTGCATGTAAGTGGGCCTATGCTGTTTAAGAGTCAGCTATACTGTAGAAGATGAGTAAGACAAAGATATGTTGTAGAAGCTTCTGTTTAAAAAAGTTTCTTAACCATTTTTGTTTTTACTGGAGAAAAACATACTGTATCTGGAAAATGAACATTTTGAACATATCTTCCTTAAATTGTGTTAAATAATTTGTTCAAGATACATGACTAACAATTTACATCTCAAAACATTTTGATGGGAATTAAGCAAAATTCCTAATGTATGAATTTATTACTCAAAATAGTGGTGTCATTTATACTAATTTCTACTAAAAAAATTAATTAAATAAACCTATACTAAATATATGATCCCTTATGCTAAAATAGTATCCTGTGACTGGGTGCAGCTAGTAACAGTCACCCATGACACCTTACTCAGGGAGTTCTTTGGAATATTTTCCAGGTAAGATTTGCTTATATAGATTTATGAGACACTAGCCTGGGTCCCGGTTGTAAATACAGTGTTCACATTTGCATTACCTTAGCCATCTATAAAAGTGTAGTCTCTTTATAGAAAGTCAAAGCATTTCTGCCTTTCCAAGTTGTCTAATAAGGAATAAATCTAAAGAAGAAATTTAGATTACTCTCAGATATAAATGTAATCCTATGGGGTAAAGAATCTTAATTTCTTTTCCTGTTCCAGCTTACCTGATGTGCATGGCACATTCCCATTACTGTGTGGTCGCTCTTGTGGTGATCCACTGAGCCACCCATGCCCACCCCTTCCCCGTGTCTCTCTATTTTTAACATTAAGAAGTTTTTATACTGGGAATGGTGACTGTGAGGTAAGTGAATTGATCAGTGAGCGAGGTTAGAGGTACAGGATCATAGAGGTCAGGCGAGATGATAAGACTCCAGTTGGGGAAGGTACATTTGAGATAATAAAGAGAAAAAAAAGAAATATCGAATGACTTCCAGGTTCTACTTTAATACAAGAATTAAACATAATAGACTAAAATATAGATATGAGAGATACTAATATTTGGGTTTGCACGTAAGTGTTTTGGGCACATCCGAGTGGGAAATGGCCGGTAATCTGTGCATTACATGGGTCTGGGGCTCTGAAGGGCGGTACAGGCTGCGAATGTCAGGAGTTATCAGTGTGCAGATGGTGTTTGTAGCCATGACTGTTGTTGGAATTTCCCAAGTGAGCGCATAGTGAAAGCTTAGGTCATGTCCTTGGAAACTGTACCATTTAAGTGAAGGCAGAAGACAACACTGATGGGAATGCTGGAGAGAATATGGAGTTGACCCAGGATAGGGGGGCTCACGGAAGTGAAGAAAAAAGACCTTTAATGGATGCCACAGTGCCTGAGAGATTAGTAACTGCCAGGACAGGAGTGGTCTGACTAGCATCATCCGGACAATATAAATTGAAGTAAGCTGAAGATTAAGTAAGAGATGGGAAGTGACAGCAAGAAGAGTGGTCTTTCTAGAAGCTCGGTCAGGAAAAGCAGCTTTAGTAATTTAGGACATACAACATTAAAGGAAGTTAATCTGTATATTTGTTTCTCCTAACATGTAAACTGCTTGAATGTAAACAGAAATGAGCAAATTAGAGACTAGTTATTAAAGAGACAGGGAGAAAAGAATTAATTGGTGGATGAAGATGTGCAGGCAGGGCTGTGTTGCAGAACATAGACGGATGCATCAGCCTCTGACGACGAGGAACTCTGTTTCCACCTCCAGGCAGGAGATTGAAGGGCGGGGCCGCGAATAACTGGGTGGACAGAATGGCAGAGTGTGTGAGAAGCTCGCAGCTCGTCATTTGTCCCCTGGGAAGCAGGAAGCAAGGGCATCTCCTGCAGCTGCAGGGCTGTGTTCCAGGCTTGTGGAGAGTGGGGAGAATGGGGAACCACTTCCCACTCTCTTCCACCATGGATGCTGCTTAAAAGTGGATAGGATAGAACTGTTTGTTGTATATGTGCCTATGAATTGCCTGTAATTCCTGCTCATTTAAAAAATTGCTACATTTCTTATACTTTATCCATATATTGTCCCAGTGGTAATTGATCTTTGTAATAAGGACTATGAGTTACTAAGAATTTAGTTTAACCTAATATTTTGACTGAATTTTACTATATTCAAATTATTAAAAAAAAATCTTCTGATCTATTTACCTAGCTACACACACACACACACACACACACACACACACGGCAGAGGGGAGAACTCACAGTTGATCAGAATTGTTTGCTTAACCAGAAAATCTACTTTCTTAGCCAGATCAGAGCACTTAAAAGAATTTATGCAGTATTGTTGTTTTGCTTAATTTACATGTTCAGAAGCTGTTTTCCTACATTTCTTACCTAAGTTGCATATCCGGGCCACTCCAGTGTTAGGAATGGTGGGGCTCATGGCCGGGGCAGTTGTAGGGCAAGGTGCTGGATCTTTGCAGCATTCCTATACCAGCTCACACTGATGAGAACAAAGAGAAACTCAGTTTTGTCTCCTTATATTGGTGACAATTTGTTTAGATTTGATTTTAATACTATATTTTCATTTATTTAGACTAATGCTGTCTTTACTTCTTTTCCACAACAGGAAGCAGCTCTTGAAGCTCATCTTGTCCCAGTCTTGCACTCTCTCTGGCCTTGGATTTTGATGGATGATTCATTGATGCAGATTGCCCTGCAGCTGCTTTGTGTCTATACTGCAAATTTTCCAAGTGGTAACTAGAATTCACTACTGCCTTTCAATAATATACTAATATACTTACAATTTGTTAAATTGGACTTGAAAAACTAGTATGCATTTGGAAGTGTTTCTTCTGTTTAAAGAGGGTATGTTGATTAAAGACAAATTTTCTTGAGTATTATAAGAATAGACAGATATTTTAGTATATTTGTTGAGGTAAGAAGACTCCTGAGACAGCTCAGAGAATAGACAGGGAGAAACTGACCTGATTATATGGCAGTGGAAAATTGAATTTAATGGGAAAATTGAGACAGTGAAAATTATGATGTAAGACTTTGAAAACCAGGTAAAGGTTTAATTTGTATAAATCCTACAGCAGGAGACATGCATGAGGAAACAGAGCAGGAGACATGCATGAGGAAAGGTAGTTCTAGATACAGTTGCTCTGATGGTTAATGTCACTGGGGCACCTCTTTCATTCATTCATTCATTCGACAGGCATTTTACTGAGAGCCTACTGTAGGCCATGCACTGTTAGAGGCCAGTAACTATGAGTGAGCAAAGGTGAGCGCGGCCGAGGTGATTTGAGAAGAGGATGTGTGAGATGGGTGTGTGAGCAGAGGGAAGGCAAGCCTGCTTGGGAGGTGAAGCGGGACTGCTGGCAGCATTCATTTCCCATTTAAAACTAAATTCATTGTCTAACAAGCCAGCAAGTTCATGTGCTTTCTTCTAGCAACATTCAGCAGCTAGCTCAGCACCTGGGTTCTCCAAATATGCAACGATACACAGAGAGGGAAAGGACTGGCGTGTTTCTGCAGCGCACCAGCTTGTCTCGCCTGCACCAGACAGACCTTTGGGCCCCCTGGGCCCCCAGTGTGGCGCGGGGCATGTCCTTGTTTCAGTCCGCTGTCACTGACTTCCTCGTCCGCACCTCTGCCCAGACAGTCTGCCTTTGCTTGGCCCTCTGGCGGGGTGACCGGCATCTGTAGCCATCTCTGGAGTGCTGCACCTGTCTGCATGTTGTCCTTGACCCTACCCTTCACTCCTTGATTTGGGATTTGGCGAAGTAAGAAGGAAAAAATCAGTTGATAAATAGTGAGCAAAAACCTCCACATACTTTTGAAACTTATGTATGTGGTTTCTTTTGAAACTATAATCTGTGTAACTTTCACCTTAAAATTGATATAAAAATTAGAATGTGGTTAGGTAGAGGAGAAACTCCTTTCCTGTCTGGTTTGTTTCCAAGCAAAACCACACATAGTGACAGTTTTATGTAACAGTTAGTGGCAGTCTTGGTATTTGGGTACTGCTGTGTAGTGTGAATACAAGAAAGATCACTATATTTATTTGTATTTACTTGCCTTTTATGAATTTATTTTACAAAATATATTTGATTCTTATCTAATTACATGTAACCTGGCCTTCTTGCATGGACTTTCACAAGTTCATCACACCTTAGGTTTATGTTATAATAAGGTAAAATGAATTGCAGTCCTTTCATGATTAATTTTCTCCTTGATAAATCCCATAGGGTTATTTAACTTACTGAGAAGACACTGGACTCTGAAAAACCAGTTGACATTCTCTGGCTTTCGCTGCTTATGCACTTTGTGACCTGAGCAGGTCACTGACTTCTCTGAGCTCCATACCTTCATGTAGCATATATGGCAGGTCGCATTCGGCCTGTGCTCACCCACCAGGGTTAGCATGTTCCTCATTTTGTTCCTTCTGTAAAATGAAGACATGAGACCAAGCTACCTCCCATTTGTAAAATTCTGTTTTTCTATATAGGCTTTATTTGGATGTCTTCTTTAGGAACTATTAAAAAAATTAGGCTGCTTTTATGCTTTTTTTTTTTTTCTTTTTAAATAAGCCTAGTGTTTTTAAATGCTCTGTTGAGATCATTGGGACCTTAATGAGGACAGTAAATCTATTAGGGTGAATGTGGACATCAACGTGGTTCTTCAGTGCTAATTTCATTTCACAGGTTAATCGCTGAGTCATCCGATAGGTAGATATGCCTATGCTTTATGGCTTAGTTTTCTAATTAAACAGTGAAACTGAGAAGACATTGTGATAGGCTGTTATTTTTTAAGGTTGCAGTTCTCTTTGTTGGTCATCTTCTGGACAACATCCTGTTCAAGCTGCGTGTAGAGGGGCCCCTGGCAGCTCCCTCATGCTGTGTGTCCTGAAGCTGGCCTCCCAGGTGCCCCCTGAGAACACTGGGGTTCAGCAGATGGCTTTTATGTTTCTCTCAAACCTGGCCTTATCTCATGACTGTAAAGGAGTAATTCAAAAAGTAAGTACTTCAACTCTCCTCCATACCATGAAAAAGATACTCAGTGAAATAATCTTTCCAATCAAGGACATGTGTGAAAAGTTTAGAACTCAGTTTCTGGTATTAATTCATTATGATTTTAAGACATTTTCTTTTAAAGGATTGTAAACAGATTAAGAAGTTCAATTTGTATCTGTAAAGATTCAAATATCCTCAGTACTCCCAAAGTTGTTACCTTGTATCCAGGACTGGTTTGGATTTTGTTTCTTTTTCCTCCCTGTAGGGTAGCTTTTAATGAGTAGCAAAATTGCCAGAAGGCAGACAGAGAGACAAAACTCAGGAGGCCTGGAATAACCCCCAGCCTGAATTATCAATCCTAAATCATTAAGATTGGCTGCAGTTACTTTAGCCATGTCAGGAAGGAATTAGTAAGAATTAAAATTCGAGCACTGTTTTTTCTCCTTAACTTTTCACTTACACCTGGAAACGGTGCAGAGAGAGGTCTGGAAGGTACTGGGAGGAAGGCGAAATGAAGGGCTGCATGCTCCAAGGGACTGTGAAATAATGAAGAGACTCAGGAAGAAAATAATGCTCTCTCTGTTTACCTGCAGAGTAACTTCTTACAGAACTTTCTATCTCTAACATTGCCAAAAGGAGGAAATAAACACCTCAGTAATCTGACCATTCTTTGGTTGAAGTTACTCCTGAATATATCATTTGGAGAAGATGGGCAGCAGATGATTCTGAGGCTCGATGGCTGTCTGGACTTACTCACAGAGATGAGCAAATACAAGCACAAGAGAAGCCCTTATCTGCCTCTTCTTATTTTTCATAATATTTGCTTCAGTACTGCCAATAAACCCAAGATCCTGGCTAACGGTGAGTGTTTATGTCATACACCGTACTCACGTGCACAGGCACCCATTTATATGTGTGCTATCCAGAGAGCATCGTAGAGCATGCCATTCAGATTAAAATGCAAAATAGTTTTAGAAATAATTTCCCCGATATTTATTAAACACCCACCAAGTTCAAGGCACCCTGGGAGGCAGAGGTTGTGGGAATGAATCAGGCGCGAAGCAGCCCTCAACCAGCCGTCGAGTCTTGGGGGTTTGGCAAGACACGCCACTGATGGACACGCTGGATCCGGGGGGGTCGCAGTGAGGAGGTGGGCGTGCACCCTGCCTGCCTCGCCTCTGCTCCTCCGCGGGCTCCTCCGGTGCTGCCTGCCAGGGGGGCCTTTCCACGCCACCCTGTGCCAGCTGCCACCCCGCGCCCTCCTTCCTGCCACCTCTCCCTCCCGCCTCCTCCCTGTTCTGTTTCTCTCCACAGCTTCCCCCGGCTGATACCCTGTGTGTTTCAGGGTCTGTCTTTTATTCCTAGTCTCTCCACACTAGAACCTAAGTTCTTAACAAGCTCTAGAGGGTTTAGTCGCTGTTTGTTTTATCTGTAGCACCTAGAATTGTGCCTGTCGCCAGTGAGCACTCAGGTGACTGACTGCTGGGTGACTGACTGGGGGACGCCGGGCAGGCAGGGGGGGCAGGCCCCGAGGCCCCCTGGGGAATGTCGCTTCACAGACAAGGGGAGGATGGGTGGGGAGTCAGAAAAGTTTAAACAGAAAGAGAGAAATGGAAAGACTGTTTCTGCAACCATGTGCCGTTTCTGTGAGGACTGTGTGGGTTTTATGGGGGGTTTTATAAAGAGACATTGTCATGAAAAGAAGTGACCTGTTGGGCGGTGACGCCTGCCGTGCCCACCCAGGGTTGCGTGGGGCGGCCTGGCTGGGTCCAGTTTCTTCAGGTAGACGATGACCACCTTCCTCTCGCCTTTGCTAGAGATCAGGTCATAAACACACCAAGTGCCTAGCACCGTTTATGGTGCATCATAGATGCTCCGGATACATTATCCCTCTTCTCTGTTCATCTTTTCCACTTAACTCCTTTGAGCTGCTTTCCTGTGAAACTCGGAGTTTTCCAAGTGAATGAAATGATTCTGCTTACATTCTGCCATGTGTGTAGTCGTGATTTTGTTCTTCTGATGGTAGTTGTTACGCTGCCGGAAACGCAGGGGAAGGTTCTAGAAGTTCAGTCAGCCTTTAACTTACCCTGAACTACCCGGGGATCCGCACTGTGCCTCCGCATATCAGCGGGCCCTGTCCCGGCGGTGGGGAGGGGTGCGCGTCAGTGCGGGTGGGGTGTTGTTTCATCTCCCTTCACTGCAGCTGCCGCAGGCCTGGCATTCGTAGGGTGCGGGTAAGGATGAGTGCGACCTCGCAGGGCAGGGTGAGCCTGGGTGAGACATCCGCCCCCATGCCTGGGGGTCACCTTCTTCACCATCCTTAGAAGAAGTTTACTCCTCGGGTCTGACTGACTGCAGTTATATTACTGAGGGAGTTGGCAAAAGGAAAGGTTTTTAGGGAACTGAAGGAGAAGTCTGCATTTGCCACTGTTTTTCATATCCCTCTGGATTTATTTTTGGCATTTCCTTGTATCAGTGCCCTCTCTCTCCTTCATTTGCTTAAAGCAAACAAACTTTTGGAAAAAAGGAGCTTCCCAGCTGCCCAGATGCAAGATCAGGGGCCTCAAGCAGGGATGGGGGGCAGCAGCCGTGCACTTCGTGGGCCCGGGAAGGCATGTCACAGGCACGGCCCGCCATTTGCATTTGGGTTCCAGAGGAGGGTTTAGGGGAGTCAGCTGGCTTACAGATGTACCAGGTAAGGCTGCATGAGCGGGACTCTGATCAGCTGTGTCTTCACATCTGGTGTAGATGGTCAGGAATAGAGGGGGCAGTGGGGCTTGACCTTGCTGTTAGGAACTCCTTGTTTCTGGAAATGTCAGACTAGATCTCCTCTGAAACAGCAAAAGCATAAAATATAGTAAAATTCAGCCCCCCAAAAAATCAAGGAGCTGAAAAGATAGTGGGAAACTTCCAGACCAATTTTGATGGAAAGTCTGTGCCCAGAGAGGTAAGAAGTATCTGTATTGAAAACTCTTTGCCTCAAGGACATTTGCTAGCACTGTATGCTTAGCTTTTGTTCACGTGAGCCTGGGGTCAGGGGACAGAAGTCAGGGCTCCTCAAGAGGGGGGTCCATGGGTCATCCTGCCTCTGTTCAGTTGGAACTCCAGAGAACCAACGCTTCGGAGAAGATGAATCAGTATTTATTTGGTCCGTCAATCCTCATCCTGGTGATCTATACAAAAAACAGATGTGTGAGAGCGGACCCCCCAGACTCTGCCTCCCAGCTCTGCACCCCAGGGCCCCATGCCCTTGCTTTGAGCTGATCCTTGGTGGGTAGGGCGTGCCTCTGGCTGCTGGTGGAAGCAAACTGCCACTCTGATAGATGGAGGGCAAGTTCATACCAGGCCTCAGGGAACCTCCATAAATAATTTTTCATTAAGTATTAACTAGTACACAGGAAATGGGACCAAGCACATCAGGAAACATGGCAGCATGAGCGGGAACTAGCAGGGGAAAAAATTACCAACCGATCTGCCTAGATTTCAGATACTGGAATAAAAATACAGTTTTTAAAACAAACTTAATTGTACCACATTTAGATAAATAAATGACAAGCTTAAAAATATTTGCAGGGATTAGAGAACTGAAAAATTGAAAATTTGAAGTAAGAGCCAAACAAATTCTAGAACTTTATTGTCCAATATGATAATCATTTAGCCACCAGTAACTACTTAAATTTAAATTAATTAAAATACTCAGTTTGTGAGTCACACTAGCTACAAATGTCTACCAGCTGCCTTAGTACACAGCTCACATACAACTGTTTCCATCATTGCAGGAAATCCCATTGGACAGCACTATTCTAGAACTTCAAAGTAGCCAAAAAACTCCATGTACATGTCTGGCAGTAAATTAGGCATAGCAGAAGAGAGAATTTAGGAATTAGAAGACAGACCAGAAAAACAATTCCAGAATGCAGCCCAGAGAGCTAAAAAGATGAGAAAGGATTAAGAGAATAAAGGCTAAGTGACACAGCAGATACATTGAGAGAGTCTAGCTGTGTATTTCATTGAAGTCCTTAAAGGAGAGAGGAAATACTGGAAACAATGATGACTAAACATTTTAAGAACTGTTTTAAGACATGAATTCACAGATTCAAAACCTAGATAATTCCGAGCAGAAAAATAAAAACAAATCCACTCCTACACACATTATAGTGCATCTATAGAACAGTGAAGAAAAGATTAACTAGATACTTGCCCTGGCAAAAATAACTTTAAAAAGTTATTCAAGAAAAAAAAAGCCCAGTAACTATGAAAAATGTTGATTTAATCAGAAATCTCACTAGATAGAAAGCCCTGGGTCAGGATGGCTTCACCAGTGAGTTGCACTGAACATTTAGGGAACCAATAATTCTAAACAAACTCCAGATCTTCCAGAGAGGGACAAAGAGGAAATAACCTCCTCATTTTGTGAAACTAGCATAACTTTGTTGGCAAAATGTGGCAAAAACAGAGTGCTCTGGTAAATGTTTAAGTAATGGCTTTTGGGGGATGAACAGGGACTGGGATACATACTGAATATATAGAAATTTCATTATATATATAAGTGGATATATACATTTGTGCACTTTACTGTATAATGAGTGTGTAGCACATAATTCACAGATTGCCACATAGTCACAGGACTTCACTGTCAGTTCTGTATGGCCGGCTGATAGTCACAAAACACTTGCATTGACTTTTGCGGAACTTTTGTATCTGTGGCCAGTCTGTGGTTGCAGTTCAGTCATGATTTGACAAATGGGATTGCATCCCAATCTGCTCTTTTCCCCATTAAGTTTTTTATGAAATCTGATGTGTAATACACAGTTAAAACTATTTTTCACCCTTAGGTAAAATATATTCATAAAACCAAAATCTCTTTCAACTTTACCACTAATTCAACTCTGATTTGTAGCATTTGTTGATTTTAATGGTGTAAATGAAAATCTTACTACAGCTGATTTCAAGCTACCAACTTGATCCCTCTAAACTTACAGTTAAATCAGTTAAGAGGTAAACATTCAAAACCCATCACTTTGTGTTTAACAACTTTTTACTGTTTATTCTCTTCAGGATTTTTATATGTTTATAAGGGACTTCACTTCATACCAATTTGTTAAACTTAAAACTATATTTATGAAATAAAAAATATTTCATAATGTGTTTTGGAAAAATTCATCTATTTGCATTATCAGAGAGGCATCACATTGACATGTATATGTGTTTTATTAAAATTTCTTAAGAGATAGTAACTGACAGGAGTGCTTATAAACTTATTTGGATCATGGGTCAGATATTCTGAGTGGTGTAATATGTAAAAATATCACTTGATGATACTCAATTGGAACAAATGGAAATCAGCCTCCCATTTGAAGGGGTGCCCTAGGGGTACCAACTGCCACCCGTCACCTCACATGATGAATTTTATCTGATAGTTGTTTGTGTAGGCTAGTTATGGGTAGGTTATGATTCAGGAAAGGCAAGGGGAACCAGGGAATATAGGTGGGAGGTAAGGCAGGAGGGGTCGTTGGCAGGAAAATGACAGCACCTTCCACGCTGTCCTCGTACTGCACAGAATTCACTTTGTGAAGCAGTTTTTTTCTCTGTAATAGATTTTAAATTCCTTAAATTTCTTTAAAGCTTAATTAGTATCACTTAAAGGAAGTTTTTGTTTGTTTTAATTATGGAATCTTTCATCCAGCTATATTTTTTGAGCCCCTAAAATAAACTGGCTCTGTGATTTGCGTATCCACCAGTGAGCAGACACAGACCCTGCCCTCAACCAGGTTCCAGTTCAGTTAGATGCACCCTGTGGGGTGGGGAGGGGCTAATGTACACAGAGAGAGTCCCCAGTAACAACAGTTTCACCTTTAAAAATGCAACACCTTTTAAAAATCACATACTTTAGAGCAAAAATAATTTGATAAGTTTAATGACCTATAAAAATAAGTAGTAATATAGGTTCATATCAGTTCTGAACCACGCCGATGGTCTCCTTGGAACTAGTCATCTCTGAATCTTCATTTAAAATGAGCGGGGTGCTGGAGGTAACGCGTGAGTCTCGACCCCAGACTCTGGTGAGCCTTGGAAAAAGGGGCAGAGCATGTGTCGGTAAAACTTTAAATCAGCTTTTCCTCTGGGACACACACACGGCACACACATGGCAAAGCCATTCCTCTAAAATGTTTAGTTGTTTTTTAGAAGGCTTAACTAATATGGTATTTCTTAATTATTGCTTTATATAGTAGCCCATGCTATTGATAGGTTTGAATAATAGTCTTTATAGTTTATTAAGAGCAAATCTGTTTTCTTGTACATAAAGGAACAGCTCATTAATACCTCACTGTGTAATTACTTCTGCACTGTTGTTGTCTTTAAATGAATGTGTCTTTTGAATTAGAACCAAAAAAATAAGGTGACTAGAGTTTCCTGGGCCCAAACCAAATTCGTTTTGTGGTTGTACTCCAACATGTGGCATGAAAGATTGTTTTTGCCATAGTCTGGTGATACCAACTCTGTATTCTTATGGGAAAAAAGGGAGTATTTGACTAGTCCAAGATTAGAATACAATGTAATGTCTGGAACTGACCTTTTTTTTTTTTTTTAATGTGTTTATTATTAGAAAAAGTTATTAGTGTGCTAGCTGCCTGTCTGGAAAGTGAGAATCCACATGCTCAGAGGATTGGAGCAGCTGCGCTTTGGGCTCTGATTCACAATTACCAGAAGGTCAGTTTTGAGAATCGTCACATCTGGGGGGCAAACACCAGGCCTCGGACGACATACCCAGGGGCGTCAGATTATCAGCGAGGGGAAAATGAAGTCAAAGACCTGCGCTGTCTTGTGCATCATATGATTAGCCACCTGTTGGTATCTTTTTCATTTAATCCTTTCAACAGGATGTCTCATTTCAGAAGAGTGTCTCTTTTGAGTGAATGTTCCCTGTTAATATAAACTGATTTGCCATATTGGTGTTAATGCTAGTATAGATTGTTTCTACTATAAGATGCATCAAGGGAAGATGCATCTTGAAACAAAAACAGATAGTGAAGTTGTGCACAGTTGTGCGGTTCCCCTCGCTCTGGTATGCCCTGGCTCTGAATTGTGAAGTAAGCTCAGTTCTCTTGAGGCTGCAGCACAGGGCTGCCCAGAGGGAAGAGCAGACAGGTGGGGACTTGCGCCTGCTGTTTTTCTGGCTTTCAGTCTGCTTTTCCATTGCAGACACCTCCCTCCTGAGAGAAATGGCGATGTGTATCTGGTGATGAAATAGTGGCCACATGGCAGTGTTAGGATAGACGGTCGCCCCCCAGTGGTGCTCTCGGCTGCTTGCCCATCGTCTGTGCTGCCCGTGTTCCCCGCGGGCCTCAGTGCACACAGGACAGAGGCTACTCCTGTCCTTTTACCCAGATTTCCCAGGGCTTGGCACAAGACTTGGCACTCTGTAGTCACCTAGTAAATATTTCTTGACCAATGGGTAATGTTTGATATACTTGATTTGAAATCTGAGGTTTGAGAGAATATGCAATAACGAAACTAAGATTGGGTAGTTTAAAATAGCAGGTTGAGATTGGGAGAAAAGGAGGATAAAAGGGTAGAGAAAGAAGTGAGTTAGATAGGGAAGGGTGCAGGCGATTGCACAATGGGATGTACTCATGTAATTCTCTAGCAATATTATTTCGTAATATCCTGCTTAGTTCTGTAGTCAGCAATGGCAGATTAGTAGTGAGGTGTCCTGATCCTCAACAACATGGGCATGAATCTAATGAGTGGATTGTTTTCTGTTCTCTCCAGGCCAAAACAACTTTGAAAAATCCGTCAATAAAAAGAAGAGTGGATGAAGCATATTCCTTAGCAAAGAAAAGTAAGTTTTACTATTAAGGAATTTACAGTTAAACTTGGAAGCTATTAAGTGAATTCTTTGATTAATGAGATATTTGGACAGTGCACAGCAAAATGACAGTTTTCTACAGTGATGTTGGGGGGCTTTTGAGGTGGAAGCATTGTAAAATGTGCCAGTATTTGGTTTGTGCTTTTTGTTGTAACATTTTTTAAATAATAAAATGTTCTGATAGATGAAAGTTTGAGATACAGTAGTTTCTTAAACCACGTCTGTGATCTTTCTCCAAGTCATTTTTTTCTTGCACTGAACTTCTTTTGCCAGTTGCTACCACTGTGCTGAAGTGTGTTTGTAGGTGAAAAGAACTGGGCCCAATTAGAATTGACCTTGAACAGAAAACTTTGATGTGACATCAGGCGCTTGAGTCACAGTCACCTGAGAGTAGCCCCTACCGCCCCTGTATCTCCTCGGCCCTGTAATGTGATCATAGGAGGCCAGGTTTTCTTTTCAAAGCACATTTTTCATTTTTAGTCACACCAGTGTTCAATGAGCATTATTCTCTGAACATTTTTTTGTGCTTTCCTGTGCTGTACTGGGTCTGTTGGTTATTAATTTGTGTTTTTATAGTATGATTTTTTCCAATTGGTTTATGGTTTGTTTCAAACTGTGACTATGAGTTCCTGGAAGTAGTGAATAATGGAGTTAAACTTAGTTAAATTTAGTTAGACTCTCGTTCACGCATTAGGAGGGATGGTCCATGAAAAGACCAAGGCTTTCATTTGGGACCATAGGTGACGCTCTCCATTGTGGAGGTGTGTTATTTTTGTTCATACTCTTTGGGTAAACCTCTAATACAAAATAAATATGAGTTGTGTAAGTTAACTACATTTATTAATGTAAAATATTCTCATAATGCTAGTACCTCAAGAACTTCAGTAGAACTTTAAGTTACATATAAATACTAGCTGTGTACTTGTGTCTGTGTGTCCCACTCTTAAGTGCAGTGCTAAGTTTAACAAACTTTTCCATACTCTTACTTTTATATCAGCTTTCTCAAGCTCAGAAGAAACCCCTCTAAATGTCTATTATTTGAAATGTCTTGAGAACCTCGTGCAGCTGCTGAACTCTGCTTGAGCGCCATGAGATGGCCCGCCTTGCACCGGCGGCCACTGGACAGGTGAGCCAGACTTGAAGTAAGCGTTGTGCGTGTGGCAGGTGTTACCAGGAGACGTGCTAAATCTCTGCAAGGCGTTGATGCCCTTCCTCCCTGTAAGACAGAGAGCTGGTGACATTCCAGCTGTGTCCCTTCATTCCAGCTTTCTGTAAGTGAGAGCAGCTGACGAGAAGATGATGAATAAAAGGCATAGGAAGTCCTGGGAACATACATATTTTTACCTTTTTCCATGCAATTTGTTTGTAAAAATCCTATTTAACAGTTATTTAATAAAGTAAATATTTTTAGAAACTGAAAATTGACTAATACTTGCCTGCAGACTTTAATCAGTCTCATGAATACATGTTTTAGTTTTGAAATAAGATACTGTGATCTGATTTTTTTTTGTTTTAATCTTCTAAATGAAATTTGACTCTTGTCAATATAATTCTTATTTTTCAAACCTTTATATTGTTCAGAGCATACACATTGGTGAAGGGGTATTTGTATGTCAATGTGCATAATTTTTGGAATAGCTTTTTATGCAGTTTTTGGTGTTATTAACTCCTTCCCATATGATTTATTTATAAATCTGTCATTTTTATTATTTCTACCTTCCAACTTCTGGAGTGCTGTAAAATAAAGAAGAAAGAAATAGAGTTTATGGTCATGTAGGCCTGGGTTCAAATTTTAGCTCAGCCAAAATATCATGAAAACAAGACTGAAAAATTTAGCAGGAACAAGTTCTGTCAGGTACTTGGTGATATAATTCTTAATCAGCATGTAATTTTGAATGCAGAGCTTAAATCGAAATCAGTTATTTAAGCTAGAAGCATGAGTACAAAATATGTTAGATTCTGAAATAGAGGCAGATAAATTTATAGTGTCTGGAAATTATTGATTAGAGATCTGAAAAAAAAATAAATGTAGGAAGTTCAGAAGTTCCTGGGCAGCCCGAGTTAATCTGGAGCAGTGAGCATGCCAATATTCTGAAAAACTCACCAATTCTAAGAGCAGGAGTATTAGTAGTTATTTCTACCTTTTCTCCTGGTTTCTTACATTCTATGCCATTTCCTTGCTATTTTCTTGGTATTTATAATCTCTCACTGATGAATAATGAGATGGATTTCTTTGTAATTTCCATTCAAAAAGCTGCGTCACAGGCACTATACTCAGAACATGTATCTTAGTCTGCGTTCCTCGGTGGTACTCCCGTCGTCCTGGGTCAGCGGGGAGCGAGCCGGGGCTCTCGGGGCTCGGGACCTGTCGGCGGCCGCTGTGAGATTGGAACCAGGATGACTGCTCATCAGCCCCAAGTTTTCAAACCACTTTCTAAGCCACTGGGCTGCTATGCTATTGCCTTTTTTTCCTCCTCATTGAAATTCCTGTCTTTGTGTTTGGGTTTTATTGAGAAAACCACTGTTTTTCTACAAAAATTGGGTCTCTTCAGGGAAATTATCATTTCCTTTGTGGTTCCTTTGTGATTGATTGATGGGTTGACTAATCAGGGTATGCTTTGCCTTGTGCCTTTGGAACCAGGAAGAATTGTGATTGTTCATTTTCCCGAGCCTCTCCAGGTGAGCTCTAGGGGTATTTGTAGTCCAGCGGTCAGAACCACCCGGGGATGTGACCTGCTGAAGCCCGGAAGGACCACCCAGGGGAAGGGGGAGGCAATGACTTTGGGAGAACTTGCACTTCCTCTCTTGGTGTCCAGGGACACGCACCTCAGGGGCATGTGCTGTTCTGGGTCCTGGCCAGCAACCCTCCGATCTGTGTCTCTGCCGCTATGTCCAGCCAGCTAGTGGGAAAGCTGGTAAGCAGGTGGTCCCTGACATGACTGGCCTGCTGTTTCAGCAGCTGCCAGGTGCTCCCTTGAGGACCCACCACCATCCGAGTCCCGCAGGAAGCTCGTTGAAGTACCAGCCCCTGGGCCCCTGAAGCACAGCATCAGGCCTGTGTCCAGGAGGCTTGTTAGCAAGCTCTGCTGCTGGTCTTGACATGCACCCGACTTGAGAGCCACTGACTGATCCCCCTGAGTTTACAGAAAACAGGCTAGAACATGAAAATAGCTTAACATCATTAACTATTTGCTGATGGAATCAGGACTTGAATCTGGGTGTCTTGAATGCTTGTCGAGGGTTTTTTTTCTATCAGTTATCCCTAGTTTAGACAGACCCAGAAAACGGGTGTAGGGGACTAGTTCATGCCTCATGATCTCCAAATTTCACATTTTCTGGCCTTTTTGGTGGTTGGGCTAGTGTGTGTCTGTGTGCTGTGGATACACACTAAGGCTGTGCTGCTTAACCAGAAGGTGCAGATGCTGACCCAGAATTCAGACCTGCAGCATTTCAGGGGAGGAGGCAGCCTTTGCTTTTGAAGATGGAGGAAACAACTCAAATAGTTGGGAGACTTAGCCGGAGCCTCCCCTACTGTTCAAAAATGAGCGGCTGCATGTATTTGTCCTTCTATAAAAAGTGGAATGGGAAGTGGAATTCGTTCACATTTAACTGCAGCTCACCAATTTTCCTTTGTGGTGTTAAATATATTTACCATCTGTACTAATTTCCCATCATCAGTCTACGTCTGTACTTGGTGCCCATTTCCTGAGATCTGCCTCTTGGCCTGTGATGTCCCTCGGATTCGGCGGGTTGACGGCTGGGAACAGTGGTTCGGTTTCTGCTCTTGGCGGTACAGCTCGGCCTACAGTGCTCAACAGTGAGAGCACCTCGCGGCGTGTTGAGGGTGCAGGGCCCTGGGCTCACCGCATGCAGCTGGGGGTCCCCGGAACAGCCTGAGGCCGTTCCTTCCTCTGTAACTGGGGATAAGGATGCCTGCCTTGGAAAGATGGGGAGCAGTTAGGGTGCCCAGCACGGTGCATGGTTATCTATGATTAATCCTGGATGTTACCTGTGATTATTATTCTTACAAAGAATACAGAAATTCACCTCTCATTATAGTATGAAAGCTTTTGTGCCCTTGCAGCCCTTCTATCCCTTTGGGGAGGGAGATGAGCTATGAAGAGGGTGGTGGTGTCAAGACGAAGGTTCCCACATTCCAGAAGGACCATCAGTTTCCAGTGGAGATGCACGTTCACATCGTGAGTCCTGCTGGCACAGACATGTAGCAAGTGGTTGTGGAGAACCCGTACCGTCCTTGCACAGCGCCGTGTAGAGGTGTTAAAGGCACCTGGGTGACTTGGAACATTTTATTCTTCTGCTTGTGAGGTTGTCCCTATTGAGTGTGACTTCATTAAATATTATTCTTTCTCAGCTTGACTTGTGAAAGTGAAAAATACAAGAATTATAACTTCAGCACCAAAAAATAAATCTTAGCTTAAATAATCTATTGGTTTGGAAAGAGCCATTTTCCTCTTTGTCCCTGTTGTGGATATATTATGATCAGTTAGGTGGGATGGGTGAGAAAATGCTGTCATTTCTGTGAAGTTGGGGAACTCAGAGTTAAAAGTTACTCCTCACAGGAAATTCATTTTAAAACCACAGTGATAAATCAGCTGGGACTGTGAGTTTGCTGGGCCCTGAGGCTCAAAACGTACGGGAGACTTTGCCAAGACCCTGGGATTCTGAGGTTTGGCGTCGAGACCCGAAGAGCTCAGCGTGGTGCCGTTTTAAATGTCCCCGACCGTGTTCATCTCTGTGTTCCATCTGCTCCTTCTGTGCTTGAGAAACCTGCCTCAGAAAGAAAAATCTGCTCTTTTAAAATGATGTTTCACGAAAGATCCATAAGGTAACATTCAATAAATTTTAACTAATTTTGGATGAAAGCCAAGAGAAAAATATGTTTTAATGTAGACTTCAAGGAAAAACTCCTTTCGTGCATTTTTCCTTTCTCAGTGGCGTCTTTTCCTGTGGGTTACGTCTGACCGTGGCTGCACCTTGGGGTGTCTGCGTTCCCCTCGGTTCATCTCGGCAGCGATACTCGGCATTCTGGGAGCAGAGTGCTTGCAGTTCGGGGCAAATGCTGATAACATGATTTCTTCAGATTCTCCGTGAGGACACTCCACCCTTGGCTTACCAAGGAAAGAGACATTATAAAATGGAAAAGTACTATTTTTAATCAATTTGTGATGATATACGTAAATATTGGATGCAGGGAGTCAGTCTATGGATATGATACCTGGGTTAAAGTTATCTTTTATGTCTGATAGGAAAAGCCATGTTTGCACAGAGGAGGAAAAGTCCAGAAGAATAAATTGTTTCAGCAAAAGAGGAGTTTCTTTTTCTTTTCTCTGTTGCGCTGCTGTTCTCCCATACCCAGAAAGGCACAATCGCTGGGGCACAATCGCTGGCTCTGGGCGTCCTCACAGAGTCCAGTGCACACCCTCTGTAGTCCCGTCCTTGGTGCATGCTTCCTGCAGCAAGTTGCCTCGTGGGTACCAGGAGGAAAAGGGCAGAAAAGGACCTCCCCAGGTCCCCAGCTGTCCGGTGCCCTCTTAAGGAGCCTTCCCAAAGGACTGGTCCAACAACTTGCCCTCACATCTTCTTGGACAGAACACAGTCACATGGGCACTTAGAGCTGCAAGGCAGGTGAAGGATGGTGACACAGGCCTCTTCAAGAAGGGACAGCAACCACCTGTCTGCCCCATGGGACAAAATCCTAGTTAAAGAGAAAAATGTGATATAAGTAGGGTTAAAAGTATTATCCTACCAAATGAAATATAAGAAAGAGATTAGGTACTTAATGAATTTATTGGAACAACATTTAGACATTGTGATTAATTCTAGTTGCATTTAGAACTAGAAATATTAATGTCAGAGAATGAAGTAAAGATGACTTCTCAGTGTGAAGCCAGATGCCCTGTGTGGCCTTTATCCCATACCACGGAAGCCTTGGCTGTCAGAATCCACCTGCTTAACATGGAGAAATGGCTGGGAAGACAGAACAGGTGGTCTGAACAGACTCTGTCATTCTCATAAAGTAACTAAAAATGGGTTGATTAATAAATTTAAAAATAAAATTAATTTAAAAATGAAAGAATATATGTACCTATGACATCTTATATTTCAAATACCTGTTAAGTATTCATTATCCAGTTTTTCCATTAAGGGCTGAGATCTTTTTTGAAGGTCACTCCTTCATTGGTGTTAACAGTCTTCTTGGTATAAATCACACCTAATACATGTGGATAATTTCCATTTTTAGTTTCTGGAAAAGGAGCAAAAACTAAGACACTTAATAAGCAATCTAAACCCCAACGTCTTCCAGATTTTTTTTTTGTTTTTACAGTTTTCTCCAGGAATTCTCCCACATTTATACTCTCTGACTCTTTTCACAGGTACCTTACCACATCAGATTCAACAGCAATTTGTTGACTTTTTGTTACCGGCTCTTTGCAAAGCATTCAGCTTCGTTCCTGTGGAAATAATTATTTATCTTTTCACTTCTGTCATTACTATTTAACCAGATTCTTCAATTCTAGTAACAAGTCTGAGTGGTACTAATGGTTGAGGAACAAGTACAGCTAGACCTCAGTCAGCATGAAATGCTCCTTGTGGGAGCCCGAGAGCCCCGTGCTGGACGGGCGTCCCCTGGGCCCTGCACCCATGCTTTCACACGCTCACATGCTCTGGCATCGACCATCGTATCTCCCGGTGGACAGAATGGAGAAAATTGTTCTATCTTAGCAAATTCATTCTATGGTGGCCAATTAAGAGGGATTACATTACACTATAAACTTTTAAGATTTCTTGGAATTTTTAAGTTCCT